ACGTTAGAGTAACTCTAGATGAGAGTTTAACATATGGGGGATGTTTTCCACTCATTCAGCTGCTATAGGATTTGATTTAGAGGCAAAAAAGTATTATTCTTCAACCATCTAAATGTTCTAATAATTATGAAAATTAAATTTTTTTATTGACAAAAACTAAAATAAACTGTGCTCTTTAATACTTTCTTGGTAGTTTTGATCTATTTTATTCTACTTAAGATAATTTATTAGACCTAGAAGACGATTTTTATTAATATTCGTGTTCACAATAGAAAGGTAAATAGATAATAATTTTGTTTTTCAATAGATACTTGTCGCATTGACTCCGTGTGAACCCCAAGGTATAAAGATAAATCGTATAATGCGTGAAGAATTGTCGAAAATAATACACAATAAAACAAGTATCGTTATAGTAAGCTGATCGGTCACATTATGTGTCTTATTGGGACGTCAAACCGCCCACATATATGTGACATCGATTAATCCATTATTTTCCCATGAGTGCTTTGGAAAAGTGTCTTCGATACCACAAAGTTTGGAGATACTTATTACATACATCAATACCTACTTCCCACGATACTTTAACTCATTATTACGTACAAACTAATTACACCAAACCCTTTTATAACCAGTGTTTGGAATTGCTCGGAGTATGATCTTTCTCATAGAATCATTGATTTTAAAGAAAAAAATTTATTTCACCGGAAAAAAATTTTTTTAATTAAAGCAAGTCATCCAGGCAAGGCTTTTGGTGCATTGGGTGGTTTCAACCCTCAGAAATGAGTAAGAAAACAGCCTAATGGGTTCAAAAACCAGTGTTTGAGATCGTTCAGAGTATGATCTTTAACATCCAATTTCTAGATTTGATGAAAAAAATTTTTTTCTACCCAAAAAAAGCTCTTAAAGCTCAGTCAATCATTTAGGAATTAATTCACCAAAAGTTGGTTTATTTTAGTGGTTTAAATAATTAAATATTAATTTAAATAAATTTTTTATAAATAAATAAGTGATGCTATCATAAAGATCATACTCTGGGCGATTTCAAACACTAGTTTTGAAGTCATTTTTGATGATTTCAAGTCGAGTTATATGCTTGCAAATATCATCATATGGGAATTAGTAAAAGGTACGTCTTAATTTGAGAGATACTGATTTGTAGGACATGTGAAACATGTAATTTGATAGTTTGAGCATTACAGGGTTATCAACAAATGTGTTCAAACATATAGGGTGTCACCCTAGCCCATAAAGGCATTGGGACTGATGCTAACTTTTCTCTTGGTCCTGGCACTGTACCAGCTAACCCCCTACGTCAAAAATTTTATCCTTTAATCCTTTTATACACACATTCATCTAATCCTTTAAACTTATAAAACCGACTAAAATCTATTCCTGCTTCATACTCTTAACATTTTCCAACAAACCCCATCTCCCACTATCATAAAAAAAATTATTAATTAACAATTAATTTTTTTTTCATCAAAAAAAATTAATTTCCGGTTTTTAATGTATGAAATGGGACTGATAAAAGAGTCATTGTCGTATTAAATCATTTATCTTTTCAATCATAATAAAGACACCCTGCAGAGAAGATCCTCGAGGATGTCGAAATGACACGCGTAAGTGATATAAATTTCGATTTTTTAAAAAAAAATTCACCCCTTGGAAACTACTGCAATGGTAATAACTCAAAATGATTACCTGAACAAAAAAAAAATTTCATAAACAAATGAACTGAAATAAATTAATAATAATAATGAAATTAAAATATTGTTAAAGATTGGATATTTTATCTGTTGGCTATTAATAGAATTGTTTTTCATTTAAAAATAAAACAATGGACGTAAAATTTCTTTCTACAAATTATTATCAGAAATATGACAGAAACGAGTCTGAATGTGACATTATCTTTCGCTGTTCAATCATTCGAATGGCTCTTTATACAGTTGTGAATAGTAATTGATTATTTTCAATAGCTATTACGCGCCAATAGTTTGAAAAATCAGGATAATAATTAATAACAATAACAATATTAATATTATTATATCTAATAATAATTGATAAAATTAAATTTTAAAATAAAGATTAATGTTAAGATAATTATTATTAATAATATTTATTTGTTATTATTGTTATGATTATTATAAATATATCCTTTCTTTAATTTTTCAACCTTTCACTCTATTGTCCCCCAATTACTGCTACAGTATAATAGGGGTAGACATTTAAATTGACCTCAATTGATCCTGAAAGATCATACAAGACTCCTAAAACCCTTCCAAGATCCACCAAAGATGTGATAATAAATATTTGAAAAATCATTTTTTCTTTTCTATCTCGTGTGAAGTCATTTTTTTTCGTGTCTCACTTGGAAATCGAATAAGGATCTCTACATATAGGGGAGCATTTAATCCTCATAAGCTAAACCTATTGACAATAAAAAAAAAACACATTTTTTCTTGACATTTTATTGTGTAATTTTTTTTTATTCCTTTTTTAAGTACACCTATTCCCTTTTTCGTGTTTCCTTATTAGGAGTTTAGGCCCGTATAAAGATGATTCAGTGACCGCGAATTAAAGCTTTAGGTTTGATTTTTATCTTTAAAATAATCTTTAATTTATCAAAAATTAAATGAAAAAATTTTTTAAACGTTAATTAATTTATTGAGTATTATTTTTAATGCCTTTTACTGCTACTAAAGTAAGGTAAAGATTTTAAGTTAAGCCCAGAATAAAAAATAAATAATTGTAAATATTTTTATTTACAGAGAATTTGTTATTTGTTTGATGTGAAATATAATTTGTTTTGCTTTGTAAAAAATAAATAAATACTTGAAATAGTAATGAACCTCAGTGCGTAATATTTATATATCTGATGAGCATACATTTGACTGATATATGATCTGCACTGTGTGATGGTATGTGTCATGGGAGGACGAGTTAAAACGAGGCGAAGAAGAGCACAATGGAAGCTGCTGCTGCAGTTTCCGGACAATAGCTGCGGCAACAATCAAATCAGGACTATCAGCCCACCCCATTATCCTTTGATCCGCGCTCGCTCACTCGTAGAGCGGCAAACACTCCTGATTGCCCACCCCTTCATTCTTGTGTTTAAACAGCCTCTAACTCGTACTCCCTCTCTCACTATGTACGCTCCTCAACTACCATATTATACGCTGAGTTAGATTTTACGACATTTAACTCTCTTTATTCGCAATTATATCATACTTTACATCTACCTCTAGTGTTTATTTACTCACAAAAATTACTTTGAGATTATTTTGAACCTTCTTTTGAGATAAAAAAAATTTTTTTGTTTTTAAATAAAAAATTATTTTTATTTTATTCTGAAGCTTTTGATTTGATCAGTCCTTTTAAAAATATTCTCAACAGTTTTAAGCCTACTTAAACCGTAAAAAATGACAATTATCACTCCTTTTTTATAGAAACATAAAGCATTACATTTTATGTTCTGCATAATTTACTTTAACACCTGTACCACGTGCTAGGAAATGACGTTAGAATTATAACGACACCACTGGACACTCCTAGCAAAGGAATTTAATTTCTTTAATTATTCAACTTTAATAAAGACATCAGATAAATCCTTTATTTTCTCTAGCAATCTTCAATAACAATAAAAAAAAATTAACCAGCACAGAATTTTTTCAGCTATTATTGACTTGCTATTAGGAAGTTATTGTAATTTTGTTATAAATAACTTTATGTGATTAAAAAACTGTATTGTTTTAGTCTAATTTTAATTATTTTATAAACCTAAAAAAAAATTGCAAAAGTTTAAAAACTATTGTCAAGTTTGTCCTAATGACGAGTACTTTTATATTAGGAAGATTCTTTTTCTTTCTAAAGGCAATTATTTGTAATGGGTGGGTGAATTTTCGTGAATTCTCGTGGAATGAAACAGAAAAAAGTAGGCAGTCGAATGACGACGAGTTTACCGCGTCGGTTGTGTTTGCATCGCGGGTTCACATTCGATCGAGGCGTAACGGGTCGTTGTCTTGAATGCGGGTAGGTGCTCATGAGGGTGGGGGTGACCAAGGAAATACTCGTAAACGTACATATATACATAAATAAAAAAAAAATAACTAAACGGTAGGAAACATGTTGATAACTAGAAAAATTTATCCAACTATTCTAATCCCATATTTATAGACAATATTTTGTGAACTTGGAGCTTTATAGCTAGAGCTTGCAAACGCCCAGAGTATGATCTTTATGATAGCATCACTTATTTATTCATAAAAAATTTATTTAAACTAATATTTAATTATTTAAACCATTAAAATAAACCAACTTTTGGTGAATTAATTCCTAAATGATTGACTGAGCTTTAAGAGCTTTTTTTGGATAGAAAAAAATTTTTTTCATCAAATCTAGGACTTGGATGTTAAAGATCATACTCTGAACGATCTCAAACACTGGATTTTGAACCCATTAGGATGTTTTCTTACTCATTTCTGAGGGTTGAAACCACCCAATGCACCAAAAGCCTTGCCTGGATGACTTGCTTTAATTAAAAAAAATTTTTTTCCAGTGAAATAAATTTTTTTCTTTAAAATCAATGGTTCTATGAGAAAGATCATACTCCGAACAATTCCAAACACTGGTTTCAAAAGCTTTTTGATAGGTTTCACCCCCTAAAACAACCTCTTGAATTCATCCTGATTCATTGTTGAATAAAATCAACAATTAAGCAATCATTTTTAAAAAACAAAAATTTAAAACCTCTGTAACAATCGATAACTAACATTGAAAGAAGTAATTTTTAGTATTTCCAAGGATTAAACACCCTCACAAATAATCACAACCACGCCTATTGCTGGGGATTGGCCACATATGACCCGCCTTTGGGCGGAGTAATCATTGTTAAGGCTCCCCTTTTAGAATAAACTGGATAGAGTTGGTGCAACGTGCTATCCCATTCTCCCTGCTCTTCAACATCATCACCGTCATCATTTCAGTCCTTGATTCGACTTCGATCGACACGCACGCGCGTCCAGGTGTTAATCCTTGGTCTAACAGTGGAGTGAACAAGACTTTCATCACTCAAATCTCCACCTTATAAATAATTCTAAAGTAGTGTCTAAAAAATTAATTTAACACTTAATTTTTTTTTTTTAATAAAGACAATTACAATTATGATTGTCAAATAGTTGCAAGAAAAGTTATAATTTCATTTACTGTGAAGACTTGGCTCACTATTGGTTTAATATTAAAAGTCAACAAAAATTCAAATATATTTATTCTAAATAAATAAACAAATTGAAATTGACTATCATCAAGTAGTGTTTAAGTGACTTAGTGTGAATTGTGTAATAAACCAATATTATCTACATTAGAAACAATTGAATTAATTTTACTTAATAACTTAACAAATTAATCAGAAAGTGCTGATTGATTGAATAAGTAACAAAAGTGGTGATTGATCAACAACTATGGTGGTATTGTAAGTATCAAAATATTTTTAAAACAAAATAAATAAACAATCCAACAACAAAACAAATGTTTATCTTTCAAACAAACATCCTGCAATTTTTTTTATAAAGGAAAAAATTATCCTAGACCTAGAAGCATCATCAACATCTCCAACTGGTCTAGGTGACTTTTAGTGATGACCTAACAACTAAATCTATTGTCAAAAAGAAAATAAGAACGATGAAATATTTAATTAAAATTGTTGCTGATTTGTTAAAGGATAAAAAAAAATTGCAAGTGTGAAAATATTGTTACTTAGAGTGATAAATATAAATATATTGTTGGATAGGTATGCATGTGAATACACGTGTCTTAACCCCGCAATCTCGATTCAACATCACCGCCCGATGTATCATCTTACGGCCAAGCCAAAGGCGATGACTTTATCACCGATCCGGGCAATCATTCACTTCGCCTTCGCTTGAATCATTTCTTTTTTTGTCTTAAGAAAATATTTTACAAATTTACTCCAACAATTCTATCAATTTATCCACAAATTTATGATTATTTTTTCTATCCAATTGTGTCCCACTTATTATAAATAATTAAAATAATTGTCTTAGTTGAAAAGAATGCATCAAACTTCATCAGAAAAATTTTAATAATTTTATTTCTCATAAATAAAAATAAAAATTATGAGTCTTCTACTTTGAATTCATGGAATTAATCAAATTAATCAAATTAACCCCAAGCAGATGTCGTTAATTCCAAACAAATAATTTTATTTAAACTATTTTAGGTTCTATGAAATTATTCTAGAGTTAAAAAAAATAAAAAACTTGAAATAAAAATTTTTGAGTCTTATTAACATTAATTTGATTAATACCAAAGTTATTGGATAATTAATGACTATTTCCTGTGTAATATATTGACCTCGATGTAACAACCTAATCCGGAAACTTCCGAGAAGGAAAATACTAGTAAATATATTTAATAAAAGACGATCGAGTGCAATATAAACGTCTGTAATAAAAATAAAACCGGTCTTGAATTAATAAATGACTCAAGTTTTCAACTTAATCAGATAATCATGATCATTGACATTAAATTAAACTCTAGTAATTTGCTGAAAACAAAATCTAGGAAATCAATCAGTCTAGCATCATTACCAGCTGGAATTATTTTTGTTTGATCAATTAAATAATTGGATTCCCAAAAATGATCCTTTGATGCATCTTAAATCATTAACAGCTGAACGTTGGTCTGATGGAGTGCAGAAAAAAAAAGCTAATGATTAAAATAATGGAGACAATGTATGGTTAATTAATGAATTTATTGAAATTTTCTGAGAAAAGTATGAGCAAAGAGACGATTGTCAAAGGCCACCCACGGTTTCCCATAAGTATCTCTGAAGACACACAACACTCGGTGTGCCCCATAAATTGGGATTTTATCTCTGTGTCAACTCTTCTTAACATCTATTGCGCAATCTTAAATTAAACTTTGATTACTCTTTCTATATTCACACTCCCAACAACGCAGCTTATCATCAACCTAGCATTTAAAAATCATCAACAATCCTAGCTAATTATTTTCTTTCACCTTTCAAATGTTTATCACTATGACCAAGTGTTGGTATCTACTTATCTAGCATCCATTATTGCTATATAGACATTAAATTGAATAAAGCTAACGAAATGTTTATCAACATTCTAGGAGTCGAGTTGGATCGCCGACAATGTCAGCGAGTGTTGCAAGCAATCAACAGCAACATCATCCCCACCAGGAATGGGACATCAACGACTCGAATGTGCCACGGGTAAGTGAGACAAGGATTATTGGTTAAATAATTAGAAACAATACTCAAACATCTGGTTATTAGACAACAGAGAATAAGCCAACCTGCCAAGCCTAATATTAGTATTACCAAGTCAACATACCTGCTACTAGGCCCTTGGGGAATTTACAGACCCTTGGAATTACCCTCAACAACCTTACTGACACCCCTGAAAGTTATATTTAGTGCTAGTTTAATATGTAATCCAATTGTAGGCAGTACTTATTATTGTTTGGCTTAAGTGTCATTGTAATTCTATCCTACCTGTTGACCACCTACACAAAGTAAATAATTAAACCCCACTTCGATTGGAAAATCCACCAACCAGTCATAATTCAATTACTAAAATCTCAGTCATATGGTGGGAATTTTGGTAGGCACGAGACTGGGGTAGGAACCTTTTGGTCAGTGTTGGTCAAGTAGTCATGTAAAGAATCCGTTCAGTCATTTGTGAGTTGTCGAGGTGACTGTGCAAAATGAAGGAAAAAGCAAAAGTGAACTTCTAGTACAATTTAAATATTTAAAATTCAATCATAAAGCTAAATGTCGATATTTAAATTGCAGATAGTGGATTATGACACGTGGTCTGAATGGGCTGATGGACATGTGAGGAAAGTTTATGCACCAAATTGTGAAGAAGCACGTAAACATGCTTCAGGATGGGCCATGAGGAATACCAATAACCATAACGTCAGTATTTTGAAGAAGTCTTGCTTAGGAGTGTTAATATGCTCTCAACACTGTGTTCTGCCAGGTGGAGGAAGGGTTCATTTACGTCCGGCCATTTGCGATAAGGTAATAGTGAATTTTATTAAAAGTAAATAAATACTAATCATTCAGGATTATGGAATAAGGCAATGAGTAAACAAATTAGATGATCCTGAATGAGGTTTAGTTTATATAAATAGTTGTCATTGAACTGTGTGTATTGTGAAAATATTTACAATAGCTTATTACTCAAGTTGATAATTTAATGACAGGCTCGGAAAAAGCAACAAGGAAAACCCTGTCCAAACAGAACATGTCCAGGACGACTGGAGATTTTATCATGTCGAGGACATTGTGGCTATCCAGTGACACATTTTTGGCGACATACAGACGATGCAATATTTTTCCAAGCGAAAGGACAACATGATCACCCAAAACCTGAAGCTAAATCAACCTCAGAAGCTCGACGAAGTGCCGGTGCTGGCAGAAGAGTTCGAGGTCTAGCGGTATTACTTGCTAGAGATGCTGCTCTAGGAACAAAGGTAAAAATCCGGCACGAAAGCTCAATAATAAAATAATTGAAAGCTTTTGAAAACGATTTATTAAATTAAAAAATCATGATTATAGTTGATGTCACTCAGAGGAACCAAGAGACCGAATTCTGAACCACTAGAAATACCACCGCAAAAGAGTGCGCAGCCACCACCATTGATATCAGATAAAAGTAAGCACCAGTGCACTCTTTAAGTAAATTTTAAAAATTAAAAAAAGGAGTTTTTAATGAGATGAGTTTAATTTCAGGTTATACTTGCACCTGTCTGCCATTCGAGTGTGTCTGTGGTCTTCAAACAACCTACCAACCCCCTCACCAACATCAATCCCAGTATCATCAGCAACCAACACCACCTGAGCAATCATTCTGGTACCAGGACACTTTGTGTAATAATCAAGAGACTACAGGTTATTGTTTACCAACACAAGTACCTCAGGAAGCTTCTTATCCGGACAATTTTCCATCATTTACTACAGATTTATTCCAACCAGAAGAAATTTTCCAACTAGACCAACCAATTAGACCAGATTTTTCAACCAACTCCCAAGATATTGCTCGATCTCCATCAACACTACTAGATCTTGGTTCTGGAATGATCAAATACGAGACAAAACAATCACAAGATGCTTACTGGCATCAGTTGCTGAGTGATGATTCAAGTAGCAGTCATCAGAGTACATCTCAACACCAAGACGAGAACCAAATCCACTTATCAAAGACTGCTGATCAAACTTATTGGAATCATGACAATCGGTTGCAGTTTCCAGCATTTGATTCTCAAAAGTGCATCGAAAATGACCTAAACTGCTCTAGATATGATGTGAATCACTATCACAAAACACCAAGTATGAAACTGAATGCTGTCAATGAATCCAGTCTCCCTAGTCAAAGCCCAACTCTTCAAAATCCACCAACATACATCAATTATGATGAATATCCATCGACATTGGATCCAACGATATCAAAAAATTCTATTCATCGTCAAAGCCCTGATGATCGAATCAATTATGAAATTCCTAATAAACATTCAGGTTTTTCTAATCGAATATATTCAGAGCAATCTCAAGAACCTGTGATGCACCACATCAGTTCAGAACCTTATTTCTATACCAATGATAAATGTTACTATACCTGTGAAGTTGTTGATTCAAGATTATCTCATTTACCTTCATTTGGGAATCAAGGTAATTATGGAGATGTCAATGATTTAGATCTTCCAACTTATGTGGATTATACTTTAGTAGGGATGCTGTGCAATCCTGATGAAACTAATGCTAACAATAATGGACTTATTTCAAATTGTGATCAAAATAATTCTGCTTTTATTTCTCATCATTAAATTTAATTTAATTAAAAGACTCGACTTTTATTGATAAATATTTTAAGCTATTGTAATTAATTGTAATTGTATTATATTGATAAATAGGACAATTATTGTAATTAATAACAGATTTGTTATTACTGATTTTATTTTTTGTTATTTGTAAGGATAATTCGAGTCGATAAATTGTATATGTATGTCATCTTTGAACATTCAGACCAAATTATAGTATTATTGAATCATAAATATTTCGAATGATTTTTGAATTTTCTTTTAATAAAACGAGCTTAAATAATATTAATTTGATGATCATTGTGTCGTTAATGTTTAAGATTAACTCGATTAAAGACTGGATTTAAGATAATTTGATGTCTTATTTATATTAATTTATCGAATAAATAAAGAAATAAATACTTAATCATTTTTAAGGACGTACCTGTGCTAAAAACTCTTCCAACGCTGTTTAAAAAACACTCGTAGAATTTAAATAATACTCACTACTGTTCAGTACTTCACTAATACACTGATAACTCACAATAATTAACAATCACTTCACATGATAACTAAATTTAAATAACAGACGCCATGACACCAGCTAAACGTGCTGCGCGAGCTGTACGCATTTTGGTCGCCCCACTAGAGCTTCTGCGCAACGCACAAAATTCCCAGAATTTATCAATTGCGTATTTTGTTATTTTTAAATTAACAAAGATTTTTTCACTGCACTTAACTAAAAATACACTGAATTATTGACACATAAATATTAAAAGTCACTTTTAAAAAGATATTACGAATTTTAGCTGCCTTTTGGAGCAGATAAATATGTCACAGTAGACAGAGTCATTTTTAACAAAGCGTACATACAATAAATTTTTAAACCGAGATATTTTTAAAATTAATGATTGATTTATTGAACTTATTATCTAATATTCTTAATTAAGACTTTAATTTTATTTTCATCATGTTTGTTGAGAATAATAATAATTATTAACGGTAAAATATTTATCTTTTCCAAGAACTATCGTGAATCAAAGCCGAAACAGGTACCAATCGGCAATGTGTGCAAACTGAGCCATTTATACATCATATGATCAAAATGAAATGTAAATAATACTAGATTTTGTTTGAATTTAAACAAAAAGTTTTTCAAAGGGTCAGAAAACACCCAAGCATAACTTAAGAGATATTTTTTTATACATATAATACATTTGAAAAAAAGATTGTGTTATTCCATATTATTTGTATTCAATATATTCTATGTCATAACTTTTTTTACTATGTATTGTTCTAAACTACATAATATTTATAAATGTAAATTAAATTATCCAACGGAAAAAGAAACGATGCCAACGCCAATTTATAAGAACTAAAAATTAAATTAGAAAGCGCGGTATTTTGGAGATGGAAATTTAATTTTCTTTCTTCAAAGGTTAGTTTAAAGCATTTATAAAAAAATGTTGGTAAATAAAATGTTTTTATATATTAAATTTTATCATCTTATTATAAAAATGTATTTTTTAAAATAAAAAAATTTTTTGTGCAGCATCAAAAATACTTTTAGTCCATAAAAATTATTTGATATCCGTATTGACTATAATTAGATAAATAATATACATATATTGTTATGTGAATCACTTTTGATTATTATTAAAAAATATCTTGTAAGATAAAAATTCTCTATAGACCAACTTTATATTTATTAAGATGCACTTTAAAAAGTAGTAACAATTTTTTTTCTGTAAAAGTAAAATGTAAAGTCCATATTGTATTAGAAATTATTTATTGATTTTCAGTAATATGTATTTTATAATTATTTAATTTTAAAAAGTGCATTATTAATTATTTAACCTTTTTTTCATTTCATATTATAAAAGGAATTAATTAAGAGTTTTATTTTTGACGTATTTTTGAAGTTATTAAGGTCTTCTTTGTGTTTGTCTATGGTTGTTTGATAACCATACACATAATCTAACATGTTATCAATCATATTGGGTGAAATATTTTTTTCCAGGATTGCCTTCTCAGCATCTGATTCGTCTCGTATATATTAGATCAGGTAATGATAAGCCACAGCATTGAACTCGAATTTCATTTTTGGGTCCTAAAAAAATTAGAATGAAAATTATTAAATATTCTACATGAGTATTCATTGTCGAAGTAGACAATTATTATATAGTCGAAACACTAAAAGCATAGAATTGGAGGGAAATCATTTTGGCACATGCCCACAAATTATTTCTGAGCTGGTTCACAACTTATAATAATTAATTTCCCGTATAAAATAATTGCCTGTATGATAATTTTTGATAAATAACAGCTTAAAATAACTTGAAATGATATAGGATAAGTATAAAAAACATAATAACTTGAAATAAATAATTTTCCGTATGACTTGAAATTTTACTCTTCCAACGTTTTGACTATAATCACTTGTTACAAATTAATAAAAAGATACAAAACACTTACTAAATGGGCGTGAGGAAAATCGTTCAGTTTTTTTAGGTAGTCCATTTTTTTATAATATTTATACAAATCTTCTGTCGGACTCGCGCAACACCTTTTACAATTTTTTCTTTGTGAGGAAAGTAAATCGCAAGGTACATACTCGAAACCCTCAAAGAGTAGAATTGGAGGTAATATAAAGTTATTTTGGCACATACGCTAGAAAGTAGTATATAGATTAAACCTGGAGTGTAGCCGAACCGGACGAAGAGTTTCAAAACTTCAACGTACACCACATTTAATTTCTTAAAGGTACGTTTAAGATGCAAAACTCTTTATCCAATTCGGCTATAAGCACAATCAATCTTCTGGCCAAACATGATTTATTAATAATTAAAAATAATGATGACAATCATTATTTTTTCATGCTATAAAAATTCACAATACTTATCATAAGCGCCGGAGATAAATACATTTTAATGTACTTAACTTGACAATATTTGATTGGCTACAAAATAGTTTTCTTAGTGCAAAAAAATGAATAACACATTATGTGCAGTGAAAAAAGTGAACAGTTTTATATCAGAACTTGATCATTTATTACTTACGTACTTAAACAACTAAATGATGATAGTCATAATAATTATAATAATAGTATAAGTGAATATTTTAATTTTTTTTTTTTTTTCAATTTTTTTATATATATAAGAACTAACGATCACAGCTATTTGGTTTTTTTGTTATAATTTCTACTAAATGTGCCTATATATACATCTATATATCAATAATATTATTAATATTAAATCCATTATAGGAAAGGTAATATTAATCACTGATTATCGTTAATTATGTTTTTTTTTTTTTTAAATTGTTCAATCGTATCATTAAAGATATACTTATGAAACTGATGCCAATTCATCATTAGCATCAGTAACAATAGAAGTTCTACAAAATTTTTTTTTTTCTTGTTAAAAGTTAATTATTTAAAAAAATTCATCCAAATGTTGATTTATTCTATTTTTTCCTTATCACTTTAGTCAACTAATTTACTCCTCTGTTAATGTTTAAATTAATATCTTAAATTTTCCTTATTAATCTCTTAATTAGTTATTTACATATTAATTATGATTAAAATGTCACAGTTTTTTATAATTCATTTTATTTGTGTACTTTCGTGTAACTATTAATATTGAATTCTCATCACTCATTCACACATATTTTGTTCTACGAGATCTTTTATTTTTTTGTGAATTAATTGATTTACTTGTAAACGATAAATTTTTTTTCTTCTTTTCATTATATTATCGTTAATAATTACTATAATTTTAATTAACGTCATTAAATTTAAAGAAATATCTTAAATGAAAATCAGCGAAATGGTCCTTATTTTTTTTTAGTTGTTAGCTCCTATGAAATTTATACATTAAGGCTGTTAATTATATTGCACGCCTTTTTTTGCAAACATTAGTGTGAATATCTATTAATATTAATAATTATTCATTACTTCTAATTTTCATTATCATTATTATTTGTGTAATTTTCTTTTTAACATTTATTGTTTAATTAATTATCATTATTAATAGTACTCATACAGTTAATAACAATAGTTTGTAATTGTTTTTTAGTGAAATTCACCATACTATTTTATATTCCATATCATCACGGTGCAGTAATGCTAATCATTATGATAATCGACAATGATAATAATAATAATAATAATATTGATGATTAATTATTATAATAACTGATTTGTAGTGATATTATAATAAGTGATAAATAAACAATGAATGAATTCGAGTTTGTTAACGCTGAATAATTAATTGTCTACGCTTGAATAATGCTAATGATAATTACGATTAGTGATTGTTACAATTGATGACGAACAATAAAAGTAAATCAATTATATTACGATAACTTTTTTACAATTGGTCGTTAAACCTATTTTTAACAATTAATTTTTTTCGTAATAAATCATGAATATTTATGGTTTGTAATGTTTAATGCTGATAAACGGTTGTTAAATCTAGCGAATCACTGATTTCAGGGTAAATTAAAGTGTCTTTGACCCTTAACAATTGGTCTTTGTAATTTATCTATGTTATTCGCGTGCTTAATGATGATTAATTATAATTAATAATTCACTAAACACTCATATCACTTTGTTTAATTCAATTTAATTATGTAGGTTTTGTTTTTATCTTGTATATATTTTTTTTATCTTGCTTGATTTGGTTTGCTTACGAAAAAACTTTTTGCTTTTCTTTCTTATTTTTATTTACACAATAATTTATTTATTTTTTTTGTTTTAATACAGTTTTTTTTGTAATTTTTTATCGTTAATTATCACTCAGTCACAGCTAACCACATCTAAAATATCACAATAATGCTAGCTTATCATTTAAAATTTTATCATTTTTCGTTTTCATTTTTTTTGTTGCTTTTATCTTTTAATTATGATTAATTATATTTGTAAAATGAATTTATTTTTTTTTTTGTATTTTTTTAATCTATGAAAATTGAGTAACTTATTAAATAATTCATAAAAACTAATTGTTACAAGACATAATTTATCTTTTAATTTATTATTTTAGATTTTTTTTTTTTCCTTTTTAATGTTATTTATTGCAAAAAAATTATTAGGTATAGTTAATGATAATTATTAATTCATATTATCATTATGGAGATCTTTTAAACGGTGTACAGGACAACTACGACACAGGTTTTCAATCGATCACAGCAGAATTATCGATTTTTTTAGATTTGTTATCAACTTAAAATTTATATTTACTTCTTATTTTCACTGTAGACTTTTGTCTGACGTCGATGCTATTAAATCCAAATCTCGTTGCGCTGGTTTCACTCTTACTCGATAAAATTTAGTACCTTGAGGCACGTGGTAACGATTTTCCGACTGTAATAAAAATTCCCATCAATTAATTGCATTCATTGCTCAATTATAAAAATTATTTTTATGCATTGAAAAAGAATAATTACCCTTTTGGCGTGACAATACTGTTTATCAACAACTTCTCCAAAGACATAAATCTGTTTAGGCAGGCCATCAGATCCAAGCCGAAGATCAAGACTATCAATGCAGTCAGAATGTAAGAAATACATAGTTCTTGACTCCTGAAGAATAATGTAGCTGCTATGAACCGTATCCCAAAGAACGATAACACTATCTCCAGGATTGCAAGAATAAAGACTGACAGAAAGCTGTTGGAACATACTATTGGTGCTCTTCATCAATTTCTCTCTATATCTAACAGAATCTTGACGACTGTGTTCCGGATTGCCAGCTTCTTGGTTGGAATCTGATACCAAAGCAACCGACGCATTCATATCTTTATCCCGCGATTCAATAGAGACAGCAATACCACTTTCACTGGCACCAAAACCTCTTCTAGACCTTTCCTTAACTAATTCGATCTCCAAACGAACTTTATCAGCTTCTAGTGCTTCTACACGAGCCTCAATTGTTTCTTTATTTTCTCGAATGAGTCTTAACTCTGTACTGAGACGATTATTATCACCTTCTAACATCTCTAGACGTCTTAAAAGACTTTCAGCATCTCCAGCTGACTCCAATCTCACTTTCTTCGATTCTGAAACTTCTATATCATCTTTGCCGCCAGATAAAAGCATTTTAAGAGTATCTACTAAAGTTCCAGAGCCACCACTTTGACTCATCTTCATTCTCTCATCATTCAGCTCTTGCCTCAATTTACTTTTTTCTGCTTCTAAATCGTGAATTTGAGTGTCTCGTTGTTTCCGTTCGGCAATCATTAGTAACTCTAATCGTCTTTTCTCTTCTTCAACTTTTTCTAATTTCTCGGATAATTGCTGTCGTGTTCTACATTCGTCATCCGTCACTCTGCGAATCATATCTTGATATTGACGACACTCTTCCACTAGAGATGACTCACGAAGACGTTGCGATTCAAGTTGAGCATCCATTTGCTTTGTTGCCAGTGATAAACCATACTGAAGTTTCATTTCGAATTTTTCCGTTTCCTTTTCTATTGCTTTACGGATTGCTTCTGCCTTTTCAGCTTCCATATTCTTTTTTGTTTGAGCCAAAATGGCTTCATGACTTGCTAATTCGATCACATCTGGACGCTAAAGTTAAAAGAAAAAAATGTTAATCGCTATTGAAATGGAAAAAGTCTTTTAGAAGAATATTCTTTTGATTCTTACCTCTATTTTTTCTAGACTGGAGTCACTAGGGCTTCTTTCCATTACCGAGGAAGCTGCCATAAGCTTGAATCGACTTCTTATAGTCTCCAATTCCGTCTTGAATTCCATCTGCAGTTTATCCGTAGCTTCTTTGACCAATTTTTGCTGTTCTGCTCTGGTGGTTGCCAAAGTTTCTTCCAACTCCTGGATATTTACTTTGTACTGCTCCAAAGTATTATTTAAAGCATTGATTTCCGCTAGACCAGCATCCCGTGCTTGCTTGACCGCATTTTCTTTATCAATTCTTGCTTGATCTAGAGCCTTCTCCAACTCACTTTGGAATTTAGTTTGCATGTTTCTCAATTCTTCCTGGTCATTTTCCCACTTTTGTCTCATCAACCTCGTACTCATCATTCTCTCTTGCTCTCCTTCCGAGTCTTTCTCTAATATTGTCTGCTTAAGGTTCAATATCTCATCATCTTTAGAACGAATGAGCTTCTTAGCATCCGCAAGTTCCAACTCATGATCTACTGTCAGTTCTTGTTCACGTTCTCGTAAAATTCTTTCACATTCTTGAGAATGCAACACTGTCACTTGACATATTCTTTCACTCATATTTATTATACTGCCTTTGTCATCATTCACTCGTTCTCTAAGTAATGATAATTCCTGCCTAAATGCTGATACTGCTTCGTTCATCGCCACTTTTAATGCTCTTATTATATTTCGGAGTCTTTCCACTTCATTTCGAGTATTTCCCAGGTTTTCCTGCAATATAATCATCAGTAAATATAACTTTTAAAAATTTTTTTTGTGCATTTCAAACTGCGTTTATATGCTTTTTTTTGAATGATTGGTAATAATTGTTATGATTATTTTAGTGATTCAATTGGATTAAATTTTTTTTTTGTCATACAACTGCATGAAAGATTTTGAATAATTATTTCGTATTAATTACTTTATCTTATTAATCTTGCAAGCTCCAAATAACATCAATTACACAAAAGATTAAAAAAAAAACATTCAAACGATTACAAGTATTAAAAAACGTGCAATTTTGTGATAATTGAAGATTAAAAAATTATCTGTTGCTAAATCTGTGAGATTTTAATGAATATTATCAGTGTTAGTTCAAGTTTAAAAACCGAACTTAGTATTTATCTAGCGAGGCGATGATTTTTTTTAAGATTATTTGGTTGTCAAAAGGAAATAAAAGGAAATAAGGAGCATGTAAATAAGGAAATAAGTGCGACGGCATCAGCTATCCTGGAAAATAATCCAAAATATAGATGTGAACTAGAAAATATATAAATAAAAATATTATTCTTACTATATAAAATGAAAAAAAGAGTATTACGAACATATGTAGAGGTTTAAATACGAGAAATGGTCAAAAGTAACATTAATTTAAAAATTATTACTGTACTAAAAAAAAAATTAACTAACAAAGTTGGATGCATTTATATATAAAATAATAAGAACGGTAAACTTTTGACCAATTCTAGAGCAAAGAAGTGTGTAAATGGTACAAACTGGTTGATAAAAAGAGAAAGAGATATAAAAAAAAAGGTAATGGAACGTTTACGGCTACGAATAAAGATTTGTTGTGAGCTGTAATTCGTCCAGTACCTGAAGAAGAGAAACTATAGCAGTATGAGCATCATTCGGATGTTCGCTGAGGCTGCTGGGTAGTGATTCATCAATGTAAAACTCGGTACCCATGAAATCAGCGTTGCTTGGATCAGCAAAAGGACTGGATCCACCACTATCAGGATGTCGACTTGCGACGCTGCTTTGCTGTTGATGAAGGAGGCCGTCGCACAGTACGGAAGACTTTGGTAAGGATAAGGATTGATTAGGAGATATCGAGGAATGTGGTTCGTCTTGAGATAAATCATTTTGAGCCGTAAAGGTTGGTAAATCGGTGCAAAAATGAATTAGGGGTTCATTATTTTCAGCGCACTCCGTTAAAGGACTTAAGGATATTGGTGCTGCTAATGATGATAATGGCGGTTTTTCAGTTGTTAATAAGCTAGGAAAATGAAAGGAACTTGTGGCTGGTTCACTAGATGAGGAGGAACGGTTTAAATCAACTCTAGATGTTATGGAAGATATGTTTGTTGATGTTGAGGATGTGGGAGACACGCATCTTGAGCAACCAACCTCCAATTGCTTTTTCGTCTTCTGTCTCTGCTCGAATAGGTTGTGCTTGGAGTCACTCACACCTTGGGAGATTTTTTCAAACTCGTCCGTGTCCGTTTCTGACTCAAAACCAATCCTAAAATTCAATATTTCATTAAAATATTATAATTACATTAATTAATTATTATTGAAAATAATTAAATAATTTTTTTACCTATCACTAGTCATTGCAACTTGATCACTTTGTTCTTTAGTTGAAACATCAACAGGCATCATGGTGCTGCTTTCTTTATTTTTATTATCATCTGTGCTGCCTTCAGTCAAACTTTTGGATAAGAAAAATTGCGTGATGCTACTTAAATCTAGCGTAGAAATCGAATCGGCAAGATCAGGTAATTGAACTTTGAGGGATTCCATGTCTTCCGCAGTCAACTAGAAAAAAAAGTAAAACGCAACTTTCATTTTCTAATCATTGTTTCTATCGCTTATAAAGATAGCTATTTTAAATGCATTTCAAACATACCATTAATTTAGTGTTTAATTTTCTATTGAAATAAAAAAATGTATAAATTACCTTAGGCAGTTCTCCATCAAAAACTGTCGGTGCCTGTGTCGCAAACGGGGGTGGGATATCTTCCAAGCCAGGAAACAAAGTATTTAAAAAATGTCCGTCAAATTTATTTTGAAATTCCCGACGTTTGGCAATCTCTTCATTATAAACTGTCAACAACTGACATGCTAAATTACTAGCCCAAACCAAAAAAGCTTGCGAAAATGTTCGTCTTCTCACAACTTCTGCCACAGCACTGATGTACATCTGTGGTGCTAAATGAATTTGTTGAAGTACTTCCAAATGTCTTCGCAATCGTTTCAAATTTTCATGATACATCACTAATTTCCCATCAACTTCCATCATTTTATTCTCTACATACATAATCCACTTTAACCTATGGTAAATATTTTCCGACAATTCTTCCTTTGCTCTAGTACACCTTCTTCTAATATCCCTCAGCTGGCTGTGATTCTCCATCATCACTGCCAATTGCCTCCTATGTGATGCACAAAGATCTGGAAGTACACTTGCATCTCCTAAATTATTCGCTCGAGTTTGATTTTGATGGAAGCCTTGTGCCAATTCTCCCTGCTCTTGAACCAGCCTTTTTGTTTGTGCCATTAACTGCTCCAAAGCAAATAACCGTTCACCCAACCCTTTTATTTCCTTCATTTCTGGCTTATTTGATGCATCAATGGCAGCATTGACTTCATTCTTTAACGCTTCCATCATACGTTCATCAAATTGCTCCAACCCTCTTGAACATTGTTCAGCAACCTGCTCCAAACTACTCTGATTATCTTTAGCAGAAATCCAACGTAGCAGGCTCATTACTTCATCACTGCATTCCGATTCTGACGTCTGATCTTCCGGACTTAATAAACCTTCAGCTTGAGCACGTAATGCTGGTAAAATTGGAATCTTTGATAAATTTTCTAAATCAGAATTAAAGGTGTTAAGAAGCTGCATATGTTGTTCACGCTCTGTAAGATATTGTGCAAAGCTCTGCTGAAGTAAATCAGCTTTTGATTGAAACATTTGGGTTATATCTTCAAGGTTCGCTACAACTGCTGCCCATCCTTGTTGCTGGAGATGCTGATCATGGACTAGATGTTCACATGTTCGCGTCTGATCTCGTGCTATGACATAACATTGTTGAGCCAATTGCGCACGGGATACTAGGGTTGAGTAAGTTGCTGGCATTGCCAGAGAAGCATTAATTTGGTCAACGAGATCAACATCTGAAACCATTCAAAATTAAAATTTAAAACAAATTTAAAATATTAGAAAAGTATTTTAATCAATCAAAACAAAATAAAAATAATAATTAAAAATAAAAAGTCACATGTGTAAATATAACATTGATCAGCTACATCATTTAGAAATTGATTCGGTAACGACTTTTAATAATAATTATAACTACATCACACGTTACATCAAGTATAGAAAGTTAATAATCCATTCAAATGACATGATAATAATAAACGATATAACGTTGACCGAATTTGCAGTGTGGGTCGCATTAATTGTCGCATTATTGATGAATAATGGGGCTTAGTGCAATCAATACAAATGACTTATGCACTCTACCCTCGATCTTAATATAATTAACACATTTTTTCTATCGAAAAAAAAGAAAAAAACGTGCACTTATTTACTTTTTTTATCAGCCTTTTTCTCGACCCTTTTATCAAGAGTCTCAGATAGACAAGAGACAATAATCATGCAAATCATCAACAGATTACATGATTCTAATAGTATTGAGCTAGAATATATCACAAGGGACAAAGTCTTTTCCTTCTTAACTCTTTTAAAACGACTCTTTGTCGATACTAAGGTTACGCAATGCAGTCAGAACGGCCTCGATTCACGCGCTCAACGCGATTAACTCCCAAGTCTCAAGAAATTGTCGTACAATTGGCGTCCAACAGTCTGGTATCGTCAACACATTGTATGATTCTCTATCTCTTATTCACTATCCAGGAGCTGTGCTATTTTTTGCAAACGTCATCTTATCATTTAAAATGTTTATAACCTACAAACAGATGATTATAAAAGGCTTCAAGACCTGTGTTTGAAATCGTTCTAGTGTGATCTTGTAAGTAAAAGCATTAGTTTTTGCCATAAAAAATTTTTTATACCATTTTTATCAATAAAAACAAGTAATTAAACTGATTCTTCATTAAATTGTTTTTAATTAAATTTAAAATTAATTTTTTTTATTCTTGGTAACTTTCAATATTGGTTCCAGAAGATCTAGTGATAATATTTTTCCAGGTTATTGAGCTTTGGTGATGATAAGATTATTTTATAAATGACTTTAAATAATATTTAATCATTACCTGTACTGTAATCTGTGTGTGGTATAGGTGGTATTTGGCTCTCGATGGCAGCTTTGCTAAATAAATAAATAGGATTTGTATCTGTACCAGCAGAATATGAACAGACGCGTGCATGAGGTTCTAAACTCTCGCCACCGCTCATCAGCAACACTTGATGAGCAGCTAAAACTCCACATTCTCGTTCAATCGCTTCCTTCAATTCAGCAACACTGAAATATCAAAAGTATTATCAGTCAACAGGTGATCAGGTTAGAGTTGTTAACAGGAATATCACCCTCATTATACTAGAATACTAGTTATTTTTTCAACAGAAATTTAATAAGGAGGTTGGAGATAATACTGCTGTAGATTTTAGTCATTCGCGGTCTATTTCTCGCCTAATGTGTTTTAGATGGAAGAGAGAGGCAAGTTAATTTAGCTAAGAACCAAGAAGGAGTGGGAATGGGGTCTCTGTTGGGTGTGCGACCCGCTTTTCATTGAGATGCAACCATAATACTAAATCAGACCTATATGCAATTGACTGTATGAGAGATTAGTTGATAAGATCAAAGGTGAATTGCTAATTCTCCAGTATATTGAGATTATTAGAAATTTAATCATCAACTTCTTGATATGATATTGATGGTAATCAGCTTTTTTTTGCCTTGTTCGTGCAGGTATTTTTGGATTGTTGCGTTTTAGATTAATAGAGGAAATAGAAGAGTGTTTTAAACATCGCAGAAGGCGAAGTTATTGTTAGCAACTTCTGTTTAAGACTCGTTGCAGTATAAAAATGAATTTCCGCTTGCAACAAGCTGTCTAACTTGGCTAGTACACATTTGACACGAGCCAACGTCCATCTACATTCTACATTCTGCACACTTGTTGTCTCTATCTGTCTCTCTTTTTGAGTTACATCAACGATGAATTACTAGCCAGTAGCCAACTTTGATACGTCATTTTTTTTTTGGTCCAACCATCATTAGAATCATTTCATCATCATTCTGATATTCATTGTAAGGTTAATTATTACAAATTCACTAAGAAGTTAATTCTAAAAATATTAAATTAAATTATAGCTTCAAGTATATACTTAATACTGTAATTTACTCATTTTGAATTTTATCTAACATTTTTTTCTGTTTTACTGACTTATCTATTTTGCTGAAGATAAACATAGACTACTTTGATCAATCATAACTCGTGAACTAATAACCGTAGGAAGCTCTGTAACCAGTGTTTGTAATTGCTAAAAAGATGACCTCTTAAGAAACAACTGTTCATTTTATCCAATCCATTAGTAACATAAATTTTTGAATTTTTTAATAACAATTAAATATATTATTTCTATTAGATTCTTTGTTTATTGTTATTTAGAGACTAGAATTTTTTTAACCTTGATATTAAGGTTTAAACTAAACACTAATATTTTTTCTAGAGAGATTATACCTCTAGGCTTATCAAACTCTGGTTACAAAACTTTTTTCAATCATCCCACCAACAAGTGTTAGCGTCTAAAGTTTGGCAAACTCTAGTTTCTAACTTAAATTGCCCTTAAATCCTGAAATAACTTTGAAATCATTAATTTAATTGTTAGAAATGCATTTTCTTTTTCAAAACAAAAATGACAATTACCTTTGGAGAGCGAGTTTGATGTCGAATGTTAGAGTAGCACCCGTGTCAACATGAAATATGTAAAGCATTTTCGAATTTCCTGATTATAATTAGGCTTCAATTAATACCAAAATTGACTTTGAGTCGTGAACTGCAATCAGGCATCCGTAGTTATCAGATAAATTTTTTTAATCAACTTTCTTGATTGTTTCCTGATGTTTAGGTTAATTTACTTTTGGCCAGTTACCCAAATAATGTTTCAGTACAATTGATTTTTTTTTTAGCTTCTGTATCTTCGAGACTATTTGTCCCTTGATAATTCCAGTAGTCAGCTTAGTTGGGGCCGTACCCCACGTTTCTCACTTTCCGCGAGGACGGCCCCCGTTGACCTGTGCCTCATAGAGATCAGTAGAGCTGTTCGTTGATATTCAAACTTGTTACTGACAACAAATCACATTTAATTGAATCGATAATTAATCTCACACACATTCAGATCAATTTCCAGTGTATAAAAAAAATGGCTTCAGATTATTTATTTTCAGTGATTTTTCAACACTTCAGTCGTTATAGAGATCCTCAAGTTAATTTAATTATCGTTTTTATGGCAACAAAATGTTTTCGATAATTAATTTAATAGTTTTAAAAGCTTTTCAATTGCGTTATTTTTATGTCTATCGATTTCTTTACAAACGTTAAAATAAATAACACGAGATCTTTGATAGTTACTTTATTTATTTTGGTTTTAAATAATTAAATATTAGTGGAAAAATGGTTTATTTTTATATCAAAAATAATTTCGGTATTTTTCAAAACCTTTATATTTATCTTGAATAACTTTTTTTAATCTTGTTTTCTTGTTATGACTTGGTCAATTTACAATCTTTTTTCTGTATTTGAATAGTCGTTGATATTCAGATTAACTAAATTGTGGAAAAATGTCCTTTGAACACAAATTAAATGTCAAAAACGATCAGCTGCTCAGTCAAAACAAAGCAGTCACTCATGAAGTGTGTATTTAAACAGGTCACATTGATTTACTTTTTATTTATTTATATGTAAAACCAGTTTCTTAATCGACGGTTTTGGATTTAAGTCGACTTCAGGCAAATTATAACTTGTTTTAAAGTGTGATAAAAAAGTGAAAAAAATTATTTTAGACTTTGTTATTCGTCTAACGGTGTATTAAAAGGGAGAACAAAGCCTGCGCGAGTGAAGAAAAATGAATGCGCAAGAAAGTCTTGTTGGAAGGAACAAAGAAAATCTTTCAGTTCACACAAAACACTTGAATTTAATTGAAATATTATCGATTAATTATCTTAGTGACGTGTGATTTTAGTATATTATTATTAATTTTCAGTTTTTAAACTTTTATATTTGTTCATTTAATGTTTGCTAGATTTTTCTGACGTCTTTTATTTTCACACTTATTCTAAGACGACGAACAACTAACACAACCATTCACACGACATTTTGTGTTACCTCTGACGCATTGCAACGCCAGCTGTTTACTGCGCGTGGAAACGCTTCAATTTACAGACCTAAACCCAATACATGACCAAGCCATCTGCACTAAGAGTATCAACCATCTTAGATACTCCACTTTATGCGCGACAATTGTGCGCAGTAGGCCACCATGATTTATTTCTTTTGACTAAAATTATTTTATTTACTTCTTTTTTATTTCATTTCTGCTAATAAACCTAACCTATCGCTCTACCCCTTTAAAAGCTTCAACATCTCTCATTAAACCGATTTATTTATCTCATAATTATCCTTCGAACATACTAGATTATTCTACATAATCTTTAAAAGAAAACATATTTATGTGTGAATGTAAATAGAGTGTACGAGTGAATTTTTGATCGATGATATCTCTAAAATGGCTAGACCAATTTCTATTTTAAGTTTCTCTTTTTGTTCAGTAGACATCCGTCTATAACTGCAATTTCGTAAAAGAGCTCGACGTTGGGCCATTTTTTAATTACTCATGAAAATGTAATTACTTCAAAATTGCAAGTTGAAGCGTAATATAAGTGCTGCCATTATTTTGAAGTGGTGAGAACACTAAACTCTTGGCTCATTGCCTACCACTCTAAGTCTTCCGTGTGGAATATCTCGGAAAACAAATTCGATTTTCGTGACAAAATGAAATCCCAAATGACGCTTTCCCATTTTTTTTGTTGTTGATTGATGTGAGGGATTGATTAACAGAGGTATTTATATGTATACAGTTTTATTTATTGTTACATTTCGAATCTTCTGAAAGGGATATATATTTTATGGCTAAAATCTAATGGTTTGTTGTTTTATGTGTACACATACATATACATATGAACCTCTCTTCTTCATACTACTGTGTCTATCTATTATTATTATTATGTACAAAAATCAGAAGATTACATCAGAAAATTTGAGATATATTTACGCGGAAAACTTCTCAAAATAAATTGGAGAAATGAGTGAATAAAAAATACTATTCACATAATGGTAATTATGAATTAATCCATTTTTAGAATTGATTTAATGAATAGTATACAAATGAAGGATGATTATCCATGCCACTAGCTTATTAACTTTTCTTTCAATTTAAAATAATAAAAACGTGAAAAATTATTCCGAGCTTTAATCGCTCGATAAAATTACATCAAATTTAACCAACATTTGACCTTGATTTTCTGCACGTGGAGGAACGCAAATTAATCATCTGCGTATTATTTAATTTATAAACGAAAAATGGCTATTTTATATTTTTTTTAGAACAATAGATCTATTTCATCGAATTATGAAACAATATTTTCTTTGTAAACAAATTTGTGTATACGAAAAATCATCCGTTATTGATCAATAGACAGAAGTCATAAACAAGTACTCTATTTAATTTGTTGACAAAAATTATTAACCATTTTTCTTTCTTTTATTGACAATTAATTAATTTTTATTTTTTTAACCCACAGGAGATGTTTATTTTCGACTTTTGATGACTGGAAAATTAATTTCAATTAATGGAATAATTAATGTTAATAAAAATATTGATTCACATTAAGCATATAAGAGCATAATTAAATAAGAATGGTCATTTCTCACGCAAGAAATGAAAAAATTTCGTAAAAGGGCTTTGAGAAGCATTCGAAAGATATTTTCAAGGTCCTAAATGTATTATAAGTGACAAAAATCTACGTCATGATACAAAAAATGAAAAACGTAGAAATAGATGAGTAGTTTTACACGTTTGAACTTGTTCTTTTTCTATTCTTGATAGCTCTTGCCAGAGAAAAAGGAGGTAAGATGAAGGTCTCGTAGCTACTGTGTAGGGATACCACTACTACATACATCCATTTAATATACTACGTCGTACAGATTAGTGGGCTTGATTTTACTGTATAGTAGAAAACGATAAATACATTGATGAAATGTTGTGGTATACACATAGAGATAGGTTAAAAACTCATACTAATTTCGTTCCTTCTCTTTCTAAGTCATGACTTAAGCATATGTTCGTGTTGTAGCACGTTTCAAACACGTTTCTTTATTCAATTTAATGCGTTTACCAATAATCAATTTCATATGAGAGTAGGAATGGATGTTTTGTTCTTTGTTAAAAGTTACTCAGTATTTTTTTCACAGTCTCTATGAATATATGAGATTTATTTTCTTCGATTTTTAATAAACTTTGAGATGATGATGAAATTCATGGGACTTTTTTCGAGGACAATAAACTTCTAGAAGAAAAATAAGTTACAGTATTCATTATGTGGAAGAAAGAAAAAATATTACTTAATATATAAGCCTTATAGTTAGCTCATTGATGTTATTATTTATAAAAAAAAGTTTTTTATTGTGTATGAGTCATCTTGGAAGATTTTGTGATATAGATTAAAAGAATAACATTGAAAACATTAATTGTAGTTCCAAAGTTAGTTAGAAAAATAATTCATTAACATTTGAATTGGAGTGGCTCCATTTGTCACACAATTAATTCAATTTTTAACACCAATTTTTCAAACAACAAATTAAATCAACTTTTATCATTAGAATTTTATAAATAATTTTATATTGAAAACTCCTCCACAATTATGGAGTTAAAAAAAAAAAACAATTATTTGTTAAAAGGTCGTGCTAATATTTTTACGTAACTCGAAAAAAAGTGCGTTTTAAATAAACAATTACATCATTTTTCTAATTATTTAAACTCAAAATTCTAATGTCCTCAAGACGAGAAAGTTACTAGTAGTATTGTGAGCGTCAATATAAAATGCATTCCCTATTATCCATCAATGCATACATACGCATTAGCAATAATATGTAAGCATGTGTGTGTGTGTGTGTTGGTGATGTTGATATGTGTCCTATAAGTGGTATGAAATGAAACACGAGGGAATTGCATGGACAATACGAGGTCACCACACGCACGTGCATGTGCAACTGTCGATAAAAAAGGTATAGAAGATAATGTAGAGTATTTAAATGTTGGGAATATAAATAAAAGTGTGTATAATAAATAGATACATGTGTGAATATGTGGACAAGAATATGTATATAGACAATGGAAAATTGCGAGAATGAACGGAGCAGATTATTTCGAGCTAATTAGTTACTTCCCACGTATATTGATTATCTTCATCAACAGGATTGTGCTATTATTATTGACTTTGTTTTCTTTGCTTTCTGTTATTAATATGCTAATCATCAAGAAACTGCAGTTGCCATTTAGTCACTGATGTAAGCGTTTTATTTTAGAAATTATTCCTGAGCTTTATGTTGAGACAATTACTTCATTTGATACTTCATTGATAGAAAAAAAATTATCAATTGTTTATTTATTACTAAATATACTATATTTAAAAATATTCATGAATTATTGAAGTCAATGTGAAGTTATTATACACTTTTGATAAAATGTTGAATGATATCGAACATGTTAGGGTTCGTGATGGTAAATTTCCAACAATTATCGATCATTTATAAATACCGCAAGTGATTGAATGAATATCATCAAGAATAACACTAGGATTTGTTGTCTACAACGATGACAATTTGTTAAAAAAAGTGTAATATTTTATTAGAGAAAAATAATGTCTTTTATTGATTGTTTTCTCTTTGATAATTGATTAATATTAATAATTCTTTTTTTTTATTCTCCTGAACTCACAGTTGTATTGAAACAATAAAAATAAATAATTGGGAGCACTTGAATGCTTATAATAATTATTAACAGTAATAGAAAGTACTTTTCAGCTGTTTTTATCGTTTTATTATAAATATTATATTCGGGAACTAATGAATAACAATAAAACATTTTGCAATAGCTAACGGAATAATTTAATATAATAGAAATTTTTTTGTATGTTCTGCATAAATTAACAATATAATTATAAGAGTAGTAACAGTATTTTATATTATTATTTTTCAAGATGTTTACATATTAATATTAACAATATCGTAGTTTTGTTCAAAATTAACAACAGGTAATAATTAATTCAGATTTATTAAAAAATAATCATTCGATCAATTATTACAGTCATAAAATTTATTTGATCATGATTATGATTGTTAATATAAAATTAAAGTTTTATCATTGTTTCAATGATTAACTATTTTCTTTCTCAATTTCAGATAAGTTTTTTTCTTTATTTATTAACTAGATATTTTTTTAATTTTTCCATTTTATAAACAAAAAATCATTGGATCATTGGAATCCACCTTTCAATTATTTTCTATTCGTGATTTAAATCCAGTTATCAGGATTTTTTAACAAAGATCTGTTTATTTATTTATCACTGATGATAAACACTTTATTTCATCGATTTATTTATTCTTTATTTTTTTACACGATCTTTTTATTCATCGTTTGTTATCATAATTAACAGAGTTTCCTTTGCTGTGATCACTTCGATGTGATCATCACAAAATAATAATTATAATTATTATCTTAATAACAATAACAATGATGATGAGTTAGAAAAAAGTATTTAAGGAATTAATTTTAAAATTAAATAAAATAATTCTTGTCAAAGTTTACTAGCAATTGGATATAAAAATTAAACAGTTGTTGATATGAAAAAATGATGATTTGAAATTGATTAATTATTATTGTTACCTTTTTTTTTAATAATAATTATGATAATTATTATTACAAATAGTTTGTGCTATTGATTGTTCTATCAATAGAAAATTTAATAATAGTATTAATGACATAAAAATAATTATGTCAGTATTTTCTATGAATTTCTAGTAATAGTCAATTACAATTACCAAATTTACAAAATTATAATAAAAAATTTTCTTCTCTACAATTTTATTATTATTCATTGATTCATTTATATGATTATCAATATTTTATACATTTTGTATTTTTTTTTTTATTCATTATTTATTTCTATCTACTCGAGAGTCTTCGTTTCTTAAAATCTTCCTTCCATTTCTTTATTTATTTAACTCCTTTTCACCCTCATAACTCAACAATTATTAGAGATACCTTTGAAAAAGTGCTTGAAATCACCAACAACATCATCTCCCTCTAAACTCAATCATCATAAATTTCTTCAATCAATCTTTTCTGTACGAAATAAATTTTTTTGTACTCAACAATTTTTATTATCAAATAAATTATACTATTGGTGATTTCAAATACTGGTTTTCAACCTAATTACATCAAGAATTTCTCAAGTTACAAGTCTTCAAAGTCACATAGAAAATTTTACCAAATTGTAAATCTCCATCAGTATCCAAATGTGAATACAATTTGTTTACAACAAATACAATTTTTTTATTGGCTTAAATCTTACATTACCTATAATAGTAATGATGATAATAATAATTATAATAATAATGCGGAAAAGGTATAATACGTATAGGCTTGGAAGGCATAGAAGGCACACGATACTTCATAGAAGATTTAGATGACATTATTTACATGTAAAATTGAATATATTATTACAAGGTCAATAAACAAGTCAATAGACAATTTTCAATCGATTAAATCGATTCATCAATAGAAGAGTTTTGATTCACAATCATTTATATTTATGGTAATTTATTAAAAATGATTTTTTGTATTATTTATTGTTTAAAAATTTTACTCTCTTTGTCTTATCATTTTACTTTTTTATTCTTTCACTTCTCTTCTTTACAACAAAAATATAAATAATTTACAAGCGCAACAATTCGCTAATTGCAAATAGCATCCAACAATTAACCGGCTGCTACGTTAACAATTTTATAAACATCAGGGCCAAGGATATGTTGATAAAAAGCACTAAAATCACTAGCTGCTGTCGTGCGAACCAGTCCTGCAACAAAATAGCATTTATTTATGGTATAAATCGATAATAATATTTTACTCAATATCAGTTAATTAGAATGGAACCTTTAAAGTGTACTCCCATCTATTATGAATTTTTTAAATTAATTGTTGTAAGCCTTGAAGACTAGAGAAAGGAAAAAAATCATTTTTTGATAGAAAATTTTCCCTTTTTTTATCTAACAATAGTCGATATCTTTGAAAGGGCTCAAAATTCAAAGACTATCACCAGGACCTTTTTTGTAGGAAATAAAAAGCTCTACAAAAAAAGTTCAATGACTTTTAATCGTATCTCGCATAGTTATTGAATAAATGAGCGACTAGTGTCTACTAAACTAGGAAATGGATGGTAACATTAAAAAATAAAATGAAAAAAAAAATAATAATTGAAAGCAAGACTCACTTTGACCTGGGGACTGACTAGATATAGAAGGGGATTGGCCCTGAGTCTTTCACTTTCATCAATCTGTCTTCGTATCTCCTCTCTCCTCATACTGCTTAGCACGCTGACCTCCTCCCTCGACAACGGCATCGTCGCCGTCAGTTGGATGGGCTGGGCAACGTCCGGCAGTGATTTCTTTCTTTGCAACGGCATCAGTGGTACTGGGATTGCCTTAAAGCACATCAACAATCATAATGACTGTGAGATTAATCATCTACAAATGGTTTCAGCCAAATTAGAAGCAATGTGAGGATCATTACCTAGAGACATTCAACTTTTATTCATTCATTAGTAATTTAATTCTCTGAAATATTAGTATGACTCTTTTTAATCATTGATGGTTAAGGATGGTGTGTGATCATTTATACTGAATGGTGCGAGATAAGATAGTCATGGAACCTTTTCAAAAATTGCCATTTCCTAGATGATGTTGAAGCTTTTATTATTATCAAACTTCCCACCATTTTAGGATATTTTTTTTGGGGTTTGAATGGTGGAAAGTTTCCTGGTCAGCATCATCAGCATTGTTGGAGTAATATCATAAATGGTTGATCAATGTAATGAATAGTCATTATCGATGATTGATTAATAAATTTGTTAATTGAATACCTCAACAGGAGGTGCTACAATCCATGACTCTGATGCTCTTCTAGCCATCAGAGCTGGACTGCATAGAAGTGCTTCTTCTTCTTCATCTGGCTCTGACCAGAACATTTTTAACCTTGCTCTAGTTTCTCGTGGCCTTGAAATGAATACTCTGATGCACCGGTAAATTCTTTTGTTAATTTTCTAATTTGTTTTATTTTCGAAATGCTCACAACATTTTTGCTTCTTTATCCCGCTATTATTTATTAATTAAACTCGTGATCATCATTGATTAATTCAGCTAATAAATTTATTGTTTATTTTTAAGAAGCTTTATTAACATAATAAAATACTAGATAAAATTAATTTAATGCAAAAAGTCGAGCAGTGAAATAAAACTGAAAAAAAATTATTTAACATTTTTTTTTTAATTTGATGAATTATTTATCTTAGTTTAATTATATATATATATATTTTTTTAAGCTATTGTTTATTTTCACTTGCTAAAAATTTGCCATTTAATTAAACAATAATTATATATTAAATTAAAAAAGTGATAATAATTTTTTTTCTATTAAAAATGCTTAAAGTTTGGTTGATTTTTGAAAAGTAGTAAAAAAAATGTTTGTTTTAAATAAAATTACGTAAATTTGTTAAAGTTAAGATAAAACCACTGTTAATGATGAAGCGAGAGATCACAGACTGAACAGTTTTGCCTCGTAGGTCAAAAATAGCGCTCAATTCTGAGGACAACCTTTAAAGACGATGCTCCCCACTTAAAATATTTGTCCACATCGAAATAGCTAACCCAAACGTTCGGTTAAATTATTCATTCGATAGTTAAATATATACATATCTATTGAAGTAGTAGTCATAATAAACATATATAGAAATACATTTTTTTAATCTGCTAAAAATTTTATTTTCCATTTTATTTCGCGAAAAATAAATTTGTGCAAGAACAAAAGATTTTCAAAAATATTATTCTCATTTACATTATTTTCATCACTTTATTATACTTTTTGGCACTCTTTTGGTACTTGCATTCCTTCCTCAAGGCAAATTTATGGAAAACAATGTTTCTTTTTATTAAAAAAAATATTTAGTGTCAATAATTAATTATTACACAGGTCTACAAATGACTAGAATCCTTGCAAATAATTTATCAAGGCTTGGAATCACATAAATTATAAAAATGTCATCATTTTTATCAGATAGTTTCATTGTTGAAGTAATTATAAAATAATTGACAGCATTGAAAATAAATAAATAAATGCATCTAGTGATTTTCTTAAACTTAAAAGACTTAAATTAATTTCATCAATAATAAAAACATGAAAACAAAGTTGTTTTATAAACAAACAATTTTTTTGTAAACATTCATTTAGTAGATCTGTGTTTTCAAAATGATGAAATACTAAATTAACAAAAATAATAATTAAAATTTACCTTTACATTAATTTACATCAATATTTCAAGCAATAAATATACATCTATTTGTTATTTAAAACAAAACTGCCCCAATCGCACTGCTAAATTTATTATATCTAATGTTTATTTAAAATCATCAACAGTTTATCAACGCTTGAAAATAATTACAGTGCGAGTTAAGCCATTCTTTTAGTTACTGAGACAGTAAAGAAATTAATGAATTAGTTGTAATTTTCCACACACAGTTAATTTATAATTACAATTTTATCACAGGTACTGAGGATGTTAACTTGGGTCATTATTACTATTTTTTTGCTTTAGATGTGTGCATCAGTTCCGGTGAGTTTTGTAAAATATATTTATTCTTTTTACTTAAAGTATTTAATTTGTCTAATGTTCGAATTTTAATCTTCAATATTTTTACCAATCAGTACGCACAAAATTATTTTATATACAGACATTAATTTTTTATTTCCTTTCTTTGTGTTATTAAGAGAATATATATTCATTTATATGTGACAATTTTTATTTAAGAGCATGCATTAGAAAAATAATATTTTTATAATGGAAAGAAATTGTAGAGAAGTGAGAACCGATTTTTTTTTATACCAAACAAAATGACCTTTAGATTTATTTAAACAAAAATATATATTAAGTAGGTTGATAAAAAAAAAAGGTTGTTTGATGTTAATTAAAAAATATCAATATGTTAAAAAATAATAATCAACTTTAAAACAAAAAAGAAATTGAAAATAAAAAGAGAGAAAAAAAAACGGTCCCCGCCTCCACAATATTTTTTCCACTTCATTCAACACTGCACTTTTTTATTTTTAAAAATCAAGCAACAATTTATTTTTACTTCCAATAAATTTTCTTCATAAAGATAAAGTTAAGTAGTTTGTGTAACAATTGCTATCATAAATATATATTCATATTTTATTATTAACATTAAATATTTAGGCTTTAGTTTGTTATTTTTCATGTTAAGAAAAAATGGAGGGCATCCAGTTATCATCTCTTCTTATCATTTTCTTTAGACGGATTTTCATTGTTTTCGTTCGAGCATTATTCACTCTTAGAATTTGTAATTAAGATAATTAGTCAAAAAATTAAATAATTGAGATAGCATTTATAAAACAAAAGTAATATTTGTGCTTTCATTTGGTTCCAAACCGATTTATCATCGTTGAATATAAATTTAAAAAATAGTTTATCCATCAATTAATCATTTTTTACAATAAATGCATAATAAATTAGTTTTTCATCTTCATATAGTTACAATTATCAGCTTAAGTTTACGTAAATCGAACATTAGTTTGTGGTTAAATTACTTATAATTCGTCCATATCTTATTGATAAACAAAATGCAAAATTGTTTTTCGTTAGATAAAATAATCTTTCATATAATTGATAATATAAGTGTCAAATGTCTTCGACGCAATCTAGTAAAAAGCCCTCATGACGTTTACATAAATTAAAATAAAATACTCATAAGGTAGAGGGGGCCTTAGGTGTTGCGATGAAGGCGGGGACCGTCCATCTTGTGTCCTGGATTTGCATGCACAAAACACACAACAAAAAAAATACCACCAAGTGGAAAAAGGTTTTAATTAAAAGAATAAAATTTGAATAAAAATACTCACTTTTGTTCCAGCGCCACCACCACCACCACCAGCACCAGACACCATTGAACTTCTTCCAGGTGTTACATACAAACTTTCGGTTCTTTTTGGTTGAACAGCGCTAGGTATCACCTCTTGACTCAATCCACGACTTCTAAATGTACCTTCGAATTGATTCGAAGATTGTGGAGTGTTGTACGTCGGTGTGGCTGTACCACTTCCTATCGCTGATCCATTTAGTGGAGTTCCTGATCGTATCAAGCTTCCACTTCTTCCGGTTCTAGAGTAGAACGAAAGGAAGATTGAGTATGAAAATGTTTCGAGGTACTTTGATAATTCTATGCTGATAACGAAAATTGGAAAAAGAAAGGTTTCAATTGAAATAAAAAAAAACTAACTTGTCTCCATCTTGTGATGTAATACTCTTGTCCACTGATGGTTGCCTTGATCCAATTAGCCTATTTGGTCTATATCGGTCCACAGAACTGTCCCGGCTCGGTGGCCTTTTATAATGGTCCAATCTACAAAAAAAAAATATTCATTGATAAAATCAACAGAGGAACGTGAGATAAATCCAATAGTAGCATGAAATTACCTGTCATTCAATGTTTGGCCAATCACAGATGCACCAGGTCGGTCCTGTGGACTCAAAACTCGACTATTTCTTCTTAAATTACTCATCGATTGTCGTCGTGCGTCATTTAACTCCTGGTATTGTTGATTTGATTGCTGTTGTTGTTGCATTTGTTGCTGCTGCGATTGAGCAGCCATAGACTGTTGTGGAGGTTGATTATATACTCCGGGAGGATTGTACATAGGCATTGCCTGTGCAGTTCAAACAAAAACTCTTATTAACATCAACACAAGACAGAAATTAAGGTAGTCCTTGGATGCAACGAAGAAGAGGGTCATTTCTTAACGATCATGAACGAGTTAAAAATGTCTAGATATGATTTAAGGAATATTAAAATTATGTTTTATAAAAGGACTACCTTAATAATCAAAGGTGTTTCATGCAAAAAAAATTGAGAATTAAAAGGGGTGAGTTTAATAATCATTTTTCCAAACAAATGCAAACCATCCGGAGAATCGGATTGCTTACACCATAAGCTTGCGGCGGGAATTGATTGATAGGGGCTGTACTCATTGGGTCGAGCATACCCGGGTGTTGATACATAATCTAGAAATAAAGAAAAGAAGATGGCTATCCTGAGCAGGGCCGCGTGATGGAGAGAAAGAAAGAGATTGAAGTTAAGCAAAACGTGATAATCCAACAAGCCAATAGATCTTAACCTGTTGACTAGAAGATTGTGGAAACTGTTGATACTGATGGTATCCAGGATGATTTGGACTATATCCAGATTGGATCATCTCCATGTTTCCTTGGTTTTGATTACCCATTTGTCCTTGGTACTGTCCAAATTGGCCTTGACTGTATGGATTACTACTGGAACCAGTTAAATATTGTCCACCAACACCAACATTATCACTACCACCAACACCAACACCACCAGCAATACCACCTCCGCTAATAATACCACCAGCAACACCACCACTGACACCATAGCCACCACCACCACCACTATATGGACCCTGAATATTATTGGGAACGATGTTTTGAACCAGATTTTGATTAGGAATTGGATTATTCATCATTCCCATAGGATTAGTCACTTGATTAGCATTAACTGGCACTTGATTCATCGCTTTCATGCTTGCTCTTCGTATCGATTGATTTACTGACTGACTTATCGATTGAGGAGACATTCCAGCCGTCGTGATTGTTGGAGATGAGTCTATAGACACAGCTGGTGCTGGAGGCTCAGCGTTTGGTGGATTATGAGTCTTTTGAAGAATACTTTTGACTGGTGGCGTATCCTGAGGTGGTGGAACGTATCTGGGAATCTCTCGATTTCGGAGCCTCTCAAGACCAGGTTGCCGGAAATCCGGGGCAAATTGTTTAGCAGTTTGTTGAGCCAATTCTGAATCTTGTCTTGCATGCTCTGCTGCTATGTCCGCTAGTTCTGCTTTCCCTCGAGCTGTTGCTGTTCGTGAAATAGCAATGTCCAACTTTTGCAGTGCCATTTTACTCGATCGTTGTGCTGCACTCACTGCAGCTTCTATCCTTTCTCGGAATTTTGCGGAACGAATTAAAAACAAATGCTTTTTTTTCTGGCTTGTTATTAAAACGTTATTTTTATATTTTCCTTCCTCTTTTGTGCCATCTCGAAATGTCGTTACTCCATAGCCATACTTGCGATTATTGAACCATTCTCCTTCGTATTTTAATCCATCACTCCTTTCAGACACTCCAAAACCAGTTCTCTTATCGTTCTTCCATTCCCCTAGATACGTTTCCGTCACAGATGCGTCCATTTGCTCATCCTGAATCAAATGAAACATCTCAGTTAGTGTGAACTAAATATTTCAGAAAGTTTAAGTAGAAGTTGGACTTACCTCAATTACAAATGATGCGTTGCTGTCAGTATGAACAGATGCTGATGCTTGACTCTGAGAGCTTTCTGTTGACATCCATGATGCTGAACTTGCATTACTTCTAATACTACCAACTGTACCTCTTTTTTCTAAATCACCAGTACTTCTTTGCTTTCTAATTTTTAGTCCCTATAAAAAAAATTAATTAATAAATAGTTTATTATTTTTTTTTTTAAATACGAAGCTTTAATTATGATGAACTATTGACGTTTTACCGATAAAATTCCCTTCTTCAATGACTTCTCTGTCAGACTTTTTCTTCTCGCTGGTGGATCATCACTCCGAGCCTTTAGCACAAACCCTCCTCGACTATCATCCACTCGTCGATCTCTTCGATCAGTTGGTTCTGGTGTTGGTGCTGTTGGGGCACCGTCAGTACTTCGAAGTGAAGTTAAGGAAGCTCGGATTTGTTTTGATGGTTTATAGTGACTTGCAAGCCCAAATGGTGCACTTGTTCTCACACCATATCCATGTCTCATACCTCTCACCCACTGGCCTTGATAAGTTCCTGCAAGAATTTTTTTTTTTTTTATTTTCTTTAAGAAAAAAGCAGTCTTTTTGGTTGTTTTCTTTTCTACTTTTTAAATTAAAAAAGCTCTAATTCTACAGGTGTGTTTGATGGATGTGTCTTACAGTTGGCATCAACATACTTTTGGCAAAGTCAAACATGAATTTTCGTAATTTTACGCGAAGTCTTCGTCATCAATTATAATAAAACATTGAAAGTTCAACGGTCAATGATACAATTTCTTCAATAATTCATTTTAATTAAATTTATTAAGTTGAAAAAAAAAAATTTATATCAATGTTAGCAAATCAAAGAAGCTTTTTTTCAAATACTTGAACATTCATGAACTCTTTCCAAGTATTCTGAGCAATAAATATTGACAATATTCCAATTTTTAAAATAATTTTCAAAACATTAATGGTCTTTTATTTATTTATTTTCCATCAAATGTTTGAAAAAAGCTTTTTATATTTTTTTTTAGCATCCCAGAAGCACTCTATACCTAGCTTCCTTTGTGATTAATGCATCTTCAGCCTATAATTTAATTAATGAACATGATAAGAAGCAAGGGATGATCGTAGTTATTGTTACAATACTGGTGTTCTCTACGTGGCAAGGCGGCTCGACCGCCTGAAATAGCAATCTACGTATTGCCTGATGGTTAACTGTACTGGCGTTTAGTGAATAAGTGTTGGCGTAAATTAGTGGTACTAGTGTATTTCGGTAACAGCTTCCAAGAGCCACGAGGCTATCGCCCGGGAAATCTTATCATTTTCCAATAAATTTTATGCTAAATGACTCAGTTTATTTACTAGCTTATAAGGACATAGGTTAATTAATTAAATGAAACTCATCAATTCTCATCTAAAAGTCCATCATTGACACCAATTTGACGGTTAAGTCTAATTTTTACTACCTATCATCCCTTTCATGGACGCGTCTACCTTCTTATCCGTCTCATTGATTCAATCTCTCGACTTTCCCCTTAGGACCGAGGTCAAGGTCAACTCTTTTCACATTTAAGTTTTTATATCTTTCAGCAACAAATTCAGCTATCAATCAAAGCCAGTACTGTTAAGAGTTTAAATAAAATTGAAAGAAGGAATGGACTTCTTTATTGATGAATTCCTGTTTAATCTTTCCATGGGGACTTCAAAGCATTTTAATTAGCAGTCCAATAATTGGAATGTGATCTAAAATGTCGATCAAGTAGATTCTGGTTGTTAGTAACATTGAAAAAAGGCACTTCGAGACTTGTACGTATCTAAATAAAGCTTCTGAGCAGCAATGGAGCAGAATGAAATGCAATAAAACTTATCTGCTACATTGAAGCTACTGTTTAAAGTGCTTTTAGTAATTCCCCAACTCGACCGATATAATTTTTATAGACTAATAAAATATTTGTTTGTAAAAATAAAGATTGGCATCGTGAACAATACAAGTGCACTTGTTAAAAATAATTGTACATTTTCGTTCAAGTTTCTAAAATTAACCCTGATGAATTACTTTTCATAGCTCATGACTAACTCTATCTCCAAGTACATTCTCTCGTATTTTATTCCACTTTTTTTTGTTTGTTAATTCGTAGGGGGGAAGTCTTTGTTATGTTATTGATTCGAAATAATTAATTCCAAAGCTGTAAATAATTAAAATAAAAGGAAGAATGTTAATGGTGTAGATTGTAGACTTGGTGTTTATTTATTTATTGATTTCTTACCACTGTCAGCATAGGTTTCTGAACCATATCCATCTTGTAAACCACTAGCCCATGTTCCCTCGTATCTCGCTGTCGATGTCGTTGATTGTCGTACACCATAACGCCCTTTGAATCCCTGAGTCCATTCCCCACGATAAATCCAACGTCCTCGAGTTTCCATACCCAACCCATGGCGTTTTCCATTCTGCCACTGGCCTTCGTAAGCTGATCCACTGGAAAAAATTATTCTTTATGATTTTCTTTACCTTTATTAAAATATTACAAAGCCTTTCAAAGGTATAAAAAAAAGTTCTATACTTGAAAAAATAAATTAACAAAACATTGATATTGATGAACAACAAAAAAAAAATGCAGAATGGATGTTCTTTTTTTAAAATATCTGGAAACTGTTAAAAGTATGATAAAAAATTATTGAACCTTTATAGTAGAGAATTGAATTTTCTATGAAATAAGTCTTCAACTTTTATCGTAACTCGATTAGTTGCTGAGATATCAGTCATGAAAGTCTTTATTGTTACTCTATGACTTCTATAAAAGAAAAAAAATTTCCCAGCTTTTTTCAAATCAACTTGAGACACTGCCAAAGTTGATAAAAGCTTCCTAGCATTATTTTCTCAATATAAAAGATTTCTCTAACTTCTCCCATAAAATGATTTCCTACTGAGATATGAATATAAAAAGTTTAGATAAAAAATAATCTAATATCGATATTTGGAGTGAAGCCATTTTTTCAACAAATGAAAGAGCTTTTTGTCCAATATTTCTATTTCTCTGGATAATTCGAGAACATTTATAACAGAATATCAAAGAACCCATAAAACACTAGCAAAATGATGTAGATACAGAGGAAGAGAAGATACAAAGAAAAGACCTTGGCCTATTTGATACGAAATAATTCTGAGTTTTTGAAGGTCAGGAATTGAAATTCTGTTGAAAACCCATCTATTCATGCCACGGTCGTCGATAGAGATGTCAGTGATTACCCAATTTTCTGACATGTTCATCCTTTTGCCCATTTTATATCCTTTTATTTATTCAGTTCTCTCAAATTTATTATTTCTCCTTCATTTCAATCTCTCATCATCAATTCTCCATGAAAATAAACCCCAATCAGTTGATTAATAATTCCAAATAATAACTGAAACCATAAATTGATTTTATTTACCTAAAACATCACTCCTATAATTCATGTTTATTTGCCTATAAATCGTTAATTTTATTTTTCAAGTATTTGAATTTTTTTATTATTCTAATAAATTATATTAAGCATGGAACGGGATAGCTTAACGATGGAATGAGCTTTCAGGTCGAGGTCAGGATGACCTAGACTCACTGTTCTTGAACCCTCGACCTGATTCTCGTGTACAATCTATTTCCTCAGAGCTTTATCCTCTTCCAGGAAGCGCATTGGGTTAGTTTAATTGAATAAAAATGTAATTCACTCATGATGAATTCTAAAAAAAAATGGAGAAAAGAAAAATATTCTGATAACAAAAATTGGTGAAATAAAAATGATAAAACTCACCTGGGCCAAGTGTAGACACCGGAGACTTCAAAACCATAATGCCAACTGCCAGAGTAGGCCCCTTGACCTTTGGGTCCAGTGCAGACGCCATGACCATGAGCTTTGCCATCCTCCCAACCTCCACAATAAGTCCCACCGTCATCAAAATCAAACCTTCCGCCATTGACCTGCGCTCGATTGGCACCGGCAGCAGTACCGGAAGCTGGACTTACTTGGGGTCCACTTGGTGGCATTTGAACCCCACCTGCTACACCGTTTGGTTGGCTAGGACCTGATTGGGTTTGTTGTTGCATTGTGTTCATTTGTCACCAAGCTGTTGGCTGACTCACTCCTGTCTTACGTCGTTCCATCATCGTTGTCTCTTTTTCTTGCTGATGATTATGACGCTTTCACGAGCTTCCTGACACACAGTTTACTTATTTTTGGCCACTTACATACTCGAATACTCAACAACTAAAGCTAACAGATAGTTAAAAGACTAAAAAATAAACTAAATGTAGGTTAAAATCAGGTTCTATGGAAGCTTTTTTTTTTATTTTCCAAGCTTTCAAAGCTTATTGCCTGGCAATTTGAATGCATTAATAATTTATCAATATGTTTGGCAATTTCTTGACAACCTCCATTCCTATCTGACGACGTGGCTTGTATAAATCGGCCACAAGCTCTTCTCTCGCTCTCTCTCACTCTTTTTCTCTTCTCTCTTTTGCTCCCTTGAGCTTTCGACGTTCGGAAATAACCGGCCTTCGCCCTCTTAAGACACTAGAAAACTTTTTTCGTAACATACAACTGCGGGCGATCCCAATGATTCTCTCTTCCCTATCCTCAAACACTTATAGGACTAACTTTATTTTATTTATCCAATTATTTAAATCCAAATTTATTTCAACATTTTTCAGGCTTTTTTTTGTAATTTGCAATTGATAATCGTTATTTCGCGCACACAAACTCCGACGATCTACTTTCGAACGTCTTTTAAAAATAGACATACCGTCGAGAGCAACTAGCAGAGAGTTAATCTTACATGTTTTAATCCACAAAAAATTTAGTCACAATTATTTATTATTATTTCACTTATTTACACTAATTATTTATCATCATATTATTATAATTCATTATCTTAACAATAATAATAAATTTTTTCCCAACTTCTACATTTTTTATTTCACTTAATTACTTGCACCAATCAGCAGCTCACGTTATAATTATTCAAATCAGCCAATCGTGTCATTGGCGGGAAACTTAAATTTCTAAAATTTAATTATCTCATTTATCACTGTTATTTTTTTATTTTTCATGAATAAAACACTTGTTTTTGGTAATCTATGTTTCACAGACTGCAATATAGCACAGTTTTATCATAAGAGACAGTCGTTGTGGATTGTTTATATGATCTTAAAGCGGCATGTGAGGTTAAGAGAACGCGTGCGCGTGCACGACCGTTAACGTTACTGTTGCCCTGGGGCTGCGATACTACTTCACCACCGTCTAACGTTACGCAACGGCTTCTATAAGCATCCGTGATCTGCTCGGAATGTGCCCCCCACGATCGACTCTTTCTCTGCATCAAAAAAAATATTAAAAAATAAATAAATAAATAAATAATGAAATAAATAGATAATTATACCACCACTTTGTCTAGCTTTAATCAACTATCACCGTGCTATTAATTGTTGTCAAAGTGCTATTAAAAAGGCAGTATTGAGGTAAAATGGTTATTTTTATGTTAGATGGGAATGTGAGTTATTAAAAAAGGGATTCCGCCATCACTTCAGATCACTTGAAGCATCTCTAGTCAGTCAAGTGAGTTTAGCTCGGCTAGGGCTTCTATTTTTATCATGGGGTAGCGAATTGTTCCACGCGACTAATGAGAAAACTAGTAAAAGAGTCTAAAAGAGAAAAAGAGAGAGAGAAAGAGTGGCTGAGAGGTAGGAAGATGACGAGAAATTACGATGAGCTACGAAACCACACATTCGTCAATGTGGACCGGGTTTGAACCCATTTATAAATAGAAAAAGATGATGGGAATATTATCAAGGATTACTATCATATGTGATTGTCATTTTTTTAAATCCAGTTATCATTAACCCTGGAATTGGATCCAATCCTTGGCAATTTGAAAATATTCAGAGTCATCAGAGGTAGCTGGTGAATTTTTAAAGCCATTTTTCATGATGAAGGTAGTCTGCTGGTGGTGGTATGATTGATGGACTTGCAAGAACATACTCTGAAAGATTCCAAACACTGGTTCTGACAAAATTTTCTGTGAAAACTTGCTAAAATATTAAGGTTTTAATAGTGAACACTTCAGTTCTACTTTGGCGAGCTGTAGCTTCGGGTTAGAAACGTCGTTAATAAATTTATTATCTGTCAAATTAAAGCTTAAGGTGTCAACTTTGGTATAGGATTCATGATAACTTGCTAAAAAAATATTTACTCCTTTGAACAAAATTTTTTTAACGACTTTGTAGATGTTTTATGGAAAGCTTTCATTCAGATACCTTTCTCATTTTTAGAACAATAAAATTTTTTCTGCTAGATAAACAATAGCTTGAGTCTTGCACTTGTAATAGTTACATTACAAAAGGTTCCAGGACTTTTAGTTGCAGAGTAATAAAAGTTTCAAGAGCTGTCATGGAATAAAAAAAAAGTGTCTTACGAAAAAGTAATTCTCATCAAGTCAATCAACAAACTATAGTTATTTTTGACAGGGAAAAATTTTGTTTCTTAAGAAAACACACACCGGACGACGTTGATCCACATTCACAGGCGTGTGTTAAAGAGGCAACGACGGAAATTCGGTCACGACAAAATTCCACGTCGCGAGCAACCAGATATTTTAATACGTCACAACATTAGGAGAGAAAGAGAGAACACAAGAGAGCTAAAACAGGGAGAAAACACTTTGGTGAAAAATCCAAAATAAGAAACAAAAAAAACAACAACAACAAAAATACTTCCAATAAAAAAAAAAGAATGTTTTGTCTTAAATATTCAATACCGTCGTTATTTGGTTGTAGAAAAATCCATTGGATGGTACATTGGCAGCTTCTTAAGAGTCGTTGTCAACTTGTAAAACTTAACGTTATTTAATGAAATAATAAATTACGGTAATAAATTCACTGTGGCAATAAATAAATAAATGGTAATAGAATCGTTGATTAATTCAGTAATTGAATATCGTTTTTTTATTCGTAGCTTAGTGTGGCAGAAGTTAGTGGTTAGTTTTGGTATATATTCAATGATCGAGTATGTGTTATTTGTTGGTTATTTAAATAGGTACTCGGATGAGGTCGGACCCGAAGAAAGAGTACCCAATTGTCAAGGTGGTGGCATGATTGCGACTACTGATTGTTACTCGCCGGCGCAGCTTTCAGTGGCGCCGCCATTGCACTCTAGTTCCCTTTCCGCCTACAACACATGCGCTCTTGGATTTATTGCTACCAGTTGCTTGCATCATCATATCAACATTTCTATTTATTCGATACAATCAATAAATTTCTATCTCTAATCTTTCTAGAGCAGAATATTTTTTTTTAGAAATTTATTCACTAAGGTCGTCTGCTAATCAACATGCTCCTGCACGAGTTTCAATGATTGTTTCTCGAAGAAAGAATTAAACTAAAGAGGGTTAATTCCAATTTTTGGAGTCGCCTAAAGAACGATCTTGTTTATGATGATGTTTATATTTTCATAGAGATCAGTCTCCATAGGGAAAAATCGATATGGATTGAGGGGTGAGTTTTTCGAAGGGTTACTTTTATTTGTTTTGTTTTTATTCGAATAAAAAATAAGTGAGTGATTCTTTTCCAGGCTTCTTGTTCATAACAATGTTGGGGATCGCATTTTTGTCGATCTCAAACGCTCGCTGTAAACCTTCTTTCGACCAGTTGTTATTAACATACTAGCGATGATAAAGCATAAATTACTTAACTGGCATTGAAGGATTGTAGTTGGTTAACTAATCATTAGACAGAATTTTTTAACGGCGAGCGATATTGTTTGATGACAATCCTTCACCTCCATCTTTACCCCAAGAGATCAAATATTTTATAAAATGTTAAAAAAAATGAACAGTATTAAACATAACACAAAGAAAAAGATAAAATAAGCTTTTTCATCAGAAACAAAAGTGATCCCATCTGAAAGATAAACCTTAAGCGATCCCATTTGCTCCTACAAAAGAAAAATATCGTCTGAAGTTTCGGAGCAATAAATTTAGAAATCAACAAAAGAATCAACGAAAATATTGTGATAGTTTTTTTTTCTTACAATGATTGGATAATAACAAAAATATTTTCATCATTTTTTCGTGACCAAAAGACGTAAATTAACGATAACGTAATTGACGATACTCATTGCAGCAGGGAATTTCAATCAACAGATTAATGATGAAATAAGTCATATAATGTACAAGATGTCGTTTTTCTTCATATAAAAGCACAAGTTAAGGTCAAGACCCTGAGTAGTCTGTCGATAGCCATAGACGATTTAACATTTTACTTATTCGAAGATCCAGCTCGTAAATTATATAATTGAGGAAGTTTTGAATCAATTAATTAATTGCTTCATTTATATTACATTTTTGTGATATATTTTTTTCGTAAATAAATAAATAAACATCGGAACAGGAAATAGAAGAGGAAAAGATTTTTTTTCGAATAAATCAATCAGAGGATAAAGAGATATTTATTAAATCAACTTGAAAGTTTCAGCTAGAATAAACAGACAGGTAAGTTGTAATAATCTCCAATGGTATTAAAAAACCGAAGGTTTTGAATTTCATGCGGTAATGAAATTAAAGTCATCACAGTTGCAACGTCCAGAACGAGTCTCTTGACTCAATGGGAATTAGTTACCCATAAGTTTTCACGTGTGGTGAAGCTCTGCAATGTCTTTGGAAAGAATACCCAGAGAAATTCGGACTTTCGAGTATATTTTTATTTTATTTATCAATAGCATGTATCTTAAGAGTTAGAAAAGCTTTAATTTTTAGCTGTTGAAGCTTCGAATCAAAGCTAAAAGTGCTCTAAGTGATTTGAAAACAATATTAGCATCAGAAAAAATTGTTTTTATCGAAAATTATCATTGGAAGTCTTGGATTATCGAGTAAAGAAGCAAAGTAGATTTAGAAATAATAATCAAATATTTTATTTTCCAGAAAAGCATCAAAATTAGCAGTTCAAGAAGAAAAAATGGACCTCTTGAACCTAGGATTCTTGGCGCTTGAGTTGCAAGATTTAAAAGTGAGTGACGCAAATTTGGTATCAACATCAAAAAGAAGAATCTCAAAAAATGAAAAACTGGGTGACAACTGGAACAATAACAGTGATAATAACAGAAAAAAAATTGATAACAATGACAGTATTAATAACACTGATAAGAGAAAGATATTATCAATCATTTCATTAGGAGAATTAGCACTGCATGATAGTATTACCGACTGTTGGATTGCAATTAATGATTACGTTTATGACTGTACGGAATTTATCAAGAGTCATCCTGGTGGAGTGGATATCATAGGCGAGTATGCAGGTCGAGATGCAACAATAGCTTTCATCGGAACTGGACACTCAAGAATGGCATTTGAGATCTTGAATAATTATCTTATTGGAGAACTGCCAACTCAAGAAAGGCTTTTCCGTAGAGACGGCGGTATCAAGATGTTGATTAACCTCTAAAGGAATTTATTATACAATAAAAAAAATTTATTTAGTCGTTTAAATACATAAATAATAATTGCACTTGTAAAAAAATAATTTTTGCAGTTAAATTAGCTAGATAGCATTTTCACTAGAGATATTGAGAATCATCACACATCAACTACTGCCAATAAAAGAGAATAATTGTACTGGAGTATTATTTATGATTTAATAAATAAATAAATAAATAAATAAATAAAACAAATAATATGATTTACATTATTAATCTCCTCCATCTACTTCATCTGATAATTTATGATTTTTTTAATACACTTCCGGCTGTGAGAAAACACTTCCTATCCAGGATTTGAGGTCAGAAATTTCCTTCTCTACTAGATGCAATGATTAGCTTATATTTATTACTATTCATTTATCTAGAATAAATTAACAAACGAAACAACAACAGTGTTTCATTAGAATTCACTTGGGTTGAAATGATTTAAATAAATAAATAATGAATAAATTCGAAGTTCATTTATTATTTAACATCTTTATTAATTTATTATTTGGCATTTCGAGATATTATTTATTATCATCCGATAAAATATAAGTGTGTATGAAAACACTGTAATCACTGAAATACGTATGTGGGTGTTAATTTGATAAAAACTTTATTACATCATTTGACTAATTTTTTTTTTCTCTTAATATCTATGAATCGTGATTAGTTAAGACACTGTTTGATATACGATTGCAATTATAAAGTCTATGGTGAGATGTACGAAATACCAATAATTTTTTTTTTAATATCATAATTAATAATAATAATAATAATGAAGTAGTTGTTATTACTATTTACATAGTAATGATGAAAATTAACAGTGATGATGATTAACTGATACTGAATTAGTATTAAAAAATAACTATACGATTAATCAGTAAGCAGAAAATTAGTAGAAATATGAAAGATTTAATCTCATATTCATTTTCTTATTTTTTAATACTCTTTAAAATTGCACAATTATTTACAATTAACAAATTCAGGTATTATTTAATTTTACAATAATTTAATCAGCTGATTAAACAAGGAACATATTTTTCCATTATAATAAAACATGAAAAAATACTTTAATAACAATTATAATTAAATGAATAATTATTGAAAATTTTTGTTCCTACACATCCATCAAATACTATTTGATAATTACTTATTAATCTATCATTAATATAATTTATTTATCAATGAATACAATAATAAATTTCAAAATTTATACAAAAAAAAATCCTTTAGCTTGTTGATCGAACTAATTGAGTGATTAATCGATCGCTAAAATGAATACATTTACTCACTAAAGTGAATTTCTAGAATTTCATTATTTTTTCAATCATTTTCTACACTCACATACGTACTTAGCAGGTCAATAAACCCATTTATTGGCACGTAAATTGTCTTTAGAACAATATTAAAAATTTCTTTGATTATTTACGATAAAATTTTCCAACATAAGAATATGAAAAAATAAAGATAAACAAAAAAATTAACACTGGCATAGTTCTGTAGTTGCTTTATAATCGCTTATAAATCAGTAATTAAAGATTAACGAATTTATTTTTATTAATTAATATCATTTAGTTGTTGTATTTATCATTTTTATCCATTTTGGTTTCGATAAATTCATTTAAATCATCCGAATAATTGTTATCATTATCATTAATTGTATATCACTGAATCCATGATATTGGAACCCACTGTGGTTCTCTTTCTAATGAATTTATTTCTGTTAACAATTGATTATAAGCACGATCGGTGTCATTATTTATTATGATCATGTCGAACAAGTGTCCGTATTTATCCTCCATCTCACGTGCCTTCTCGATTATATCTTTAAGCTCCTCTTCTTTAAAGCTTTCGTTGCTTTTTATCCTCCTCTGTCGCAGCTTCTCTAGGCTTGGTGGTGCCACGAAAACAACGTAGGGCTTCAGATCTGAGCTTCGAAGGATTTTTAAGCTTTGAGGGTGTAGGTTTAATACACATATTTTACCCGAATTTACAACTGTACGTATTGCTTCTATTGATGTACCGTAATAAGCCTTCTCGTACTCGCCATGCTCTACAAACTTGCGACACAAAATGTCTGATTCAAATTGCGAGCGCGATATAAAGTGATAGTCTTGACCGTCAACTTCAGACCCTTTTCTAGGTCTACTGGTGTCTGAAAATTTCATTGAATGATTAATTCAAGTATTAATTTTTTTTTATAAATATTCAAAGTGCTTTAATAGTTACTATCATGATAACTTACGAGGAATAGCAGCAGCAAATCGTTCGCTGTCCTGCATCAGCCGCTGCCGTAGCTCATGCCTTCCAATGTTCGGAGGGCCAATGAGAACAATGGGCCGTTTATGACTTGCTCGAGGATAATAGAGTGCTACTTCTTCGTAGGTGAGCACTTCCTCGCTATCATAATCTATTGAAATAAAAAAAAAATTAGTCAACGAAGCTCAAGCAATTCTAGGAAAATGATTATATGAAGGGATTTGTCGGTGGATTACCATCAATTGTCGTTGTAGAATAATGAGGATAGTCTTCATTTAAATTCGGTCCAAATTTACTTCTCTTCTTTTTCTTCTTCGGGTTCTTGCGCGTGCACAATAACGTACTCGATTTCTTTGATCCTCTTAATGATGATTTGCTTCCAGTGATTGTTTGTTTCATTGATTCTCGTCTAGAAAATTAATTTAATTGATTAATCATCAGTTTGTTTGAGACTATTTTATGATTCCTTTGAGACTTACTGATGCTGAAAGGCTTTGCTAGGAATCAAACCAGCAAGAGTTTGGTCCTCTTCTCCTTCTCTATAAGCCTGCCACCAATTTGAATCGTCTTGCGATATTACGTGTAGAACGTCACCCTTCTGGAAGCTTATTCCCAGCTCTCGACATGGAATGTAAGGATCTTCTTCAGGATCATAATCAAAGTGTGCTCTAACATGATGAATCTATAAGAAAATATTTCTTTTATCATCTATTTATTTAGTTGTTGGAGAAAAAATGTATTTCAATTTTTTTTTATTTTTGTCCGAATGAATTTATTTACCAGAAAAGTGATGGAAAATTTACCTGATTGTTTTCTTCACGCCTCGTTTCGTTGTTTCCACGGTTATTAGATGATGCAGGTAGAACTAAAAATGTTAAACTGCCCTGCATTCCAGCCAGAATGTCACAGACCTCATTGACACTCTTTCCTCGCATTTCTACGCCATTGACTTCAAGGACTTCGTCGCCTTCGTTAAATAGTCCCGACTTTTCTGCAGCACCGCCACGCACTACTCGGCCTTGAAAAAAAAGTAACAAGATAAATTAGTGGAAGGACAAGGTATAGAAATGATGTAGAATATTGAGCATCAAGGAATAATCCTAGAAAACTAGATTTTTGATGTATAATATTACTTTAAATTTAAATAACTTGAAAACTATACAGGATATGATGAAAAGTTATAGAAATTTTTTTTTAGGAAATTTAATACTCTACAAAAAAAGTTCCTATAACTTTCCTTCTAAAATTACTCCTCTAGAATATATATGTCTTCAAAGTTTACTAACTTACGAGAAAGACTACTAATTTTATATATTATTGAATGAATAACTGATTGAGATTATTTTTTTTAATGTAAAATCGAATACTTTAAAAGAAAAAAGATTCTTACAAGTATTCAACTAACATTAATCTCTTCAAAAATATACGCTTGTAATGTTAGAGAACTTTTAAGAGATATCTCTAATCTCACATTGTCTTCAATAACTCGGAAACTATTCGAGATACGAAGAAAAGTAACAGGACCTTTTTTTGAGCGAATTGAATTTTTTACAAAAAAAGTTTCCACAACTTTTCTTCTAAAATTACTCCTTCAAAAAATATATAGCATTAAAGTTGTAAACAGAACTTGCAGCTTCTAATTTTCTTACTGTCAAAGCTCAGAATTATTTTTAGCACAAAAATCTTACCAATTATGACCGCATCGCCTTCATTTCTAACTGTAGCACCAAGTGGTTCATTAGTCTTTTCAATTCTAATGATTTTGATATTATCAGTATTCTTAGAATCTCGAAAACTAGAGCTTAGACTTGGAGATTCACTTGGCGATGATGATGAAGGTCCTTCTTTCCTCTGTATGCCATCAACGTACGAAATAATGGAGTCATGGGCAAGCAAAAGACCTTCTACTTCATAACTCGTTAATATTCCAGTTAGCTCCTCAACCATGGCCAAAGTCTCTCCTGATTTAACATTCGTCCTCTGCCAATCCTCAAGCACCTCCACACAATCTCGAGCTAAATTCGACGCATCATCATCATAATGTTTTGGTAATTTTCCTGACCGCAGCTTGGTCTTGACTAAATTGTACGTGGTAAGAGCTGTGGCAAACCGTCGCTGCAATAAAAGAGTCCGAACCGCTTCCAATTCTGCTTCGACACCTGGTCCACTTATTCCCAAGGCACCAGTTAGATTTTTCAATTGTAGTTGAAGTCTTTCCAGAGTCGCTACGACATCGCCATAAGCTGTAAAAATCAGAGGTTTTATTAATGTGCTTCGGGTAATTATAGTCATGTGAATTCACTGAATAGCATAGAGAGAAAAAATAAAGGAAGTTGCTTATGAATATTTAATAAGTGTTATTTACAATCTCATAGCCGTTGTACATGAGTCTAAAGAGCTAATCTCAAGGAAAAAATATTTCCAAAAATAATTGAAAATTTTTGTTTAATCTTATACTTACAAAGAACTTTAACTGGCGTCTCTTCTTCTTTTCGTGGCGACGCCTGTCCCGACGCCGTCTGACCTTTTTTACTCGTTGGAGGCGTAGGAGTAGCTTCATCTTGAGAGTATGCAGGATTTTCTTGGCCCGAAAGATTTATCGCATGGCTTTCAAGAGCATGAAGTTTCCGTGAGCCTCTTAATGATTGATTAAGATACTCTTGTCTCTCTTCATGATCCTTCCTCTGCCTTAACTGCTCCTACAATCAACCATGATAATTACAATCTCTCTATTGCATCACAAAATTTATCACATATGTTATTTTTGTTGATTTACGCCCATTTTTACATACCACTGAGTTCCAGAGATTTTTTTTTCAATCAACAGTGATTAATTATAATAGGAATAAAAATAAACTAACCTGGTACTTTTTGATAGAGTTAAGCTGCTGAGGTGTTGGCTGTTGAACCACTTGAGATTCGATTGTCGTATTAGTATTGTCATTGAGCTCAACGTTATTATTTCTCGCTGAAAGCCGGACGTTATCTTTGGGAGGTCTCGCGGGAGCACGTTTTTGATCTCTTGGTGGTATTGCTGGCTTGATGCCATTCAGATTGCCCTGGAAAAAAAAGTCTGACATTAATTTAACCATCAACATGCCAGAGAAAAATCTGTTACCCCAAAGATCATTTTATCATGATTATCATCAACAGTTGACTGCATTCTCGAAAGAAATTGACCTGAGAAACCCAGAATAAGGCTTGCGAGATAGAGAAAAAGACTATTCATGCGTTTTTATTGAAACTAGTATTCATTTATGATAAATGTATTGTTTAGAGGATAGCTTTTGATGCAAAGATAAAAAATAAAAATTCTACCAATTCGTTACCTGACAGTCGTCTCCTTCAAGTCCATTACTGTGATTATCAACAAGATCCCGAGTGTTGTCAGTAGTGTGTTGGTGATTAAGCGTTAAAGAAGCAGTGGTATCTTGTGCTGAATTGTGGCTCCTCAATGAACATGAGTTAAAGGAAGAGGTATAGGAAGTAGAAGGAGATATTGATTCATAAGCATGATAGAGTGCAGAGTTCTCTTTGTTATCAAGATAAATAATATCCTTTTCATACTCATTATCATCATCATCACTATTATTATTATCATCATCGAAAGCTTTCAATAAGTTTTTCGAATTCTGATTGGTTTCATCTCGAAAGCTATAGATTCTTTGGAAAGATAAGCCAATGCATGGTTCAGACATCTTATAGTCTTTCTGAAGGACATAAGGCAATGATGAGCGTGAAAAAATTGTGCGGTTTAGTTTTTTAGGACTTAGAGGGCTAAGAGAGTTAGAAATGATACTAGAGATAGGACTGGTGTTTGAAAGCGATTTTCCCGAGTGCTGAAGCAGACTCTTGACTTTAGACCTTACCTTTAAGGTTCCACAATTATCAGGAGCATTATCGATGCCATTCTTAGCATCGTCTTCATTGATTACTTTTATTGTTTCCTTTCGTTCCTCTTTATGTCCAACATAGTCAGTTTCAACTGGCGTACGTTTATCATTTTTATTCGGTGGTGGATAAATAGGATGACTTTTAGTTACCGGAACAAAGTCAGGTGGACAATCAACAGCTACTTCTCTGTATGAGTGATTGCTACCGACAACGAGGAATGATCGGTTCGAATGAAGATCAGATGAATCACTTCGTAGAGTTGAATATCCACTTGATGTTTGTTGATTTTTCCTCTTTTTCTTGCTTGATCTCGTCGTTCGGGACACATAAGTCGTGAGATCAGCAGCTAAAAGATCATCTGTTGACTTAGCGCCAATTAAATCAACTTCAAGATCTCGATTTTTTCCAGCTTCCTTTTTCTTCGCTGACTTATTAACATTCTCCGGTTTTCCAACTCGAATCACATGGTGAGGTTCCTCAGACCACGGAGAAGCTGGTGATATCGTCAGAGAATCATGAGACCGAGTATTTTTACGGCTGTTTTTTCCTACATCTCCAATAAGCCGGAGATCTTGAATTTCATCTGATCGAATCAACAAACCTTGATGGAGATCATGTAGATCTAGACCATAAGCAGGGTTGTCAAAAGATGTTGTCTCACGAGTGACACCGAATAAAGGACTGATATCTGGCATAGGACGACATGGAGATCCCAAATCAATTCTTGTCGCATCATATAATGGAGATTCCTTACCAGGCATTATCAGACTGGCATCTAAAGCTGTAGTGCTGTCAGACCTTCCTGATGAACTTCTAGGACTCGCTGAATCATCACTACATGTCTTCAACATGGTTGGATAGTCTTCCTTGGCAAATGGATAATCATCCTCAACATCAACATTGGACTCTTTGACTTCTGGTGAGCTTGAGTCCACCTCGTCATCGGAGCTCTCACCAAGTAGCTCTTTAGTCTGTATCTGTTGCTTCTCTAGATCATTCTCATCAACTTTGTTATTATTTTGCACCGTGATTTCGATTATTCTTGTTAATTTTGTTAATTTATCATCGCGATCAACTTTCGGATGCTGCTGTTTAATGGCTGCTGTTCGGGTTATGGAATCGTGTTTTTCGTGATCGTAAGCACGTGATTTTAAGTTAGATGACTCGTTTTTAATGTTTAAGGATAATTGGCGATATTCGGATAGCGGTGGTGATAAATCGAGGTGACTAGCACTACGATTGCGACGTGCAGTCTCGTAACGGTGACTGGACGAGTCATTTATTACCTTATTGGCGTATGCCTGCTGAAGCAGAGTATCGGGTACGTCCACAGGAAGCTCCCGATGGTGACCCGGGGTCACCCCCGGCACCCACATTTCATTCGGAACCACGGACTCTCGCGAATCCTTGAATTCTCGGGATTCTCCGTTATTGTTCTCCTGCAGCTGTGATTGCTGCAGGTGAATATCCGCCACGCCACTTCCGCTGCGCCTTCTAGACCTAGAACATTCATTTAAAGTAACATTAGTAACTGTTAATCATCATTTTAATATAGAAACATTCTATTTGAAATAATTTAGTATCAAAAGTGTTGAAAGACATCAACTTTTAACACTTTTTGTGCTAGAGATGAATAAAATACTGATATAGAACTTCAAAGATTTATTCATACATCATTTGAGTAAATAATAAGAGTGCAAAAAGCACTCTCGAGAGACTAATTCAGCTTAAAATGCTTTTTTTAATAACCATCCCACGATTATTACTTTCGAGGTAATGCATGCTTGGGGTCCAAAGCGAGCTTTGTGCTTTGATAGCACATAACTCGCCAAAAAAAAATCGTAGAGATTTTAAAAACCCCGTTTTCAAGAGAGAATAATAAGCTTTCAAGTGATATACTAAAAGTTTAAAAACAAAAAAAAATTTTCAAGACTAAAATTTATTAATTTCACAGAAAAAAACCTTCATTTATAACACCTTTCTCTTTACTGAATTTGATTCAACCCATTTGAAGTCCAATAAAAATTTTTCAGCTAGTCATGATTGAAGAATAAAAAAACAACTTTCAAATGCGACCAGAATCATCGAATTTCAATGATTTTTTAAGAAACCACAGCTATATATATAGATTAACCTTTCTTTTTGGAGCATCAACAAATACCTGAAAGACCTGACCAACAAAAAAAATTATGAACAGCAGAGTTTAGCAATAAATAAAGTTTAAACGATTGTATTTTATTCCAATAGTCAGCATAAATCCGGTGAAACTCCAAAACGACATCAGTAATCGCTCAATCCACTAGAAAATTTGAACGTTGGACATTCCATTAAACATAACGTCAACGGAATGTTAGAACGAATTGAATAGCTTTTGTGTTTTATTTAGTTCGCGGCGTGTCTATTTACGATATGAAGATAAATGTATGGATACGACATTTGTGTTTTACTGAATAAAGAATTAACAAAAGACCTGAAAGGACAATGGCAATGAGCAATAATACCCATGCTCCTACCATCAATGCCGTTACGCACCACAACCGTTTGATCAGATGACTTGCATTCTCTCTCTTGTTTTAATTTAACTGCCACTCTCAACTTTGTATTTCTCTAATTTATCGTACAAATTATTAATGAATCATGACTTTGATTGTTCCCAAAATTCCCCAGGGTCTGATAATCAACACATCTGCTGCGATATTTGAGTCCATTTCATATTTTACATCAACTTTTGCAGTAAAAGTCTGAATTAAAATGATTGTGTTGCAAAAAAGAATGTTTGAAGTAGATATTGAAGTAATTAATGATGATTCAATGATAAGATTAAAGTGTCAGAAGAATTTCTGACATTTGAAAATATTTTAATTGCCAATAAAATTCGACGAAACGACGCGTAATGAGTATTTAATGTTTAGAAATCGTCTTTGTTGACTCAGCCGAGCACAAAACGTGTTCCCTATTTTGTTGATTTCGATAATGAACGAGGAAAAGAGAAAACTGCATCATACCTTCTTGTTATTATTCTATTTATAAACATTTATTTCCATTATTTTCTACGATTTAAAGTGGAAATTCTAATCTACGCTGCAGACTGGCGATCATCATCACTCTATCCTGAATGTTGATGAAACCACTCAGATAGCCAAGACTATCAAGAATTGAATGTAAAGTACATGTTATTTAATAAAGACAATAATATTTATTTCAGTGAGAAATGATAAAAGCTAAAGTTGATGATAAAAAGGTAGCTAAAAGCTATTTTTCATTTTGACGAAGCAGAAGAATCCAGAATGTTCATAATTCTGATAAATAAAGTGTCGTGAAGAAGTGGATTATCTCTAAATGCCAGAGCATATGAATAATGGAGGTGAACAATATTCAAGGCAATGGGGTAAAGTACCAGAAAAAAGACGAAGACAATGATAATCCTACACGTACCATTGCAACGTTTTGAGGATCCTCATGGCGTGTTCGTTTATAATCTGTCCTTCGTACGTGGGCGCCTCTTATATGGGTGCAGTCGCGTCTCTTAAAGCACGAGACGAGAATCTTAATCGCTTCTCCACTTTTTAACGTCCCCAAGTACTTCCATTTTGTTTCCTGAGTACCTATTATCACTTGATATTTACCACTTTACATTAAAAAAACCCCATTCAACGTTGACTTCGATAGCCCTTAAACTCTTAGCAATTCTTCAAAAATGCATTATTCGAATTTCCCACTGAATTGTTTTCACTTGACATTGAACTGCCATTTAGCCACCTTTTTTAAAAGCACCAAAAGATAAAAAAACAAAATTTTTTGCTGAGCCTTTTTACGATTCTTCTTCTGCTGTTGGTGTCTTTTTCTCCTTTGTCAGATTGTGATACGCTGTATACATATATACCTCCTTCGGAAACGTCCGTACCGGTTTTAAACCGGCGAGACTGTACACACAGAAGTGGGCAATTCTTCGACAGCGTCAGATATTTCCAACTCCGTTAATCTTCTTTAGCAGCGAAATCACTGAAATCATCAGCACTTGACACTTTTCACCAAAGATTTTCACCAATTTCTCAACTAGCTGATCAATAAGCATCGATTATTGATCAAAAAAACACTAATCACTGTAATTACCTCAATTACGTCATCGCATTCCAAACAACCTGTTTCCAACACTGACGAAAAGACACGAAAACAATACAATTATTCACCAAAAAGCATATTTGTCAGGATGTTGAGGTGTGGACCAAAATGGCGTGAAACTGAAGAAGAGAATTTTGATTAAATCATTGATGATTATTAATCCGAGTTAGTGAAAATGCCTTTCGAGCATTAAATGAAGTCTGAATCGACGCTCAGGCAGCTTTGAACTGAGTTTGTTGGCTTCTCCGTTCACCAATCCCCTCAGCCACGACTTCCCGGATGAGAATATCCCCCTCTCTGCCCCTCTTACTACCACTACCATCATGTTGGCACTACTACAAGCCACTCTACCACTGCCATGAGCTCTCTCCTGTATACCTGCACTCCTTGGGTACGCCTGTGTGATAAAACTAATCCCATGTAACTGCATTGTGCATTTACGTATGCAACGTAGGCAATTCTGTAGACATTGGAGATACTTAAGTGTGTGTTTGAAGGTGGATGCGAAGAATTTGTGATGGTGTATTTTGCCTGGGTATGATTCCTGATATGAAGCACACCATGGTGGCGCCATTAACTGAAGCTGGAACTTGAGTTTGCTTAAAAGGATCTCGCTTTCAAGCATTCAAGTCTCTCTTTCTGTCTCATGGTCATGGGAAATATACACGAGGTTCAAGTGTCTGAACTTGATTCTGCTGTTATGAGACACTTTTTGATGTTTTTTTTTCTTCAATCCCCAGCTCTGTTTACATCAAATGCTATGCTACATGATTTCGAGCTCAAGAAAGTCCATTTTCAAGCCAGAGTCATTGGAGATCAGAACCTGGGATACTTAGATCTAGTTGATGAATGGAATATTTTTGGTGCTGAGATAATTTATTAGGGGTTTTGTTAATTTTTTTAAGAATGAATGGAACTGCAGTGGAGAAGGTAAAAGACGTGAAGAGTAATTTGAAGAAAAAATTGTGGAATGCTAGTTGAATTCCTAGAGTACTTTGGTAGAATTATGGGTAGGTTTAAGTGAGAAGGACAAAAGCCAACAAACCGTTTAGGATATTTTTTTTTCGTGATATTTTTCATGAGAAAAATTATTTTCATACATTTTCCTTCATGTTGACCTATAATTAAGGTATAAATAGCTCAAATGTAGAGCTTGGAATGTCATTTATCGCTACTGGCGTGTGATATCGATATTCTTATCACACTTTCTTATCAGTTATCGATTAAATATTGATGTTTTACTGTTCGATAACTAATTTTCAATATTATCAACACGAAAAATTGTCTAGTTTCCAGAAAAATATTTTTCTCAACGTATTCATTTTAGGTGAACAAGTCATGAATATTTAAAAAATTAAAATTCAATACTAATTTTTATGTTGATAAATGTCGAACAGTAGCATAGTTTTTATTATCAGATAAGTTAAAAACTAACATAAAAATCACGATATTTTTCCTATCTCTCTTAAACCCAAAATCTGAAGCAACATTCCAAGCTCCAAGTTAAATAAAATAAATCCACGTTTTACTTTCGATTCATACTTCCGAAAATACGTGGGGGAATAACCCCAAGCATATACGCACACTGTGAAACATGAAGTGAGTCACACGCGTCAGACCCTCAAAGTAGGGAAAATAATACAAGGGAATTACGTAGCAGGTTGGAGGGTATGAGTTTGCTTTTGAACGTGAGTAGAGGGGACGTTGCCTGGCTGATGAGGGTCGACATTTGGGTCTTTCCGGTTGTCAGGTGTATTTTATGTATGCCGGGACCTCTTTAGTATTTACTCACGATGCAGGTGGAACCTTTTCTGATGGTGAAGTGGAAAGTTACTGAAGAAGTTCCCTACTTCTACACCTTGAAAGCATCTTAAACCTACCCTAACAGTTACTGAGAGAGCTACAAACACATTACTCACACTTCCAAGCATCTTTCCCATTTCCAAGTTGAACACCATTGTCATGATTTACCCCTAAAACCTGAGCATTCATCAGTATTCTGAATTTTCTGGTCAACGTAGCATCCTAGGAAATTCCAAAATCCTAGTATTCATGAAATTGGTAGCTTAATCGAGATTTATTCTCTTTTTTGCTATCCAGTGGATCAACAAAAGAATCTTGAAAGCTTCGTTCCATGAATAACAACCATGAGTAAACAGCCTATCTTTTAAATGTTCTATCGCTCATGCATGTGTTGGGGTTTACTGAAATGCCTCTAGCTAATTTTTAACATCTTCTAACAATCATTAATATTAATTGAAAATACTTGTAGAGGTTGTAAAAAATTTATAGTGGAGTTAAAATAATATAAAAGTCAACTAGGGATAGGTTTACAAGAAGCAACTGACCTGCAAATTGGTTCCGGATTGTCGACTTCTCGTGGAGCGCTGAGAAAGTTCTCGTTAACAGCTGACGATGTTGAACCTCGTGGTGATCTTGGACCTCCCTCAGGCTCTCCAATCAGCACCTCCGTTCGACCATTTTGAAATGGACTGCTGGTACGTCTCTCATTCAGTCTGTTATTCTGACTTGGATGCTAGAAAAAAATTTCCAGATCAAGATCTATCTTCAAAGTTAAATTATCATCATTATAACTTTGAGGATGATAAATTGGTAAAGCTGGTCAATTATAAATAAGTTACCAGTAATTTTTGTTCTTCAAGATGATTACGTTGCTTCTCGTTAACTACTTTCCGGTCTTTCACATCCGTTTCCTCGATTGCTACCCCCTTTGGGACGGTTCCATTGCTCAACTTTGGAGGGAGATTGTTCCGATTTGCTTGAGGACTGTTCAACAGAACCATCAGTCATTAATCTAACAATAAAAATTTTTCCTGGGAGGAAATAAATTTCTGTGACTCCAAAAATACTCATAGACTGACCTACTATCAAGAGTGACGGTAATATGGCCATTGGTAATGTCTTTCTTTGGTGTTTCAGACTTGCTCGTGGATGCTAGAGAACTTTCATTGATCTGCAAAACAATATTGCAGTGTTTATCAAATATTTAGGCTAATAATTCGAGTGACATTTCAATAAAAGTGGAAAGAAAGCTTGAAAAAGTACAAAAGCTCGTGCTAAAAAAAATGTTCTCTTGCCTGTTGATGTAAAATAGCTTGAATATCCCTCGGTTGTATTTTCTTGAGTGCCGGCAGTTTTTGAAGTCTCTCCCTTGCTCCTCTAAACAGCAATAATGGAAAAAAGCGGTCAAGTATATTTTATTTCACCGTTCTCTTTCGTGCTCTATTCTTTGATAATTCTTTTTTCTAGTTTCACTACTGATATTTCAATAAGTTATTGTAATTATTAATCTATTCTCTTTTCTTTTATTTAAATGAAAAAGGTTACCTCTCAAGAGCTATGACCCAAGCATCTCGTATTCTATCTGCATTTGGCCCGTCCAATTCTTCTGCCGACAGGCAAAAGAGTGATTAAGAACAAGTCAATTATTTAAATAAACTTATTTATACTTGTAATTAATCCAACAGAGACATTTTTTAATGACGAATTTTTTTCTTTAAGTTATCAAGAAGGTTTTAGCTTGCTTTTAATAACTATGTTAGTAACTAGAAGGTTGAACTTGAAGACATCTTACTAGAATTAACCAAATTTTTTCTTTCAACAAACTCTTCCTAACCCTCAATTAGTTTTTTTAATTAAAAAAGAAATTCCTTTTATTTGAAGTTAACTTTTCAAAAATCTATTCATGCTTATTATTGATAAAGATTAAAATTTTGAATCAAAGCATCTCTATTATTCTAATCAGAAATTGATTTCATTTCTTTCATAAGATCTAGGTTATTTAAACAAATTAGGTGATCAGCGTGATTAATAATAAAAGTTTGTGATGAGTATTCCAACGGTAACCAACGTGACAATGAGTCAGAGAGAGTATCCCTCCATGCCTGGTTTAACAAACCTGTTTTATAACTGTACAGCCTATGTCTTATAATTTTTCGGTCAATATCATCAATTTTTACTGATAAAATAATTTATAAAAACAATTACAACTATAATCTTAGGCATTATTTTTTGAAAATATAAAAAAATGTTTCCACTTTACTTCAACTTAATTAGACTTCACATCACTTTTTTGCCAACTTGAATTAATTAAAAAGAAAAATTATTCCAAAAATAGGTTGAAAGTGAAATCATTTATTGTTTATTATATTTTTATATCGAAAACAACTTTTTAAAAATTTGTAAGATGTTTTAACCTCTTCATTAACACATAAAGAATAATCATTCATCAACAAAGAATGATTTTATTATAGAAGAAATTGATGAACAATTAAATATTTAAACTGATTGGAAGAATTAGGTTAGATTTTAAAGAATGAATTTTTGTTTGTTGATTGTTCAACAATAAATGACGTAAAAGAAGTTGAAAAAAAGCAACAATCAAATAATTAAAGAATAAATAAACTCAACCCAACGATTAAAAATGAACTAAACCGGTATGGTTACTCCTGAAGATTAGGAAGCGTAGAATTAGTCTTTACATCAGTCACGGAATGTGAATAATAATTACACAGCCACATACAGTCTCGTATTATACATATGTGATGATAAAAAACGCCTATTAACATTAAAATACTATCAAACAAAACAAATTGATGATAATTAAAGACCAAAAGATACCTTAAGAAGTTAATAATATCCCTATCAATCCCCCGATGGCGTTAGAAACACGATAAATATTAGCTTTTTATTCAATTTTTATTTAAACAAACAAAAAATTGTCACAAATACTGGAATACATAGTTTATTCGCAACTGACGGAACAGAAAGTGTATAACGTTCACGTTATACATTCGAAGGCTGCATTCCCGCCGTACAATCTACTCGCCAACATGTTTTCTTTGTCTTGAACACGAATTTTTTCATTTTTTTCTCCTTTTCTAACCACCTTCTCCTACTCGTCAACTCTTCCTACTCACCTAAAACCTCGTGAGCTATTTACCTACCCGAGACGTCACGAATGCTTCCGACTGTTTTCGGAAATGATCGGAACCCAAACGGTGATAAACGATCGACTACGGAAATGAACGAATATCTTGGCAGCGGAATTTAAACTAGTGATGTGGATAACTTTTGATGACTTTTATTCAAGTTTTATCCTTTCGAAGCCATTAAATAATACTATCAATTTTTTTATCACTAGGAAATGATGGTAATCAAGGATTTCATGGGCTTGAAAATTTTTCTCCGCACTTACTCATCTTGTTTCCACTCCTACGTGTCACTTGGAGACTTATGGTTCCAGATTTAATGCACTAGAGTAATGAAAAAAAATTAATTTCATGACATCTAGAGACTTGGAGTATTTTTAAAAAAATCCTAAGATAATGGAAATTAAAAAGGAACCTGATGAATGTGTTGGCTGACTTCAGAATCAGTTGCATTCTCCAACGTACGTCCATTGACTTCCAGTATCTCATCTCCAACTTCTGGATAATCGGCATTGTCAGCAGATGATCCTGAATTTATTTGAAAAAAAAAAGAAACCAAAAATTAAATCATTTTCCAACGTTTAAACAACTAAAAATAGGCTCCTGACTTTTGATAAATATTCTCTGATGTATCCTAAGTTGTAAAAATATTAGTTAATTGTTGCTGATAATGTAAATAATTTGTTTAAAATAGTTGGGATAATGAATCAGTTCAGGGATGCAATTTTCACATGCGCTAACTCTTGCGTGATAAATCCTATGTTACGTCATGTATTATTAATGCATTCCGACCTATATTCTCTCGCTCATTTAATAAAAAAAAATGGAATAAAAAAATTAAAAGGATTAGAAAGAATATTTATACCTATCACGAATATTTATAAACAATCAACATATTGATTAATTAAACAGAAAGAAAAAAAAATATTATTGGTGAAGAAAAAAATTACTTGAATAATTGAACAAGTGGTCAATTAAAAAATACATACCATACAACTTTATCTTGCCATTATCGTTCATGAGAATAATAATATATCCCCCTAGATCCACCATTTTTTATCAATATTATTAATATTTTGATTTAAAAAATTTTTTTTCTTCGCGTATATTTATTGTAATATTTTATTTTTTATTGCGTTTTTTCATACTCCACTTGAATGATCTTCACACAAATATCGATTGTTTAAATAAATAAAAATTTATTTATTCATATTTAAGTAATAATTCATTGAAATATATATCATAAAAATTTCATCAATAATCCTTAATGATTTTTGAAATCACTCCTAAAATTATTATCATTTTCTTTCAAGTCTTTTTTTTTAAATAATCATTCACTACAAATCTCTTTAACCATGTCCACACATTAGTAACAATATTTTTCACCATTTTTATAAATAAAAATTCCAATATCCCAGCATTGATTCCAAGGATCAATGGAATATTGCCAGACGTCCTGCTGGAAGACGTTGATTATTCTAATTACATCCAAATCATCCTCCTCAAAGTCCTGACACATATCTAGTTCAATTTATCCCATTCTTTTCACCACTTATTTATTAATAAAAAAATAAATAAACCAATAAAAAGTTTTGTAAATCAAGTGTAACATTATCAGGACTTTACAGTCAATTTTTCATTCATTATTTGTTTTCATGTCAACTTTGATATATTTGCCACCCGGAGGTGTTACTGGAGCCTCCAGAGAGGCTTTCTGGAACACTAAATTTCGTCTCACTGACCTGTGAGCGCCATAACGACCATAGTAGACAATTGGGCAACCCTGCGCGCGCCTTCACGACGACGCACAATTGTTTACTTTTATTAGCCGCCCGCGTAAAAAGGCTCTTTTTTTTCTTGCACTCTCGCAGAAAGTCCTCGAACGCATTTTATTGATCACCAACACCACCATAATTATATTTGCGATGATGCAAAACCGTAATTAGCCCTCACACCATATGATCAAATCCAATACAACTGTTATTACTGGCAATTGTCATCATTTACATCCTGTGCTGGTCCTGCTCTTGGCGCAAGTCAACCATAAAGTTATGGAGAAAAGGATAGATAGACTTGATGGAGTTATTTGATGAGAAAAGATGGACTTCCTTAGCCTTAAAACATATCATTATTGGAATAGTTGAACGTTTAGTTACTCAATGGTGTTATTATTGATTTATAATGAGAACTCTTTCCTATTTTATTGTTATGTTTTTTTTATATTTCCTCTTGGTGTTAGCTTTTGCTCGTAGAAATAATCGTAAACACATTTAGACTTTAATTGCGAACCGGAAGGCACCACGGCTGGTACTGGAACTGTTATCAGGAAATAAATCTGCGGAGAAATAAGATAAATTTGAGTTTGCGCATTTATGAAATACACTTTTGCATGTGCGCACTCACGCGCTTCTTTATTTTCAAATTAATCTCCAGTTTTTTATTCACTTACATCTCAATTCTTCACTTATTCACTCATCTTTGATTCCCACTGAAGATTACATTTACATCAAAATTTTTTTCCCTGTCAAATCAGTCCAGGTTTGATGATAAACAACCTGAATTGCTGTGAAAAATTGTATAAACTTCGATAGATCGAATTACTTCGAGAGATATCATATCACGTGTCGATACATCAATTTTCTAGCTTGATGATCGTTGCTATTTCAACAAAAAACAAAATAACCTTGAATTTATGTTATATTTGATTGGTCAACAAAGAGTTTTTACATTCCTTGATAACGATTCGTATTTTAGTATGTTCTGACTACTGTCAGTAGCTCAGATATTGTGGTGAATCATTGTAGCAATCAGGTTATCATCAATCATCACAACATTGCATTGTTCTGCATCGTAAGAAAATGAGCTATAACTATTGTTGACATAAATATTAGTTAGTAAATCCTTTTGTTCGACTCATCAACAACATAATTCATTTTCAAAATATGTTTCCTTATACTTGTGATAGTATATTAACAATAAACTTTCTTCTATCTCTAGCATATTCATCAAGAAATTACCAAGAATTTATAAATTCTTTTTGTTACAGGATTGCCGTTTATTAAAAACTGTTTAATAAAATTACTAAAGGTCAATAATGCTTGCTATTATCTTCTTCACACTAGTCTTCTACCTTTGCTCCAATGCTCAAGTGATAGAGCATCAACCTGAAGCTGTTCATCTAGCATTTGGAGGTAAGAACACTACAAGGAAGATTTTATTTTTTTTTAGCATCATAAATAACATCTATTCTCTTGGTTATTTTCATAAATTAATTGTTAATTTAATTTTTTAGAAAGCACTCATGATATTGTGGTAACTTGGAGCACAGTAGACGACCCTGGAGAATCGATAGTGGAATACGGAATCAGAGGTTTGATTTTAAAAGCCAAAGGAACTCGAACGAAATTTATTGATGGTGGAAATGAGAAGAGACATCAATACATTCATCGAGTGTATTTAAAAGATCTTACTCCAGGTCAAAAGTATGGTAAATATATCTTTAGTTAAATTTGAAAAGAAAAAAATATTGAAGCCTCTTCATTAACATCGCTAAATAATAAACAAAACTATCAAACTGCTTGTCATAGCATTCGAGAAGCATTAATTACTGTAATAAATATTCATAAATAACTAACAAACAAGATAATGGAGTAAGCAAGTTCATTTCCATATCATTAATGTTTCAGTTTATCATTGTGGAAGTAGGCATGGGTGGTCTAATCTCTTCTACGTGACTATTCCTCCGGAGTCAGAGACCTGGAAGCCTCAAATCGTTATTTTCGGTGATATGGGCAACGAGAATGCTCAAAGTTTGGCTAGACTTCAGGAAGAGGCGCAGAAAGGGCTCTATGATGCTGCTATCCATGTTGGAGATTTTGCTTATGATATGAATACTGATAATGCACGAGTGGGAGATCAATTCATGCGGCAGATTGAATCCATTGCTGCTTATTTACCCTACATGACAGTTCCAGGAAATCATGAAGAAAAATATAATTTCAGTAATTACAGGTACTTTATTACTCTTCTGAAAAAAATTAATTAACGAAAGTTAGATCACTAAAGTATCTTTTTATTTTAGAGCAAGATTTTCTATGCCAGGAAACTCAGAGGGATTATGGTACAGCTTTAATATGGGACCTGTTCACTTCATAGCTATTGAAACTGAAGCTTATTACTTCATGAATTATGGCATGAAACAATTGATCAAGCAATACGATTGGCTCGAAGCTGATTTAGAGGAAGCTAATAAGCCTGAGAATAGGTATGATTCGATTTAATAATAATTTACTGTAGCTTTTAATCATTAAAATTTGATTACTATTCTCTTTTAGAGCTAAAAGACCTTGGATTGTTACGTACGGACACCGACCAATGTATTGTAGTAATAAAAACGCCGACGACTGCACAAATCATGAATCGTTAGTAAGAGTTGGTCTGCCCTTCTTTAACTGGTTCGGGTTAGAGGACTTATTTTACAAGTTCAAAGTAGATGTGGAGATATGGGCCCATGAGCACAGTTATGAGCGAATGTGGCCAATGTATGATTTCAAGGTAAATAATAATTACAACTAAAATATTAAATTAAATCAATTATTTTGAATGATAATAATTAAATTAATATTACAGGTCTATAATGGTAGTTATGAAAAGCCTTATGAAAATTATAGAGCACCTATACACATAGTAACTGGATCAGCTGGTTGCAAAGAAGGTAGAGAACAGTTTATACCAGATCGACCAAGTTGGTCGGCTTACCGAAACTCTGATTATGGCTACACTCGTATGAAAGTCTTCAATAAGACCCATTTATACATAGAACAAGTAAGATATATATTTTTTTTCATCGGAAATGTGTTTAATAAATATTTAAAATCATTTTCAGGTCTCTGATGACAAGAAAGGCGCAATTTTGGATGAGATTTGGTTGATAAAAGATGATATTTGGCCGAAGTATGCTGAAATTTAAGAGAAACAAATAAGCAATCAAATAAATTATTTCAAGAATTAATTAAGTAATCGAAAAAACAATTATGAATAATTAGTGGGCTTCGAAGAGTAAAGAATTCGATTATTTAATTAACTTCTTTTAATGGATCTTCACATATCTTTCAATGGATTTGATGTCGATAAAAACCCAGTGATAATAATAATTATATAATTGCATAATAATAAGCATGGTAATAATAATGATAATGATTATACAAATTTATTTATGATCAAAATAAATGTAGTTATTTTATAAAATATTATCAAAACTTTAGAGAAGAAATGATTGATTGTAAATGAGTGCAACGCCTCTGGACTATGTATCTCTTCAATTTGTAAATTGGTAACATACAGACCAGTCCTTCTAGAGTCAACCATATTGATCTCGTATTTTCTGCTGACTATCCAAAAGATCCACAATGTGCTCGTTATAGATTTCAAGAAAGCTTGCTTCAATTTTATACTCCCATCTTAGGAGCTCAAATTCTTTCATTTGGACGAAGATATGTCGGACAGTTCTAGGTATCATACCTTCCAACTCAGGATCATCACAACCTTCCATCGTATATGTACGTTTTACCAGAACCAGTTTGACCGTAGGCAAAGTCACAAACATTGTCACCTTCCAAGGCTGATTGAACAAGTAGAGACAACTCTTCAAAAATATCTGCTTGGGTAGCAGTTAGTGGAAAAACTTTATCAAAGAAGAATTCTCGTTTATTGCCACGTGCTTTACCACTGCAACTCACTGAATTCAATTGGCTGGAACCAATTGTTATTATTATTTTGTGCTTTTTCGGATGGCTCAGTTTGTGATATCTTATTGTCTTCCTCAGTATTATTTTATGCTACTAAGAATTATCCTACAATCCAAGTGAATATATTTACACAATTAAAGTAGCAGTAAATCCACTAGAAATTTTTTATTAATGTTTGTACAATAAACAATGCGATTACTTACATAGGATTCACTAAATTACTGAATGATATTAATTTACAAAAGCTCTACATGACTTAATCGATATTGCATATATACACTTGAATAATAACTGAATCATCAGAAAAACTATCTTTTTCTAATGCAAGTTCATTTCTCCATGTCAACATATATATTCTCGTCGTCGTTATCTTAGAATATCCGAAGCGATAACTAGGGTCAGTTTTCGGTGTCGGTTGCTGAAGATTCACCTACTTTTGATTCCAAAGAAAATGGAGGTATGCGACAATCGAATGTATAACCATCCTCACGTTCCATCCTGAATGTACCCCTGGGAGGTAGCAGATTATTTAAAGAGTTCATAAAGTGCATTGAGTACTAATATATTAAGTATTAAAGTAACATAAAATCTTGTCCATTTACCACATGTGTCCACTTGGTGCTTGGAGACTAACATGACTACTATACTGAAAAGCTGGTAAAGTTTTTGACAATACTGGCTCTTGACCAACAACTCCACGTCCCCGGACTGTCTCTAGTGTTCCAGACAGACTGAATATTCTCCAATGTCGTTCACGTAATTGAACACTAAGGTCACCTAAATTTTCTAGTCTAATACAGTAACGCCACTGGAAAAATAGTCAAGCAATAAAGTGTTAAACAGACTCGTAAATTAGTATAGTTATTTACCCAATAAACTGATGTAGTTTGAGTCTCCCTGCATCCCATGTAGAACGGAATCACTGTCACACGAATATTTTCCGTTGTTTCTTTGTGAACATCTGACAACTCTAGCCAAGGATGGTTTTTTTCTTGCCAAGCTCGGAGGGTCTCTTGAGCTACAAAAGGTGGATCTCTACTGGGATTGAATGTCAGAAATTTGTCAAATAGTTCATGCTGCAAAGCAGATTTGTCGTTTGTTGAATATGGAAGGATGTCTTCGTGTGCTACGTAATCAAGACCAGGTATTGCATACAGGCTTCGACTACTTTCATTATTTCCTAGGAAGGTAACGGCTTCTGTTTGTGCTCTCTGTAAAGTCGAGTGATATAATATTTATTAAATATTACTATTAAGAAGCAAGCAGTATTTGACTTACAATAAAAGGACAATCACGTTGATCAATCAACACCTGATAGAATGTATGTGTCTTTCCTTTAACTTCTTTTCCAACACTGGTGAAGTTTTCTTCATGGCTAAGATTAATTTATTTTATTTAGATTAAACATAAAAATGATAATGAATTAATACTGACACTTACCCGTTTCTTTTATTCGGTAAATCACGGTCGAAAACTCTCGCGAGCCAAGGAAACAAAATAACCCCTCGATAGCCAAAAACTCGATGCAATATCAACTGTCCTGTTTCATATTTTCCTTGGAGCTTTGGTTTCTCTAATTTCCCTACTTCTGCTAGTCTGAAGCAACAAGAGAATGATCAAACCTAAGTGAATTGAACTGAATATATTTGTTTATTTCTAAAATTAAATACGTTTGAAGACGTTGTAACAACGTAATACCTTATGTATTTTGCATTTTGAATGTTTAATAATTGATTTGTTAATTTCAACAAATATTTATCACTACAACCTCGGAATATTTGCATAAAATTCATACTCAATAATTTATGAGTGTCAGTTTGTTATAATTATTCTTTAAAAAAACAGCGACTGAAATAGTGTTATATAGATATTTCACATGATCAAATAATTACAACTGTCAATCTCTACTAACTTTCTATAGATATTTAGATAAACAGAAATTGTTGAAAGTGATAATATTTCAATACATAAATTTATTTTCTTTTTTTATAAAGCAAAAACGCCGATATGCAATTCGTAAAATTATTATTTTAGGTTAGAACAGCAGAATTTAAAAGTATAGTTGAACCAAGAGAAGAGTACTCGCGATTTGATAAGACAGTATGTGGCGGTAAGGGAGTTTTGAGTTGTGCTCAGTCGTCGCCAGGCGGCATGACGAGTCTAATCCTGAGGCTAAAGATGGAAGCCGGAATTCTCAATAATAATCATAAAGATTTTCTATAGTCTTCAAGTTTTTTACTTTTCACATCTGAAAAATGATGAATAAATTTAATTAAAATAATCACAAATTTAACGAACAAATTAACCGTAAAACCATATAAAATATTAATGATCAACAATACAATTGTGCCGATGATAACAGCAGTAGTGAAATAGTGAAATCTAAGTCATAATTTAGTTAATCTCGTGTGTGTGATAGACAAAGAAAAATGTGGTTAGAACAATGTGATAGTTTTGCTGAACTGTGTCGTAGTTATTTGCCATATTATTTATTAATTATTTTGCCAATATTTATCGTTGTTTCGCCTGTTAACCCCGTCACCGCTTCACACGAGTTACCAGTTTATCGTATGCATCAGTATGATTTACATGGCATTGCTCATGGTAATTGAAACATGAATGAAAATGAAATTATCGATGAATCGTTTATGAAACATGAAACAATATACATTCATGTGATTCATAGGCCATCCATAAGCCAAAAAATAATTAGTTAGGAGTTGAGGGATCTTTTCGTGTAATTATTTTTTTGAAATCTCTCATAGATGGATGGATGGATGGCCCATGGATCAATGTATTAAAAATTAATTGTATCGAATTTATTTATTTATTTATATTTAAATGAAGATCAAATTTATTTTATATGAAGTAACATTTTTTTTTTATAATTATTTAAAATAATTCACAGGTTGCAGAAGTGCTTCAATTTTACTAGAAGCAAGAGCATTAAGTAATTGGCGTACGTCAAGACATTGCATTATTACACGTCTCACGGATCTCACTTCTGATTTGTTCTACTCAATTAAGGGCAAGGCTGGTGCTCTAATTGTCATGTTGCCAAAAAATATGCATAATTTAACTGCTGATGAAGAAGATGTAAGCACTTATTATTTCCAAAAAATAGTTATCTAGAGTGCTGACGATTGTTTTCTTTTTTTTTAGCAAATTATCTCTACAGAAATATCGATGATGACAAGTGGTGAAATCTCCATTCCAGTCTATTTTTCTACCTGGGATCAAAACCTCGAAGCAATAATCAATGACTTGGAAGTCGGATTCTCTGGAGATGACAAAGGCGAAAAGACTTCTGGAGCTGCCGAGCTGCAGTCTGTGATTAGCGCTATTTCAGCGAGTGGTTACCAAGTGATTGTAGGAACAGGGCAGCCTAACCCAAGGAGTGATGCCAAAGTAGCAACGTTGTATGGGAAATTAGTTGGATATGGCGCAGAGGAAAAATTACCAACCATTGCATTGGTTGCTCATTACGACAGCAGCAGTGTAGCAACAGTACTGTATCAATGTTATTTAAAAAATACATGATATTAATTTTTTTTAAAGATGTGAAGTCAACATGAAATTTTTTTTTATTATCTAGGAGTTATCTTCTGGCGCAGAAAGCAACGCCTCAGGCGTATCGATGCTTTTAGAACTCGCCCGGATTTTTTCTGCTCTGTATTCCATGCCTAAGTCTCGTCCTCAGTACAATATCATATTCGTACTCAGTGGTGGTGGCAAGTTGAATTACTTTGGCAGTAAAAAATGGCTCGAGGATCAATTTGATGGAACAGAAAGTTCAATGATTCAGGTAAATATCAATTATAATTTCATTGATCGTATTTGTGATGACGCTGATATTTTTCATTAGTTAACTTTTCTCAATCGTGATAAAAAGCTTGGGTTGAAAGGAATAAATTGATAAAAAAATACTAACATAAATAAACTGTATTTATCAACACTATACAAAGACATAAAATAACTTTTTTTATAGTATGCTTCTTACGTTATCTGTTTGGAAGCCGTATCAGCGTCTGATAACCTACATCTTCACGTATCGAAGCCACCAAAGGAGAACTCTTTTGGTTATCAGCTTTACAGAGAACTTTTCTCAGTGGCAGAATCAATGAATAGTGGTGTTAAAGTAGAAGGTATTCATAAGAAAATAAATTTAGCGGAAGAACTTTTGGCTTGGGAACATGAACGATATAGCATTAGAAGGCTGCCAGCAACAACATTATCGAGCTTAAAGAGTCATGAAGATGCTCGGAGGAATTCTCTTCTTGATCTTATGGATAATAATCAGATTAACAGGCTCCATTTACATACACAAATCGTTGCTGAAGCTTTAGCAAGACGTTTATACAACGTCAATTCAACTGAAATACTCTCATCTACGATTGAAATATCAAAAACATCTTTAGAAATGTGGATGAAATACTTAACGTCTCAACCAAGAGCCGTCCCTCTTTTAGCTGATAAACAAAATCCTTTAATTAGTTCCCTTCAGGAAGCCATGACGCGTTATTTATCTGATGTCAAGGTTTCTTATTATGCTGCTGATAAACGTGATCCCGAATTTGTTTTTTACGATATTACAAAAATTGTTATGAATGTTTATAGTGTTAAACCCGCTATTTTTGACTTGTTTCTTACAGTTGCTATTATTTTGTACTTAGCCGCGGTTTATTTTGCAGTTCTAAAATTCCCTAGTGTTTATTCCCTTCTGACCCGGATGACAGTAAAGAACAAAGCGGCATAATTTTATTTTTATTTAGTGATGTATCAGTTTGAAAGGAGGCACAAAACTGCCAAAGGTCTGATTTTTTGAAATTAGAATCATTTTTTTTTTTCTACGAATTTTTTATCAAATTTAATCAGCTTCCATTTGAGTAAAATATATTTAAAATTGCCAATATCGTGTTTAGTTTAATATAGTGATCAATTATTTTCATTGAACTATCATTTTTGAATATCGGAAAAGTGATTAAATAATGAAAGTGAAATTAATAAACAAATAAAATGAATGATTTAGTGGTGAATAATTGCATGAGTAAAAACTATCGATGAATTTGAAGGACTGATTTGTAAAATGGCTTCCGTATTTTCGAAATTATTCCTGAAAGGATCAATATCATTCGGTTAGTAATAAAAAAAAAAAAAAATAAACAAATCTATATATATATATATATGAAGGAAAATGAATATTAAAATAGTGATTAAATGAAATGGAAGAGTTAAAAATATTCTATAAGTAATGATGAATTTTTTGAATTGTTTTTGTGGGATAATAGAGTTGAAGCAATAATTAATTGAAAATAAATAATTTATTTAAAAACAATCAACATTTTTTTATTCGCTTAGAATATTTATAAAAATTTATAAAAAGTACATAAAGTAGCTTTTTTTATCTTAATTATCATCATGGAAAATAAGTAAAAATCTCTCTGTCATTAACTTCTTTTCTATAAAAATACTCTTATTAAAGTTTATGATTTAAATTCAACAATAGTCCAATATTAATTAAAAATCTTTGAATGGAGGAAAACAGAACTTTTTTGTCAATCGATCAGTCGCTTCTGGCAACTGAGCACAATTATTATCAGATAATTTCCCTCTTCTCTTCTGCACTCGTTTAATAACTTCCCTTTTCCAATCCTCAATAGAAATAATGCTTTTTTTGTTTTCTTTCAAGACATTACACAAGTCTGTTATAAACCATGAGCCTAAATAATTAATAAAAAAAAGGAGTTACTTAGGTATTAAAAATATTTTATTTAATAAAGAATAATAATTCTGCAAGTACCTTCTTCCTTATGACGATAAGACACATGATCTTTGATCGTAGAAGAGAAACAATAATACTCTTTATAAAAAGCTAAATTATAGTTATACGATACCCCATCAGTTGTTAAATGATTATCAGTATCCGTATGAACACCATAAGTGTCGCCTTGACAAGCTTGAATGATCAAGAGTTTTAGAGTATTTTTCATTTCCTTAGTGCACATTATTTTATCAATATCATCAATTAAAATAGTTGCATTATCAATAGTCACTATTTTCCCTGCAATTATTATATTAATTAAACGATTTAATATCATTTTTGATCATCAAAAAGTCGTTTACAAACCGAGAAGACCATGACTTAGGATGCAAACAGCAAAACAATCATAAACATCATTCTTTGAGGCAAAATCTTTAATTTTTGTAATAATTTGTTCTGCCTCTAAATCCTTAAAACGATGGACTTCAAAATTTAATCCATGAAACGTATGAACTAAATTCTCTTCATCCTTTTCACTTCCTTTTCTATTTTCATACTGGAAACAAATCAAACTCTTCTAGAATCAATGTAGTTATTAATAACTCCTTCAAATTTACCTCAGTATCAAATAAACGAAAATCCATTTCATTAATGATTAAACACAATCCTTTCTTAATAATTACGTGCTGCTCAAGATTATTTTTACTATCAGTACTTTCAATCTTTATTTGTTTAAATAGCTTAGAACAATACCAGTCTATATCACAGTAATATATCTTTTCATAATGCCCCAACGATTTCAAACATTTTAAAAGTTGCCTCATATCACCTTCGTCTGAAATTAAATCAACAAAAGGTCTTTAAATAATAAGTCGATAATTTTAGTTAATTGACAAACTTACTTGGTTTGATTGTGATGTATCCCACTGAAATCCAATATAAAGCATGGAGTTCAAGTATTTCCACATTCTTCAGCCTCTCATCTTTTTCAATGTTTTTATAAATTGCATTCAATAACAACGCTTGGTCTTTAACACCAAGAGACTCAAAGCATTTATATAAAATCTTAGCTCCAACATTAATCTTAGACACTATTCGTGATGAAAAAGGATAATGAATTAGTTCCAAATCCTTCATTAATAGTCCTAGACTAGTGATGATTTTTTGATTATTAATTATACACAATGCTTCAATAAACTTATCTTTCCAGTTGGAAATTTTTTTAAGGTGCTGAATAATTATGTCACTGTGGCCATTCTGGAGATAAATGGCCATAAGGTCATTAAAGCAATAAAAGTCGTCTAACATGAGGAATAGGATAGAAAATTTTTCTTCAATATCTAATTCATGCTCTATCAGTCGAAGAATTTTTTTGTTTAACTCTTCCGGGGACGAAGTTTGATTAGATATGGGTAGGAGCTTTGATGGTACTGCATCAGTTGCTAATTGAGCCATTGCGGAGAAGTATTGTTCAAATGTTCAAGTATTGTTGCAAATTTGTTCTGAAATCAATGAAGAATAAATCAAAACTTGTTTATTATAAGTGAATACAGCTAATAATAAAATAACAATTGTGTATTAACAGTAATTGTTGATTGTTTTTCAATAATGAAATAATCATCATTCTTTTGTTATGATTTCTGAAAATAATGAATTGTTTTAGTGAAAGATAATTAGTAAAGCTGTAGAAATTTTAGTTTTAAATTTACCTGGAAAAATAATTTTTATGTACGAGAAATGTTAAACATTATTGTTTAAAAGAAATGGAATAAAAATATTTGTGCATACGTTCATTACACAACTGTCAGCACAACTAAGTGATTGGATAAAGTAGATCCTACGTGTCTTTTAACTAAACTGAAATTCCTAACATATCGATGCTCCAAACTATACTTTGCTTTTAGTATTCATATAAAAATGTATGAAAACACGAACAAGCTGGAGTAAAGCTGAAACTGGTAAAAATATATCATATTATATATTCTGCAAAATATCTTAATCGTGAAGATTTTGATAATTTTATTATTTAAATTTATCTAAATCCAGTTTCTGCTATCAATTTTGGCAACATGGCAGCCCGTAAGTATTTTTTGGCTTTATTAAAAACAGAATCTATTAAAATTATCAAACATTTTTAATATTTTGCATCCCAAACAAAAAAAAAATTATTTTTATTTCAATAAAAATTAATCAAACTAATTAATGAATAATTCTGTAAGATACTTGTTTAAGTAAATAATTAGATTACTTAAATGTTTTAGTAATTATTTTTTAATATGACGTATTGATAGGCAATATTTTTTCTTATCATTGACACGTCATCTTGATAGAATCGTTTAAAAATAATAATCATTTAATTTAAAAAACTATTTATTTTTAATTGTAGTAAACTTTATTGATAGCAAAATGTAATTTTAAAGTGAAATCTATTTCAAATGAATTCATTGTTGTCATGCCATTTATTTTTTTGAATACATTGATTATTTACATGATTTTATAAAGGAGCTCCAAAATTTGTCGATATACAAACGCCACCGAACAAGATGGCGACGTTTTTATTTGGCAACTATTAGCCCTCTGTCATTCATCAACATCATCAATGATAATAATTTAATCTGATGGATTTAATAATTAATTGAATGAACTAATTTTCCATTAAATAGCTGGGGAATTGACTCCTGAAATTCTGAGCGATTTTCGCAAGAAATTTCACCAAGAAGAGAAAAATTTACTAGCTCAAAACGTGTGTACCAAGAATGATCCACTGGAATGCTGCATGTCTAGATCGAATTTTGAAGAAACAAATCATGTATTCCAATATAAAGTCATGGAAGCAAAGCCGATGACAAATCAAAAGAATTCTGGAAGATGTTGGATTTTTGCAACATTGAATGTCATCAGGATTCCATTTATTAAACATTTTAACTTGGAAGAGTTTGAGTTCAGTCAGCCTTATTTATTTTTCTGGGATAAGGTAATGTTTAATTTTATATTTAACTGTTGAATGAATTAAATTGAGTAATGATTTATTATTACAGATTGAACGTTGCAATTATTTTCTTCATAATATCGTTAAAACAGCCAAGCAAGGAGAAAAAGTAGAAGACCGATTGGTATCATTCCTCCTCCATGACCCCACCTGTGATGGCGGCCAATGGGATATGATTTGCAATCTAATAAACCGATATGGTTTAGTTCCAAAGGCATGTTTCCCAGAGTCCTGGACCACCGAATCAACCTCTCGAATGAATTCACTTCTCACCAGCAAGTTGAGGGAATTTTCAAGAGAATTAAGAAGCCTTGTTGATGATGGAGCGTCTAATGAAGCCATTGAGAAGAGAATAATTGAGCAGATGACTGTAGTCTACCGAATCGTTGGTATCTGTGTAGGAATTCCATCAGAAACAATCACTTGGGAGTACTATGATAAAGCGAAAAATCACAAAAGCATCGGACCAATCACTGGATTAGATTTCTACAAAAATCATGTAAAGCCATACTTCAATGTTGATGATAAGGTTTGTTTGGTGACTGATCCAAGACCTACACATCCATTTGGACATCTCTACACTGTTGATTGTCTGGGCAATGTTGTTGGTGGACGACAAACCCTTTACAATAATCAACCAGCTGAAGTGTTGCTTGAACTCACTGCTAAAAGCATACACCAGCAAGAAGCTGTTTGGTTTGGGTGTGAAGTCGTTAAACGATTTGCTTCAAAACCTGGATTTTTCAGCCTCAAAGCACATGATATTATGTCGATGTTTGGAGTTGATGCTCAACTAGGACTCTCCAAAGCAGATAGATTGATCTATGGAGAGTCTTCTATGACTCATGCTATGGTTTTCACTGGAGTTTCTTTGGATGTAAGGAATTAAGTAACTTTTTAAAGTAATATTGATGACTTAGCATTGGTTAAATTGGCATTTTTTTCGTTTAGAACAAAGGAAAGGTCACAAAACTTCGTGTGGAAAATTCCTGGGGTGAAGAACGTGGAGATAAAGGATACAACGTGATGACTGCAGAATGGTTTAACGAGTTTGTGTTTGAAATAGTTGTAGATAAGAAATTTGTACCACCTGAAGTACTTGCAGTATTTGAACAAGAGCCAAGAGTTCTTCCTGCTTGGGATCCAATGGGAACTTTGGCTCAATAATCATTTAATTGATGGAAATTTATAATAACATACAATATTATGGTATTTTACTACTCAATTATAAATTTTAGATTTTAGTTTTATGAATAATTGATAATTATCTTATCAAGCATTGAAATAATATCGATATAATATCAAAATAATACATAATAAATTTTTTTACAATAATTTTTATTTGTTCCTTATTTTTTTAAATAAGTATTTTTTATTTGTCAAAACTAATAAAAAAATTCAGGGTTCTTTTTGTTATCAATAACGATCGATGTTTTTGTATAAATAATTTTATTCAAAACCTATTATATTATTTAGAAATTGAACAAATGTATTTTTAAATAATCTATTTACAATAATTGTTCATCAATACAAAATTATTTTTTATTTTTTTTCTTCTTTTTTTCTAGATAGTAACTGTATTTGAACTTTGCCCAAACTCCCTGGCACATCCTCTTAAGCTGTTTATCTTCGTTTAATTTTGCGAATTCATATATTCTTGGGATTTCAGTTCTAGGTAATTTTAATTTATTCTGTTGAATCAAACTCAGGCATGCATACAATCGGCAACGAGCTATGAGTAGTGGGTCATTTAAACGTAATGCTAGCTTAAATTGATGCATAGAAATCTTTCCAGCTACTTTAGCCTGTAGAAAATAAATTAAAAATATAAATTAATGAATTTATTTATGCAAACCAAGGAGAACATAAACCTGTATAATTATGCAGTCTTACACAAGAATCAAATTGTTCCCCCATTGCTGAAAATGCACCACCAAGAGTTGACAACCAAGACATGGCATAATTTAATTCTCTTCTTTCCAATGCCAACACTGTGATAATTCTATTCCTTCAAAGATATTTAATTAATTTTCTTAACTAATAATTAGGTATTTATGCAAATTATCAATCTAAATAATAATTTTATTACCATTTATAATCTAAGAATTGTTTCTTAGGCATTATCAGGTTGATGAAAATCACAAAAGCATCAGAATCTCGACCAACATCATTCTCCATTCGACTTAATATCAAATATTTCAATAACTTAATAGCAGATTGACGATAAACATCTGATGTTTTCAATAAAAATACATAAGCTGAAGCTAAGTATCCATTAAATCCTCGTTTATTTATAAAAACTGGAGTGATTTTGAGTTTAAACTTCTTATTAATGTCTACTTGATCTTTATTTCCATTATCAATCATCTTATATTTATTTATTGTTTTAAAATCTGCTACGTACTCATGATTGACTATTAAATCATCATAAATTGATTTACGATGATGTATAACTAATCTAATATCCATTTCAATTAGATATGATAATATTTATTATTAATTTTAACACAAAAAATTCTGTCAATTCTTTTGGAGCATTGATTAATGTCAGTTATAAAAAACACTTAATTAATCCATACAATTACGTAATTATTTTGTTTATGAATATTCTCATAAGTACATCAGTTAAAATTGTTTGTTTAAACAAAACTTTGTTGATTGTTTATTGATAAAACGTACCAAGAACTTGAAAACTTATCATCTAACCTAAGAGTTGATTTAAACAGTTCAGACTGTTGCGACCTCTCTCAAATTCTCAACTCAAAACACATCCTAAATCTTCATGGAATTATTTATTGAATAAAAAAATATTAAACTAAACAATATATCAGTGAAATAATTTATTTTATAGAAAATATATAAAATTTATTTTCAAGTAATCCTAGAGAACATCACATAGTTTATGAACTTATCTAATAGTAGCATAACGTTGAAATTCATTGGTCAAAAAATTTCCAGGCAGATGAAGCGTTGGAGGACCTAGAATGTCTTGGGCAGGACTGTGTACTTTAATTTGTCTCATATGAGTATCTCGACCATTTTGATGATTACTTATCACTGCAATTTGTATCATGAAGGTTCTCACAGGACGTTCGTTAATGTCTTTAATAGGAATCACCACCCATCCACTTGGTTCATTTAAATCCATAACTTCTATTTCTTGGAGATCATTGAAATTCGTTCCTGATCTTATACTTATGCTTTAAATAAAAACAAAACACATAGCAGCATAAACAATTTTAATAATTCAGATATTGAGCTAGTAATAATTACCGACTAGGTGTGTAGCTTTCGTCTAATTTATAATCAGTGTATATACAAATGTCTCTGATGGTTGTCTTCCTTCTAAACTGGATGTTAACGAGGTGAGGAAGTTGACCATCAGATTGCCAATAAGTTTCTGTTATGTTGTCTCGTAGCTGATCAACACCGAATCCAGGTTTGCAGCTTGATAAACTCCAAATTGCATGATTTCCAACCTCACGAACTCGACCTACTAATTCTTCTATTACAGGATCAATTTCTCCAGCTTAGAATAATTATTACAGATTAAATTCAATAGAATAGAGGTAGAAGGATGATAGACAAGATAAAAGAATAAATATGAATGATAACACATCCTGGATGATGGAAATAATTATGATACCTTTAGTTTGCATATTTTATGCATTTACAAATATCCTTGATTAATAATGAAGGTTAAAAAGTTGTAACAATTGACTAAAAAATAAACGTTGAGATGAAATTAATCCGAAGAGAAATGTTTATGTTTCCACTCCAAAATAAATGTTCATGTCACATGTTGAAAGTTTCCACTATGCGGCGTTACTTGTCATACCGTATTGGTAGACGATAGTAAACACAACGTTACAGCAAGAGTTCAATTTTTCTTATTATTGACGTGAAATTAAATAAAAATAACAATGGACGATGATATTATGATGAATTTAGACTTATATGAGTTAATTGGTACAGTATCAACAGCTTCAGTCAAAGAGGTATTTATTTTGTAATATTTTATCTTTGTTTATAGATTTCTAACCTTCAAAATATCTGTCAGAAACATTTTTATTCTCAACAATAATATTTAATAATCAATGTTTTCAGATTGAAACTGCTTATCGTAAGAAAGCACTATCCTGTCATCCTGATAAAAATCCAGATAACCCTAGAGCAGCTGATCTTTTTCGTGAATTGAAACGAGCCCTAGAAATATTGACTGATGAATCTTCAAGGGTATGTATAAAAAGTTACATTTTTACTCTAACAACTTCATCATTCTTTATTATTTTAGTGCTATCACTTTTTAGGCAGCCTATGATAAAGTTCTAAATGGTCGCCTACAAGCTAAAGTTAGAAAAGCACAGCTAGATTCCAAACGACGAAAATTGATAGAAGATTTAGAAGCACGAGAAGCAGCCTCCACAAAATGTAGTGATGAACAGAAACTGGAAGCTGAAATCAAGAAACTCAAAAGGGAGGGAGCTAGACTAGTTGAAGAAGAAGCAGAAATAGCTAGAGAAAAGTTTAAAAAAATTTATGAACAAATTAACAAAAATCAAAGTCAGAGAAGTGGGCCAAATGATACCATGGTTCATATCAAGTGGAAAGCAGCAAAAGATGACCTAGAAAATGGTGGATATAATTATGATAATCTCTACCGAATTTTATCCAAGGTATGTTCATTAGTTTTATCCTGCAGCATGTAGAGATTAATTTTAAAAATTAGAACTCGTTATTTTATCTTGAACAATTGTATTTTTCTCTAGCATGGACCTATTGAAGATCTAGTAATGTCAAAGAAAAAAGGCCGAGCAATGGTGAATTACAGAAACGTATCAGATGCTATTTCAGCATGTAAAATTGAAAGAGGATTATATAAGAACCCTTTAACCTTACAAAGTTTACGGCAGAATGATTGTAAGTAATAAGTATTAATCAACAAAAATAACATTCAAACATATCACAAGTTTTAAATATTTAAATTTCTATTATAGCTACTAAGACATTTCCAAGTTCTTCATCAGTTCCTAAAGTATATACAAATAAATTAGAGGAGATGGAAAATTTAGTATTTAGTAACATCAAAAAAGAAGAAGAAAGAAGAAAATTAGCAGATCAACAGATGAAGAATAGTAGCGCAAATGGATCTTATTCAAGCCAGTGTTCAACCAAGAATTTATTTCCATCAGCAAATTCACAAAACAAAGCAGAAAAATCATTTCCAAGTTTTTCATCAGCTCCTAATATGAATGCGAGTCAATTCACCAATGTAGGAAGTAGGTTTTCTAATGATTTGAAAAGAGAAGAGGAAAGGAGAAAACTAATAGAACAGATGATAAAAGAAGATAATGAAGATGAGCTAAAACAAGAGAAAAGTTGATAATGAGCAATCGAAAAATATTGTATAGCTTTATGATTATATTTATATTTAAAAATAAAGATTAAGTATTTTAATTTCATAAAATCTGGCCTCTTTGTATATTTAGATATCCTTTTATTTTGTTATATTATCTTTCTAATTTCTCTCTTATCAATAGACAAGGGTATGATGCATCAACTTTCTTTTATTCACTTCTAGGAACCAGATACTAATAAAATCGCATATGTAACACTAGCTGTTGCACAGGTACCTGTAATATACACATACACACACAATCAACACGTGCAAGGTGTTTGCATTTTCCGCATACGGCAAACTACCGGCATTAAAATGATGGCGTTGGTATTTACTTACCGAAAAAAGCAGATTTTTTTAGTTAAACATATGAATTTAAATTTAATCAGTATCGAAAAGCAAAATTTTAATTGTTTATATGTAAAAAATATAATTTTCTAATAATTGTGACGATTAGGTTAAATATTTCCTACAGCGCATTTTACTGCGCAGGAGTGGGGTTACAATATCAGTGGGATTTCAATTTCAGCAGCTCAGTTTGACTCCGACTGCCGAACAGAGTAGACGCTTAGATGTGTACTTTATTAAAATTAATTAATTATTAGATAATGATGATAGTATGACGTATATTATTAATAATGAAGTAATCAGAAATATGTTAAAGTGTTTTTTATGCAACGTAATAGTATTAATATCGTGAAAAGTGTATTTTGGAGTTAAAATATTTTTGTGTATTATAAAGTGAATTCCAGGGAATTTATTTATTCATTATGTGTAATGAGTGATATTTAATCATTTTTTAGGCTTATAAAGTGTTGTTATGGTGTTTAGAGTGAATTAAAAGTGAAAAGAAATTTTTTTATTCCGACGCTCCAGTTTTTCCAAAATGGCGGATTACCGGCGTTTTTGGCGCGTCTTTTTATTGAGGGCTTATTGTAAGTGTTCTATTATTATTTTTGTTTATTTCAGTATTATATTATGACTTTATTCACTGATCTTTAAGTTAAAACAAATACAGGAGCTTTTTATGATTTATTTTCGGCTAATTTTACCATACAGTTTATTTATGTATTTAACTGCGCAGTAGAACAGCGTCTATTTAACCATAGATAATATTTTTTCTTCAAATGGATTAGCAGATTTATTAGAAGATAGGGTCAACAGTTTAACAATAAACAATAATTAATTTTTAGCCTATTGTTTAATTAATTGGGTTGTAAAAAAATATCTAACAAAGAAAAGAAATAAGAAATATTGTCTTTATAGATATTATTAATATTTATATTGTTTACACGCTTCGTTTACATTTTAATAATTATTTACTGTACATTAATTAATTCATTAAGTTTATTTAATCATCGTCGTGAGTCTAAAACTAAATCGTAAGCTCACATTTATATACTATAGACAGATACTTCTTTATTTTATGTTAACTATATGATCTCTTTAATCTTATCGTTGCTAGGTTTTTTTTTTCAATTTAATTTCATCATCTCTTTCATTTTATTCTTATTTGCTGATAGTTACTCTTTCATCAAATGATTAGAATTATTTTGTTTAGTTAATTCTTTGCTGGTATAGATTTTCGGCTTTAACAACTAAAAACTCGTATAAAAAGCGTCTTTAACTTTTACTAATATTTAGAAGATTTTTTTTTCCATTTTCAATACAATTATTATTATTGTTCCTATTTTTACTCTTTTAAGTTGAACAGTAATTTACAAAATTATTTCAATTTATTTACATTTTTATTTAAATTATTCAGGTGAAGTTTATTTATTTTCAAGCCTTTTACTCAATATATAAACTTTTATTTACAAATTTTTTTTATTAATTAATTCATGTATCAAGATGTTTCAATAAATACGATTTAATTTGCTTTTTATTGGAAACAAAAATTGATTAATGAATATACATTGAGAAAAAGAATGAATTTATTCCTTCACGAATTACAATACTCCATCATATTATAATTTATAAATTCATTTGTTGTTATATCAGTTTTATTCTAATCATCTTATATAAAGCACCCTGCAAACGACCTGCTTGCCCTGATATTTATTTAAAATCAATATTTATACATATATATCCTTCATTTATTGTTACGCATATTAATTTAATTACTCCACAATTTATACGCTTCCGAAATTGTTTATTATTGTTTATAATATCACGTCTATCTGCGTTATTGATCAATTATTAATCGTTACTAATAATTTATATCAATATAATATTTCAATAATTGCGTATGAATATATTTTGCAACTATATATTTTATAAATTATATCCATTAATCATAATTAATATACAGATTTTTATTTTGTCTTTAAATCAACTAATTTTCCGCTAATTTTTTTTTTATAATTTAATACTTTTATACAAATAAACAATTGTTTGTTTTATTTTTTTATCGCATTCAAACAGAAATTATTTTTATTTCGCTAATAAAATTAATATCATTCACGTTTTTTTTTTTAAACATTTGGCGCAAATTCGGTCATTGTTGGACTTAATTAATAAACTATGAACACATTCATAAAATATTATCAGTCAGTAGTTTATTTAATGTTTATGTCGCTCTTCGAAGGTATTTTTTTTATTAATAAAAATGGACAAACATTATAGACGGAGAAGCATTTTATTAATAAAATGAAACGAAATAATAATTAAAAATTTCGAGAATGTAATCTTGATTATTAGAATTTATTACCAAGATAAAATTATAAATTATTAGAACTATTGAATTTTTGAGATCATAAAAATTAAATAATTCATCAAAAGTAATTTATTCGTTCGTAACTTAAAAGCATAAAATAATTACGTTTATTATCAATAAAATAATGATTATAATAATTACTCAGACATACTCAATACTGAAATTTTAGATTTTTTTTTAGTTCTGGAATACAATTTGAATACAATAAAAAATTAATTTAAAATGAAAAAGGAATGACATAATAAAATTGTCTGTAAAATTATTTAAATAATTTCTTAAATGGTAATTAATATTAAATTACAATGTATATCAAATCAATCGATAAAATGAGTTGAATTAATCGATACGTATCTTATTGAACATTAATAATTATTGTTCACGCTATTCAAAATCATTATTATTAACATACTCATTTAATTATCATATTTACATTATAACTCGAAATTTATGTAAAATATTTACCAATTATTTTGTTTCATAGTTTAATTTAAATTAATATATTTATTTAAACAAAGGCTTACAAATAATTCATATTTTGTTCTATAAGTACAAACACCATTTTTCATGTTTTAATGAATGATTATTTCATTATTATACAATACAGATTGTTTTTATGATCTACTCAGTGATCATTTGGCATTTTATTTTTCATTCCAGCAAATTTCGTCATATGATTATTACACTCTCAGTCCATTTACATGTTGTAGCCACTAAAACGTGGCTTTGTTTAACAGAAATTTGTAAAATTTTTACATTGGAAAAATGAATTCTTTCAGACGTATTGTTTATTTATTTTCTAGTCAAACATATCCCTATTGTTGGTTTGTTTTTTGCTTGAATTGTATTTTAGTTGATTTATTTTTTCTTGATGATGATGGATGATAATTAATTAATAATAAAAATGCGCAAAACTGTTACAAGTATTGCGCGATCGCCCCGTTCCTCAGCTGTGCGTTTGTGGATGTGATGGTGGCGGTGCACCTGTGATCTCCATCCATCTTGTCTCAAAGAATGTACGCATTCCATGGCCTGCTTTTCCTACTGGACTATCATCCTCGTTGAAGACTTCACAATTAATAAACATTTGTCTAACGTCTGCGCAAAATTCGTCACGCGATTTGTATCTAAAATTTTTTTTGCTAAATTAATTATGGAAATTGGCAATATTGTTGTTTTGCGGTGTTATTGTTATTATTATCTTCTACTTTTCATCACCTTTTATTTTATCACCCTAAAAATACAAAGCCTTTAATTTAATTTAAAACTTAGCTGAAATATTTAATAATTTTTCTTTTCTAATCATTCTCATGTTATTTATTAAATTATTGAGTAAATGAAGCTTTGATGCAATAATTAAATTAAATACAAACATTAATATTTTTCTTAAATGACTTATTATTAACAAAATTTGCTTATTCTAATCACAAAGTATTCTAATATTAATTTTAAAGCACAAATTAATTTTGAATTTATTGTTTATTGTTATTTATTATAAGATAAATATTTTTTTAAACAATCAGTAGATATTAATTAAAAATAAAATAAATGTGTTTAACATGAATGGTAAATAAGACAAAATAAGATATTATTTAAATGAATAAAAAGGTGATGAAAAGCATATAATTAATAATGTTAATCGCGAATGGAATTTAGTATAAACTTACATAGTGTCTTGTAGTTTTTTCTTAATAGTACTTAAGTCCATTGGAGTTTTGATGATTTTTTTATAAGTGGGAAATTGTTTGGTGTTGACAGGCAGTAAAAATGGCCAAGCCTCATCCTGTTGCTCCAATTGTTCTAGTAATAATTTGCAAGGTGCAAGCTCACGTTGTTGCTTCTTAGTTAGATTCCTGTTGTTACCGGTGTCCTTACGTGGTGAAGGAGTTGGCGTTGGTGGTTCCGATGAACTGACATCCTCTACGTGCGTGTTTGATGCCGTTGAAGGCGTTGGACTACGGCGCAAAACAATACAGACAACAGTTATTGCACAAGTCTTGCGCTTGGCAAGGAATGTACCGGCTTTTATAAAAGCTCTGAGACCCTCGTCCACTTTTATACCCAATTTTATTACCCTAAACGCCATTAACTATTTCCACAGTACATTATAATATATTTTTTTTATTCATTTCGTATAAAAAAAAAATAAATAAATAAGTGAGTCATTAATTGATAAAATGGTTTTCTTTTTCTCGATTAATGACTCAAAATAGAAAAGAATAAATCAAAAATAAATATTAAAAAAAGACAATTTTATAAAAAACATTAAATAATAAGTTTAAATAATTTTCAGATCATCAATAAGTGATTAACAAGTTAAGAGATTCATTTTGTTTATTCGTTAACTGGCGACTTTTGAGCATCTTGTGGAATGTAGCGCTTGAATCATTAAATATTTTCTGTTGTTGAAGTAAATAAACACTTTTTCTCGATGGCCATCAAAGTAATTATCACTTTGGAGTAGTAGAATTGACGAACAATAGTAGTATACAATAGGTGTAGAAGTGTGTTTGACAGTTTATTTTTTATAATTTTCAATTCAAAAAATTCGTTTATTTAAATTTCGCTTTTGCTTATCAATTGTGCTCGTTAAATACTTATTTATTATTTAATTATTTATTATTAGTAACTTTTATTTTTTTTTTTATCAATCATTATTTATTATGATTATTATAATAATTTTTAGTTATTATCTAATTGCCATTTTGTTTATTATTATTTTTTTACGGCTCTTATACTTTTGATCCAATTAAATCGATATTATTTAAGACGTTTTGTGTGCTTTTTTTCGGTTGTTATAAAACAATGTTAATTAACGAGCTGATACGCTTGTTTTTTTTAACGTTAATCACCTAGCGGGAGGATGATCTGAACTTTCACTGTCTCGGGTGTTGTTGCCTCCTCCTTTGGTGTGACTCCTTCGATTGCTATTTCTCTTCTTTGGTTGCTTACTGTGACAATTTGAGCAATACCATTTCCCTCTTGGCATCTAAAAGTACCATATATTATATTTAATATTTTATTTTATATTTTATTTATATTAATTATATTAATACCTTCGGCATTGCGGGATTATGGCAATCAGTGTGATAAGCTCTAGGACAGAGTTCACAAAGTACAAGATTTTTTCCAGTTCTTTTGCCGCAAACTAAACAATTTCGTTCACCAGTTGCTTTGTTCATACACTCATGGCAATACCTGGAATAATTCATCAGTTAATTTGTTGAATTTGATAGGAAATTGTTTTTATAATTTATTAAGAAAAAAAATTCTTACCAATCGCCATCTGGAATATTTTCCATTTTTGGACGGAAACAGTAAGTGTGATATCCCCGGTCACAACCATCGCAGAGTAATAACTGGTCTTCATTATCGCCACTGTGACAAAACTGGCAGTTCTGAAAAGATGAATTGCTATGTAATGACAAGAAGCAGCAAAATGGATGTTTTATCTTAGGAAAATGCTAGGTAACTATCAAAAACATCAACTTACAGCTTTCATAATACTTTTATCCCAAGCGATGCTAGCTTCAAGCATGTAAAGAGCCATAGCAAGCTGTGCAGACGTATGAGCACGTGCTGTTGCTTCTCGCCAGTTATTTAAACCTCTAGGGGTAGTTTCTTCCGGGGGTTGATGTGGTGTGGAATTATCAGATGAATTGGAATTTGCGTTGGCAGCTGCTGCTGCTTGTTCTGCTTTCAGAGCAGCCAAGTTAGGATCTCCAGTGCTGAAAAATGAATTAAATTAAAATTTTATCTAACTAAATTACAGTGAGAAATTTATTTTTATTTTCAACTTACCAAATTCCTAAAGGTGGCTTCAAATATCGCCGTTCAATCGCAGCCTCAAGCGACAACAATCTTTGTCTAGCTTGCTCAACAGCGCTGATTTTTTCCATTTCATTAAGTTTTTCAATTTCTTCAGCTTCTTCTGTACCAGCTCTAGGTGGTAGTTTCCACCCTTTAACTTGCATGCTTGCGTTAGCCACTTTATCCTCCAGTGCCTCCACTTGTTCTAATAATTGAGCATCAACTCTCAATGCCACTTGCTCACTCCATTCATTAGGATCATCAGGTCTAGGTATTGGAACTTCTTCTTCTCCTTCCAAATGAAGGTCTGTTGCTGTAAGATTACCTGGATCTACATGAATTTTCCCAGTTACAGCTAGGAATGATTCCATAGTTGCCCAAGTAGTTCGTTTCAGTTCTTTTTCTCTTACTCCTCGTGAATGAAGATGTTCCAAGAGTTCTTGAAATGTATCTACATCTGTGATTCTCCACCAACCGTAGCGTAAGTCCTCAGTCACTGGCTTGGCTTCCCCTGGTTGAGGTAATCCATGGACTTTTAGGTACTCCAACTGCGCTGCTTCATCTTGGGTGAGAACTAATGGAGCTGGAGAATCACATCTGTCGTAACTGGGACTTGCTGGTGGAGGGAAGATGGGAATTTTCAGTTCTGTTGGTTCAGCGACACCGAATATTTGTTTCGAACTTGGTCCTGGTGTATCACAAGTTTCTCGCGGGAGAATTGAAAACCATGGCATCTCACCATTGCCCATGGAAATGAAGTTTCCATGGTCTTTACCATTTGGCAAGTTGTTAACATGATTAAACTTATCTCCATTAGGCATTGTTTCAACAATTTTATCTTCCATCTGCTTAGTTGTTTTTATTTCTTGGCTTTCTTCAGGCTCTTTCTTGACTTCCTTCACTTCTTTTTTAAGTTCTTCATCCTTCGAATTCAATTCCACCTCTGTTGTAATTTTCTCATCGTCAGGCTTAGCTTCAATAGGCTCTTCTTTAACTTCGTCGACCTTTTCTGATGACTCTTCCATGTTTTCTTCAGTCTTTGTCTCTTTTTCTTTTTTACCATCGACATCATTACCGTTTTCTTTGTTACTTTCATCAATTTCCATTTTTTCTTCGTCTTTTGGATCTGCCTTCACCTCTCTGTCTTTCCATTTTTCATCCAATTCCGCTTGAAGAGACAAAATTTCCGGCTCTGCACTCTCCATCGCTTCAACAAATATCCCACCAGCACATGGAAGCTCCCAATACCTTCTCCAATACCTGTCCTGTCCAAACACATGTGCTCGAAGTTGCTTAGACGAGCTATTTAATTTCTGTAACTGTTCTTCCGATTGTTTCAACAATTTATCCAATTTTTTCCCCAATTCTTCGCCAGATAAATTTTTATCTTCCTCCTCCTCTGGTTGGGTTCCTTCACTCTCATTCTCCGACATGTCCTCCACTTCATCCTCATGATGATTGTCCTCTGGTGTTGGTGTTGCTACTGTTGATGCTGTTGTCGTATTATTACCTTCTTCATCTGTTTCCTTCTTCTCAATCGTTATCGCATCACCAGTTTTATTAACAACCACACCTACTGCTTCCATCCTCACTTTCCTACTATGCAATTGTCGTAGTTTTCTAATCTTCGTATCTAAAACAAATCGTTCTTTCTTCAATTGTGCGACTGTTTCCAAGCTTCCTTCAATCTGCTTTATCACAGCCTTGTTTTGTAAAAGTTCGTTGCATAAAAATCCAAGCATTTGAGCTTTATGTGTTGGATTTAACGCTAAGAATGGCTTGTCACGAAGTCGTTCGGACATTTTCCATGTTTCATTATTGTGAAGGTGTTCATAAAATTGTGCATTCTTTCCTGATGGTGTTGATGGATAATCACCACCATTCTGATGATGATCAGCAAATTTTTTGTCACGTTCTCTTTCTAGGCAAACACCAGTCAGAGCTTTGACTTCACCTGTTGCATTTGCATATAAATAGATCCTTAGAATTTCGCTGATGTTGGCATGAGTTATGTCAGCTTGGCGTAAACTTTGACCAAGACCTGTGGTGTGACGTGCTGGTTGAGGGATTCCTGGATCCTCGATAGCACAAACTAGCAAATGAGTCATCACTGAAAGCATCTCTTCTTCAGCTTCTTCATCATTTAGCAGTGCCATTTGGAGACTTCTCAAACTTGGCAGTGATTCCATATCAAAACCTAGGGTTTCTCCAAAGTTATGAAGAAACTCAAACACCATTACTATTTCAGCAAAAGCTTCTCCTGATAGTTTTAGACCTGGTACTCGTTTTAATTCTGGTAATGGTCGATGGTCAGTCAATTCCATATCTTCTACTGGCTTCCTTATCTGTTCAACCAACTCCATCTCCATTTTTCTTTGCTCTGCACGCTTTTCTTTCGTTGCTATCCGCTCAGCTCTTGCTTCCAGTCGCTTTTTCTCACGCTCTTCCATTCTTCTTCGTGTCTCCAGTGCTCGAATTAAGGCCATGTGTTGACGTCTTCTTTCTCGTTCCTGAAGATTTATTATTTTTAGTATTAAATTGGGTTACTTTTTTCTAAGGACTTGTTTTTTTTTGGTGATGATGAGTTTATTTTTTTTTGTTAGTAATTTTGTGATTAAAGTAATGTCATTGGTAGGGTAGAGTAAATTTGGTAGCAAACAATAATAACACATTGGAAGATAACACCGTGCAAAGAAATTAAGTTTTAACCATTGTCAATAGGAAAACCAACACCAAAAGAAGAGATGGTTGATTAAAGAGTCTTGAAAATTAGAGATTATTAATTTAATTTAATACACCAAAACCAGAAAATTAATTTATTTTTTTAAAATTTCTTATCAACACTAGATATTGAAATTAATCAATAAATAATTATTTTTTAAATAAACAACAAAGGCTTAGAATTATTAGAAAATTAATTAAATCTTATATTATTCAACTAAATTGTTAATATTTATTTTTATTGAAGTTATTTTATCAGACTTTAATGAAAATTTATTCTTTAAAGATAAATATAATGATCCAGGATATTAAAAAAATTGCAAAACAATTATTTAGTTGATAAAATAGTTAGAATAATTTTAAATTCATGTTCAAGGCTCTTCTAAGAGTCAGAAAAAATTCCAAACAGTTGAAAACATGAATGCGCGATAGTAAAAATAAAAGAATGCCAATAAATACATGAAACAATTATTCTTTAGTAGGCAATAATGAAATAAACTATTGTGCATGTTGATGATGTGTATGTGTTGAAAAATTGATTGAAGCAATAATGTTAGCATCGATTAATTAGCATGTTTGAATAAAACCTCAGTTATTATTTGTTTGTTTTATTTTTATTAATGAATTAAAAAAAATAAATTTTGTTATTTGGTCTTTTTTTTAAATTTTTTATCTTGGATTGGAACTTTGATATTTTAATTGGAATTGGGTATGAAACATACCAACTCGACGGTGTAGAGCATCTCGCGCTGCTTGCTCAGCTCCTGCATGTACATCTGCAGCACAAAACACATCCAATCTCTACCAGTGCTTTACATTTCTCATATAATAAATTTTAATTTGTATTTTTTTTTTATTCACTTAGATACTTTAATTACTTTTCCTTCATTACTTTGATTTCAAATTTTAAAAAAAATTATTGTTGTTGATTTTTTATTTAAAATTAATTAAATAATTGAAATTGATAGAAAAAAGACTCCATATAAGGCAATTGTCAACACTTATTCTGAGTTGAATTTTTTTGTATGCATAAATTTAAATTTGAGATTATAAAGATAGATAATAAGTTTGAAGAAAGAAGAAAAAAACATTTAGAAGAGACATTAAAACACCACATTTCATTCTTAGAAAAGTAGAAGATTTGAAATAATATTAATTATTTTTTTTATCAAATAATTTTGCTTCATTATTAAATACTGAAAAAATTCTAAAAGAAAATCTGGAAAAAACTGTTTAGAAAATTTATCATTTAAAAAAAAGAAAAAAATTAAAACAGTTTTTTTTTGATGAAATATTTTTCTATTAATAAGTGACAGAAGCAATGAAATGCACATCTATCTAATCTACATCACACTCTACATTCTACACTGAAAAACATGAGTATTAAATCCTCACCTGTTCCTTGAGCATTACTGCTTGCTGTCGCTTCAATTCACGCTCCTATGGAGTAATGAATATTCAAATTAAAATAAACTTTGCAAAAAAAAATTAATTTCTACAAAAATAAATTAGAAAATGAAATTAAAAATTCAATTATTTAATTATTTTTTCATAAAAATCTTTTTTAAATTTTATCTTTAATATTTAATTTATTGAAAAACAATTTATTTCTAAAGAAAAGTGTAATTCATAGCTTTTTATTTTTATTAACATTTGTTGATCAATAAACAAATTAAAGTCATCTTTTTGACATTTTATAACAATACTTTCATTGATAAAAATAGGAAAAAACAAATAACAGAGGTGTGAAATCCATTAAGAACTATTGAGAATGGAAGTAAAAAAAAAAAATAATAAAAGTTGAATGAAAATTAATAAAATGAAATGGCGAATAAAAAAGGGAAATCAAACGAATGAAATTGAATAAATAAATAATTTTTACCTGTTGCTTTCGTTGTTGTTCTTCCATACGTATTTTTTCTACCTCTTCCTGGCGTTTTTTCCTTGCCTACAAAATATTCCCAAAAATTACACGAGCTCGTATAAAAAAAAATTGATTTATTCAAAAATAAACATGAATATCGAGTAAAAAATACGCTCTACGTGATCAACTTGATAAATAAAAATTAAATAATTGATAAATATATTATAGTTGAGAGTGAAAAATGACACAGGACGAGTGTAAACCACCGAGTATAAAAATGATATTGGTTTATTACTTATTCATTTTAATTGAATTTCATATTATTTAAAAATTTAATTTATTTTTTCAAGTTAAAAAATGGACTTTGAATTAATTTAACCATAAATCATTTAGTTAATGCATTTATGTTGCTCGGTTCACATATCCTTGTTATTTTAATTTTTTTCTTCCATCACTCTTAATGTGCTGTGTGCTCAGTGAAATTAAGCTGCAAGCGCACGAATGAGAGAAGTCGAAAGTCAAGATTCGTGCGGTTCGATCCTGATAATGTCAATATTTACCACCTCAAATTCCTTTATTTTTACAACTCTTATCAATCATTCTCAACACTATAGTACACATTAGACTCTACTCTCATCAATTTTTTAATAAACAAAAATTTTCTACAGTCATTTAATCAACAGAAAATATTCCTCAGGGATTTCAGCCCCTTCATTAGAGCAGACTCTTAGTGTCAGATCAGCTAGGGTACTGTCAAACACTTATTCATTTATTTATTAAAAAAAAATAATAATAATTAAATCATTAAACTGTTCAAAATTCAATAAAATCAATTTTTTTTAAATTACAATTGAAGAAAGTAATTTAATAATAATAAAAATGGCGTTTATAGAATGTAGTTGATTAGTAATAAGCATCAATAATGTACTTCAGCATGAAAATAAATAAACGAAAAATAGATGAATATATTGAAGAATGGAAAACATTTTTGAAAAATACCAAAAAGAGCATTAATTTCAATGATATAATAATAATAATAATGGCATTTTGATATGAGCAGACATGAAATGACGAAATGTAGAAAGTGAAAATGACAAATAAATTTGGAATACAGCGAGAGAGAGAATACATGCAGAGTAGCCAAGCAATAAAGTTATATATATGCATATTTCTTGAATCATTTACACAATTTATTAAAGCAATCAATGAGAATTGATATTATTTTTATCAAGAAATATTTTTTCATCAGTCAAATGAATCCAATGAAATAAAGAGAAACCGATAAATTTAGCAGGAAAAATCATTGATAGCCATCAGTACAATATAAACCCTAGAATTTTTACATAAATTATTGGAAAAAGTACACTTATATTTAAGATGAAGATAGAATAAAAAAATACTTAAAAATCAATTTTTTTCAAGTTCCTGTAAGACATGATACTCTGGTATCAAAGCATGCTGGATAATCTTTGATTATTTAGCTAGCTGTTATACATAGTGACAGGAGAAGCTGTAGGCAAAAGGCAAGTATTGCGGCAGATCATTTTTATCAATATTTCTTTTGAAATTTTTGCAGTAGAAATAATTTCAGTATAATTTTTCTCTTCATTCTTTTTTTTTTTTATTATTATTATTAATGCTTGGGAATTTTTTTTTCTACTTCCTATTCTTTTTTTTTGCTTCGTTTCTGTATATTTCCTGGGCTTTTTCTGCTCATTGATTATTTGCTTTTTCCATCCTGGTTTTTATTTATAAAAAAAAATTCATGAATTCGAGCTGCACGACAACATATCGACATCCCCATTCTAGTTTGTTTAATTGTGTAAATTATTTTTTTTTGTGTTTTTCTCGTCTATTTTGTGCTTTGTGTAGAATTAAATATCAGTTTGGTCAAGGTAGTCTTTTCATCAAAAAATATTTATCAAATTTTTTATGATGCTTCAATAAAGCTCAATTATTAATTTTTCCATTCTTTAGTATCAAAAAATAATTGCAGAAATAAATTGGATTAATATTGAATTACTATGAATTGAATGAAAAGAAGTTCAACATCTCCAACTGCTTGGAAAAATTTCCACCAATTTTTGTTTTAGAATAAATAATTAAACCTCTTCAATTAGAACCTGATGTTATGATTAATAAACAGATGAATTTGAAAAAAAATTATTGAACAAGAGAAAAAGTCCATGCTCATTCCAACATTTGGAAGTTGGAGCTCGATGAAGTGGCTACCTTGATAAAACGAAATAAACTAAAATATTTCAAGCGAAAGAAACATTATTTACTCAGTGTGTTGGTAACCTTTTGTTTTTACATGTAATATATATATATATATAAATTCTACGTGACTAGTTGATCTAAAGCCATGTGTAATGAACAATCCAAGGCGATCATGAAAAAATCCTAATAAAAAAAGGTCTAGCACTAATTTCTCTTCATTATTTATTTTGCTAAGTCAACAGCTTTATTGATTAACACAGCTTTAATACGTGGATAATCGCTTGAATTTGAGGAATAACTTGAGGGTAAAACGGTCCTTACCTCCAGCAGTTCCTGATTTTGCATTTGGGCCTGCTGGCCGGTGTCCTGAGGTTGAGGTATGATCATAGCAGGTGATGTAGGTACTGAACTACATGTTGATGATGGTGTTGTTGAACACGTTGATAGAGCTATTAGTGATGATGAGGTAGTTATTGATGGCGTTGACATCGCCAATGGTCCACTTGGTGGTGCTAGACTTGGTGGTAGTGGCGATTGTGAATTTATTATCATACTAGTCTTTTTTCCTATTTGAAGATCCGAATCACCATCTGATTGCAACATGTCACGATTTCTCCAACTCTCAGCGATGCTAACACGGTTCTTCCAAATAGTTGCTACTGTGCTGCTTGCTAGACCCAATTCCCGTGCGACATCACTTTTGCTCTTGCCTCGTTCTATCTCTTGAATTATTTTCATCTTCTGCTTGATTGTGAACGCAAGCCTCTTCCGACCCTGCACGAATGTTTTTTTTTCGTTCCAATTGTTTTTTGCCTCAATATTTTCCCCTCACTTAATATTATTACGATTATTTTTATTATTATTACTATTGAAAATATCTACTGTTGCGAGAAATTTTGCAATTATGATTTTTGTTTATTAATACTAATTATGTTTGGTTTATTGTAGTGGGATATGTTGGGGTGAATTAAACTTATTGCCTTATTGGACAAATGGGTTACAAATATTTTTATTAATAACTATCAACCAGTTGTATTTATTTAGTCTATTTTGAAATAATAATTTGTTTCAATATTCTAGCTAGATGATGATGATTTTAGGTTAGACTTTGAAAAATTAATGAAGAACGTAATTATGAAAATAGAATGATGAAATATTAATAGTAAACCATTTGTCCATTAAACTAGAAGTTTCTATAAAAGCTTCTGACATATCCGGCATGAGAAAAGGGGTAGGGGAGAAATAATTTATCCTTAGCACAGTCGAGTTGCCGAGGTTTTCTCTAGATATATAAGCGAGATGCATCGCAACACACGTCTCTGTCTCACGACAACGCTCTATTCTCTGGATTGTTACAAGAGTAAAAGGCTAAAAAAATGTTAAAACTATGAACATTGAAATAAAAAAGGTAAATAAAATCATGCTGGGCTCTCCTGTCACTATCGCTAGCGTCTTTTATTGCTGAGTGTTGAGTGTTTTTTTTTGTTTTGTTTAATTTTAATTAAAAAAAGTATTCTAAGAGTTTAAGTGTTGCAACAAATAATTAAATATCAGAAATAAATCAGTCTTTAATTGATTACTGTGTTTGTGATGTTGTCTTTTAGCAAATTAATTTTCAATAAAAAACAAATGTTGTATCAAGTAGGATTCTAGTGAACTGGTGAACTGTTTGGTGGTTTAGTGAGATTAGATTCGTTTGATAACTAATAATAGATTGTTAACTATCAGTGATGAATTAATAATGAGAACTAACTAATTTATGTACAAACATACTGCAATAATATAAAACTATGAATTGTATATTATGAATATGTGACACACAGAGAAACAACATGCGACACTTACAACAGGTGAACATAATACAATTATGGAAAAGGTATCCCAAGTAGAAGATAATTCGTTATGTGATTGTAACAACAAGATCAAAGACAAAAACACCGGTATATTTGTTTGGTTACAATCACCTTTTCTAATCAATTACTCACCTCCAACAATTGTTGATTACGAATCTCACGTTCTCGACGAACTGCCTCTTGCCTCTCAGACTTTTCTTGTTCTTTGATCAACCTAAATATCAAAGAAAAAATATCCAATTAATTCATGATATTTTGTTCAATATTTCAGGTGTTTAGAAACATTGATTTACCTGGCCTGTTCTCTGTGACGTTGAGCTTCTTCTTTAGCAAGCTTTTTAGCATACGCTAACTTATCCCTCTCATACTGATTGTTTGTAGGTCGTATGTCTCGAAATCCACCTGCTGCCCTCAATTCTTCCAACCTTCGTGCCACCTCTTGAGCCCCTAATCGAACGAACTCTGCTTCAGCCAACCCCATCGTTGGCTGGAGAAACTCTCCAACCAGAGGTCGTGAGGAAAATGAAAAGTTTGCTGATGTCAAGAGTGGTGGATTTTGTTGCTCAAGAAACTAAAAAATATTTACAATTTTAATTACCTCAAGTTAGATAAATAAAATAGTTGCTATGAGAAAAATAGTGGAGTAATCACCTTATGTAAATCTGGACTGTTCCTGAATGTTTTACCACAAGGACTGTGATACAATACATCACCCTTAATCACCCCTGTTTTCCCTAAACCTTTGATTACAGTCTCCCTTTTCCAACCACAGTCCAGCGGCACTTGTAGATCTTTGTCACTTGGGTTTAATTTTCTTCTTTTAGCACTAGGGGTACCATCAGCATTATCATCATCAGTGTCTGTTACTACATCTGTATTACTTCCACTTTCACTCGTCACATCCATATTGCTCTCCTCACCTGATGCCTCTAGTAATTTGTTTTTCATTTTTTCCTGCAAAGAACGCTAGATTGGAAAGCGATTTTTTGAGTTTAAATCATAAAGAAAGGAAAATAAAATTCAAAGAATTGTAAAGAAATTGATTGATTAATCTAAATGAATAAAACTTTAAGCAGTGAATAAAATAAATTTGAAAATCAAATATAAATATTTTAAAATCAATATACCAACTTACGTGATTTTTATCATCAGTTTGTGGTAGCATTGACGCTGAATGCAGTTGCGCAGCAAGGATATTAGATCTCAAAAGTGATACTTGATGTGAGAGTGGAATGTTTGGATCCAACGTAGGTGTTGGTTTGATACCCAGAGCTCGACTCTGTGCTAATAACGATGCGACTGTATTTTTCTTAGGTTTAGATACACCGCGACCTAGATTTCTTGGCCTTCCATCCTTATGATGAATCGTAGGTGTTGTCTCACTCTCTTCACTTCCACTGCTAGGTCGTTGTGGTGAGTCTGCTGCATTGAAAATTTGCGCTAACGATGGACTTGATGATGCTGGTGTTAATGCTGAATTTTGTGGTACTCGACGTGGCTTTGGACCGGGTTTCCTTCGTGCTATAATTGGATTTATCATTATTTGTTCATTACATGGTTTTTTTAGCTACTTTTTTTTTTTTGCATTAAGAAGGTGGTTTTGAGCACTAAAATATTCACATTCCCTTCAGAAAATTTTTAAACATTTTTTTGTAATTCTGGTGTTGGTTTGGATGTGATAGAGCTTTGTTGATTAGCAACAAAAATACCTTCTTATTGGCAATCAAGAATTAAATGACTTACACGTACGATCAGAAGCCAGAAGTGATTGACTGAGATTACTCAACTGACTTAGAGGTTGACTACTAGATATTGGTGAACTATTACTTGTCGATGCTGGTTTCAGTGATAGATTTAGGGGTGCATCGGCATCATTTGAATTACTAATATTGCTCGTAGTGTACAAAGGTGGTGTTGCGGCTACTGATCCATTAGTAGAATGCGCTGGCAGTTTGATTACTTCGACACGATCAACTGGATCTCTATATTCATTTGATTCACTCTAGAATATCAAAATAAATTTAAGATGAGATCACTGCATTTAAAAAAATGTTTTTTATTATCAGCAATACTTACCACTGATGTTCGATTGTATTTTCGTGATTCTACGACCAGTGATGATGATGTTGTGGTGCTTGTTTGATGAGTACTAAGTGCCTGGACATTCGGTGGGTGAACACTTACACTTGGTGAATCTAGGGATATCGTCTTTTTGCGTCCACGATTCGTTGTGCCTGGAATTTTCGGTCCTACTATACTTGAGGTGTACTTAATTATTTCCGTGTCTGGAGGTAGTCGAACGCCACCCAGAATGCTGCTTGGGTCACTAAAATCAGAGCTGTTGATGTTCATCATAAGTATTCTAGCTTTTAAAAATTCTTTTGAATTATTTATGGATAAAATTTGATGGGATTTAATTATAGACATGAGTTTAAGTTGTGTAAATATTAATAATGGATTTATTGATCAGTTTTACCTGGCTTCTTTCGCTGGTGGACTACTGTTAGCATTGAAAATGAAATGATATTTTAGTTCCATGTCATATAAGTATTGTTTAATGAAACATTTATTTTTAGAAAATTCAAGTAAACTAAAGAATAAATTACCTAACGACGTTTGTTTGAGTTGTTGGCGCACTAGAGCTCGTTGATGGCGTTGTAGTGCTATGATGAGAAGTTGTGATGGTCGGTTGGCTTACCGGCAAGTTACGTGTATGACTCGTTGTCATTGTATTACTAGTGCTACTACTGCTACTATTACTAGAAGTTGTTTTATGACTCTTGCTTGACTTAGCTGTAATTTCCATTTAAAAAGATCATTAATCTACAATCAAAATAGTTGAAAACAAATTAAATAGACAAGTTCTCTTGATTGATACTTACACTTACTAGATTTGTGTGATGACAAGGACGGTGGATTAAGTAATGAGGCAGGATATGGTGGTAAAAGACTTTCAGCAGTTGGTGGAAAGCCTGGCAAACCAGCAGCAGCACCTTGCAATCTTGCTAAATAATCTTGAGCAGCTAAATGTGAGGCCATAGTCCACCAAGCAGCACTCGCTGGATTAATTCCTACAATAATGATGTAATAATGGAAGTAATTAGCGTGTATGATATAATTAATTGAAATAACTCGATCAACTTGTGGTTGTTGTACAAATTAATTTTACCTAAACTTGCCGCTTGACTGGCGGCAACACTCAGGGTACCCAGACTTGCATGAGAGTATGGGGGTGGTGGTGGTGGTGGTGCTGACGCCGCTGTGTGGCCTCCAAAGCCTGGTCCTGCTCCTCCACGACCCAGAATTGCATATGCTGAAGGCAAATGATGTGCACCCAGTCCATAACCGCCAGGCATTCCACCAAACAGTGGTGATGTTTCGCTGTCAGGTCGTGGCCAATATGCTAAAATATCCATCAACATTTAATTTTATTATTTATTTTTTGATATGAAAAAAAAATTATTTTATCATTGTTAATAAAATAATTGAAGTCAAAAAAAAAGGAAGGAAATTAAAAATGACCTTGAGACCATAAATTTAAAGAAACTAGATAATTAAATATATCAAGTTGTCGGTCATTGCTCCTGAAGTTGATAATGATAATAAAAACGAAAGGAATCTACTTTGCACATAACATTTATCGGTCGCTGCTCTATGAAGAGATAACATCAGAAAGAGATTTTTAATGCATTTGATTATATTTTTATTAATACCTAAACAAGCTAATAATAACATTCAAAAAGCGATATTTATTTTTCGCTAGCTTATACTAATGAAAATTATCTATTTGTGATTATGATGATAAAATTATAGCTAGGAAGTGTGAAGAAAATGATGATAATTGATAATGATCTAAAAATGATGATGATTATGTGTATTATTTAACAGCAATGAATGAATTAAATTAATCGAGATGATCAAATAAATATAATAATATCAGTGGTATCAGTAGCGCATAATTGTATATTATACCGTTGATTTCCAACGAGTAGTGGCCTTGGTCAAGGCCGTGGCAATGAGATTGTCGGGCGCCGCTTTAATTTATACCGGCCGTCGAACCTTGAACTTGGAACGTGTTTTTCATTCCACACATTTGTTACTTACTCTACGCACATTGTCTTTATTCGCCGCCTTTTTTATTTCAATAATTTCCAAAGATTTTTTTTTTCCAATCATTCTATTTTCTTCATTGATTCATCAAGTCAATTATTTTCTTCGCTATTTTATTCTTTAAATCTCCAGCTTTTATTTAAAATTTCAATTGTTTAGATAAATATAAGTCAATGATTGTTTATTAAATACTAGAATTTTATGGGATGTCATAATGATGAACCCGCTATTATTTAATTTCTAATAAAAAAATTTAAAAAAAAAAAGCAACTTGGTTAAACCAGAAATCGAACCTCTTAATTACCCGATAAGATAGTCAATGAGAATGATAGAATATAAGAGTGTTAAGATACAACCGTACCATTACCAAAAATTAGATAAGTTTATATCCTAGGTTTATTTGCGAATTAGTAATTTAGTTAATGACTTAAGGACTGAGAATGTTGAATAAAACCATCAGCAATTGACCAAATTTACTAAATAATTGATAGAACAACTATTTCTGATGTGGTTGTAACAATGATTTATTTATACCGCTCACCCCGGGTCATAATTCAATAGACTTGATACCCTAGTGTAACTGAAGTATCATGTACTATATCGTGTACCTACTGAGACAAGCACGCACATTTTCTCCCCTACATGATGACGTAATGACGACATCGTTCCCCTCTTCTGTGCATTTGTCGATGTCATTTTCTTGTCTTTATTTCTATTATTTAATCCTTTCGTCCATCAAGTCATTCATAAATTAATTAAATTAATTGCATTATTAAATAAAAAGATTATTTAATTACTTTTTTCCATCAATAATTACATCATTTACTGCTACTTTTCAATTGAAAGTTAATTAATTAATCATAATTTAATTATGAAAAGTAATTAAAAAATTAATACAGATTGACTTCTAGGCTTTATTGAAGAGAAAAAGATATTAATTAGTTGATTGAAATGGGATTTTTTAAATAAATAATATTTCAGTGAATTATTGTTGTTGTTGGTTTTTTAATTTGAAAAATACTTGGAGGTTTTCTGGAGCAGCAAACAAATACATGCAGTGCTTTTATTGATTTAATTCTCTAATTGCAAGTGGTATGAAATGAATATTCTCGTTTTTGTCAGACATCCTTCTGGCATGTATTTTGTCTCTCTGCGCCATTTCCCAAGCTCTCGCAAACCCCTCACGTAACAGAGCACACTGAGGACAGTGTACCCCTTTTTTACCCTCTCCCAACATCACCCTTCCCCCTGCAGTCTGACTTGTCTAGTGATTTGTTCGCGATTCTGAAGCATCGGTTCGCTCTCTATTCTCTACAGCTTCCAATCTCTCTCGACAAGAAAAGAAAAACTAGAGTATCGACCGTGCATGAGTTTGAGGGGTGGGTGAAGAGTATGACTTTGGAAATGGAATTGTATTGGAAATATTCCGACATAAAAATTTTTTTATGTCTTCAAACTGCAACCTAAGTAATTTAAATATTTAAGATTTTGATGAGCTATTAATTGTTGTGGTGGCGTAAGTGGTAAAATGTTGCGTGCTAGAAGATGAAAAAATTTCTAGATAAGAACTTCTTCTCACGGACCTTCTGACGGATTTTTCAGGGAATAAAATTTATTCGGCAATATTGTTATGGGATCCGATTGAAATATATATCTACTCCCCCCTATACTCATAAAGAGTCCAGATCAGAAGAAACAGATTTATAATAACCCAAAAATTCGTGATGCTGCATCAATAATTAAAACACTCCTGGTTTGAAGCCAAGTCATAATTTTTTTTCTTTTACATTATTTTATTTTTAAGGTATTTCGATTGAAATTATTTTTTTTTACTTTATTTGAATTAGTTAACAAGAAATCAAATTTTATTTCACTGTTTCTAAAAAAATAAATTATTAATACAAGACAAATACAACAATATGCAGAAAGCTAATATTTATGTTTAATAAAAAATATAAATTTTATTTTAAAAGGGTCTGAATCCTTTGTTTAATAATTAAAAATAATAAAAGTATTCATACCTGTAGTTATATTAAATACAATTTGAAACAGTGAAAGTAAAAAAAAAATCTTAAAGTATTATTATGAAATAAATTTTATTTTTCATCGAATAGAATAATCCCAACTGATTCATTTAAAAGAAAAAAAGTTCTAGAATAAAAAAATAATTTGAATAGATAAAAATATTCATATATTATTTTATTCATGTACTCTAGGTAACTACGATAGAGTATGAAGACATCATGAATACAAAGGCACCCTTAAGGGTTCTCTTTTATCACCATCTAACGTCGAATTTAGTTCATCATAATATCATTAAATATTATAACCAACACAATATTTTTATGATAACACCTTCTGTTGCCATCAATATTTAATAGCACAGTTTTACTTGAAATAACCGGTTTTTATGTTGTTTTAAAATTTCAACACTTTAACTCTCTTTCAAATAACAACTCTCCATTCATACTCCAATATCTCAAGTTCGATTTTAGCCTGATTTTGAGCCCTAGAGAATCGATAAGCATCAAAGGATTATGCTGCAGAAGCCTCTTGGCTTGCACCAGCTTACTGAAATACTATAATTATCATCAAGGAAAAATCCTAAAGCTTCTCTGACCATTTAATTACTCAATTAATCTCCAAAAATGGCCATCTTCAAACAACACTTTGCTAGGTAGGAAAAAAGTAGCTGGAGAATATGATCATACTATTATAATTATTTGATATTTCTTCTAACCAATTAATTCCAATTGACTTGAGGCACCAAAGTTAATGAATGGTTTTCTTTTTGATGAACAAAATAAATATCTAATGTTGGAAAACATAATACTCAAGTTGGCTAAACTTAGGTCTTGACCTTTTTCTTGCTAATAAATAATTTCAATGTGCCCTAGGAACTTTTCTGTCCCAACTAATATTGTTGATTTAACTCATTAAATAGACCTAGATTATGACCCATTTTGGTACCAACACCCATCAAGTTGGTCAACTAAAATAGCATAAACAAAGCTTGAAATACTTTCATCTCCATCATCACCAATCTTTCTCCCTTCAAGAGCAGTAATGATATTTTTTTTTAACTAGTCATAAATCTCATATCTGTAAATTTTAATTAAAACCTTTTTTCCCAAATAAAAATGATCAAAGTTATTCGTTGGATATATGGAAATAAATCTGAGATGATGGTAGAGTTGAATATCGATGGAAAAAGCATAAAAGAAAAATTGGTATTTGGGTGTTCTCGAGAGAATGGGCAATGGTTTGCAACAGTGAGACACGATGGCGGTAACATAGAAGAGATGAGAGATAGAACACAAAGTTGGGGGGGTTGGTGACGAGCGGAGACGAGGGGAAATGCTGCAACCATAGTGAGGGACGACGAACTGAGGTGGCAATCAATAAATATACAGAACCGACGAAAAGAGAGAGCTAGTGGGATCATAAAGAAGGATAGAAATAGTCGTTTCTGACTATTCGTGAGCTGTATAGTAACCTCGAAAACTCGTATGTTAACAGCCAACCAAAGAGCCGTTATGTTTTTAGATAGTGATCACAGGAAAATCAGTTGATGGCGTTGGAGATAAGAGCTAAAGTGCAGGAATAAATATGGGAAATATTGGTGGTAGAAATAAATAGAATTATTTTGAATAATACTTACCGCTAAAGAGGGCGCTGGGATCGAGCAGTGGATTCGCTTGGTCTGCCTGAAGTTTGTCAGAGGCGGAAGTGGCCCCCGTCCCTGTTGCATTTGCTGTTGTATCGCCACCTCCACCTCCGCTTGACGCGGAGTTCTCCTTCTCCATGCCAGTTTCTTGAAATGTTCAATCAAAATTTTAGTTACAGGAATATTAGGTGATTTTAGAGTTTAATGATAGTGAGGGGTTCATTGTTAGCTTGGATACCTGTTGGTTGGTTAGGAAAAGATCTTTGGGAGCACAAGGAATGTATCAATCTTGGTGCATTCAAGTGCTCAATTAGTTAATGTCAATAATTATTATCATTTAAATAATTTTATTACTTGATGCTAGCTTTAGTTTGATTCATTTTCCAACATAACATTAGAAAAACCTAGATGCTTTATTTTTAAATACCTTTTAAACCAAGAAAAAAATGATTTCATCTTTTTTGTTAAGTCAGATTTTTACTGACCGATTTATTATATTAACTTTCAAATAAAAAACACTCTTTACTTTTGAAGTCTCATGACTTTCGAAAAAAATCTTCAATTGAATGAACATCGTTAGAAGCTTGTTTTTTATTTATCAGCTTAGCTCTTGAGAAATAAATTTAAAAATGTCTTTAATCTTTGAAGTTGTAAGAAAAAATGTTACTTTAATTAACAGATGAATATTTTATTCTTTTAAAGTTGAAGATATTTTTTGAATAAATATCATCTCTTCTTTATTATGAACTACTCCAATGCCTCAATCAGCTGACTAGAACTTGCCCCAGCTTTACTACCTCAGCTGTTTTATAACTATACATCATTGTAATGTTTGATATTGAACGTCTACGTCACTATTATAAATACTTTCACTGCTTAAAGATACATGAAAAATACTAACCATTTGTATTCTTTTTATTACTTTTTTTTTTTTTTTAATTAATTTATTTAAATACATTTCAATATTTTTTTTCAAATAATCATTTTATTTATGCAATTTTATACAGCAATGATAGTCTTTAATCAAATTAAAGCCTCTTTTAATTGTATTATACAGTTGGAATTATTAACAGTACTTTTTATTTAACATTAATTAATTAATTTGGAAAAAATACTTACAATTAATTACAAGGCCTTAACTCATAGTGGATATCATCACCACAGAAGCCCATTTTCCTGTAACAAACAACATATTTTAGTAATCATTTTTTTTTTTCTAATAATAAAAAATAAAAATACTGGTAATTGATTAACAGAGTTCGTAATAAAATAATAATAAAGATGATGAAAAGTAACATCACGATAAACCAATTATTGCAATCAATTTTCAAGCACATGAAACAAATTGAATAAATTATGCATAAATGTTTTATCATATTGACTTATAAAATAAAATAACTACGAATAATATAAAGTAGTATATTTTATAGAGTGTGTCAATATCCAAAGGCACAATTGCTAATAGTATTATTATAGTAACTGGTATTCATTCATAAATATGCGATTCTCATTTTATTCCACCAGGCTGTCTTTCACCAACGTCCTGAGTTGAGTTATTGTAAACTACAAAGCAAGGGAGAGAGAGAAAGGTGGTCGTTTATTGTATAGAAAAGAAGAAAATTAATGTCCACTAAAGAGAATATTATATTATCTTATTGTGTGACATTTTATTTACTTTAATATACTTCTGCTAAAGATATTATCAATAATTAACAAATATAATCATTCTTTACTCTTTAATCATATTTTTTTTTTACTGAAATATAATTGAATTAATATTCCAACTTATTTATTTGATTATATTTATTTTTTAATTGAAATTAATTGATTGATTTTTAAATAATTTGTTATAAAAAAATAAAACAGCTGGACCGAATTTATTAAAACTTCTCTCAGATCTTGACACCTTCTAATATGCTTTCTAATGTCTCACAACGTAAAGAGGTGACAAAAATACGAATTTCACAAATCGACCCCATTACAATAACTTGTTAATGGGAAGTTAATAATTTTCAAGATAAAATTATTTATTACAAGTTGTTTAGAGTGCTTTGAAAAATAAGTTGGCTGTTGAAACAATTTTTTTCCATGACTTTACTAGATCTCATTGGCCAATTACTCCATCAACAACCTCACAAACCAACAGCAAGTATTTTTTAAAGATTTTTTTACAGCATATAACGATTTGTTTCAACACAAGGGTCTTACTTCCTAGGCATAAATCGCGTGTCGCTACCCGTCTGTTTTTTTTTATTCTTGACTGCCACCTGGACAAGCTGTTATTCGTACCAGGGAAGCCATCATGTAATTCTCGATGATCTTTAACAAAGACCCAAGGCGTATCCACCTTTCGTGAATGTTAATACACTTTGGAATAGTGGATTTGCCCAAGAGATATACAGTGGAGAAGTAAGACTGATGATATGGCGTTCGAAAGTGCAGGAATGGCTGCAGATGGCATGAGAGTAAGAAGGCATACCTGTTCCAGGTAAACGACTGACCCGCATCGACCCGTAACTTGCTATCGACGTGCCAACAAGACATTACGATGCTCTGCCAACTTCAAGACAAGCCTTTAGACATTCCTCTCTCTGTTCTCTCGATAGGAACGACTCTAGATGTGGAGAAAATATCTGGCTTCTAGCCTAGATTACAGATAAATTCATTATGATGACCGGAACGTTACTCCGAAATATGACTCCTCAACAAAATAGACTTGAGCAGGAAACATGAATCAGTAGAGTTATGTTTGTTCTCAACTATTGATTGAAAGTTAATCCTCTTAGGTCATGAATGATCACCAAAACAGTTATAAATATTTTTAATGCCTTAAAAGCAATTTTTCTTTTATTAATTGAAGTTTAGCTCTACTTGGTCAGTGAACCAGTACCAATCCTACCTATTTTTGATAAAAAATAATTTTGGTATTCATCTAGAACAGTTGGATCTTACTTGGGTGATGATGAACACCAAGTCTGGTGATGTTGGAAGACCACCAATTGGTTTACTAAGGAAAGTTTTTTTTTTTTTTTTTGATTGATCAAGACTGAATCTTATATAGATGATTAACTTCGACCAGTTCTGGTCAAAATAAATTTCTAAAAGCCTTGGAAAACTTATTTATTGGATTTAAAAAATAATTATGGATGAATAAATGAGGTAAATCGAAACAGAAATGATTTGGAAGTTTAGAGAATGACAAAGAATAAGTTCTGATAGCTTTTTGTGAATGAAGTTCTTAATATCAATTATGTATTACCTCATGTAGCTATCAATTATTTCAGTTCCTTTATTCTATCACAAACAATTATCTTATGTACACGAAAATGAGGCTGTAATAATAACTATAAGCTTTGAAAGTATTATTTAGGTACAAGATTTGTGGTTAACCAAAACGGATGTTACCATGAGCATATTTTCGCTTCCTAAGCATTCGTAGTAGAGTTGCTTAAGTATGTGAACATCGATCGTCAGTGTGTTCTGATTTATTTAGTAGCTGGCTCGACACGTTGCTCAGGTCTAAGCTTCTTTCAATATTATTGCATTTACATGATTCTTTTGAGTTTCATTGTCGATTTCTTTTTAAAGAGAATTTTTTTCAGCTTAATCTAGCACATCAGCTTTAAAATTGTGTTTAAAGTTTCTGGAAAAAAGATAACGATGAAAATTGTTTGATATTTTATTCCTGTTAAGCTTGATAATGGAGAATCAACAGGGGAAAAAAAATGGTTAATGAGTTAATTAATTTTTTTCAGCAATTTTTTAAAAATAGAAAGAAGTTATAAATTAAATGAATGACTACTTTGATGATATTTTATTTCAAAATGACAGTTATAAAAAATTAAAAACAGTTTTTAAGTAATTACATATTAAAGTACGACACGAATGATTACTCAAATAGTTTAAGTATAGTTGAAGCAGTTACTCAAATACTCATTCCCAGTAAATAAAGGTGCTACGATGGTAAAACCATGGGGTTAGAAATTGTAGGTGATCACAAAGCCGTAACGAATCTTCCGTACCACGTCGGAGAGTAGAGTGTAACGTTGTTAAAGAATGGAAAAAGAAATAGGATTTCTTGTTTCCGTTGTCGAATGACGAGTCGTTTTAGAGTGGGATGGTGAGCGGATATAGAAAACCACAAAGATAAGAGAGTAGTACCAAGTAACTCCACAACCAGAGAGAAAGAGAATAGAACGTAACCAGCTAAGCTAAAGCTTCTTTATGGATGAACTAGACATTCTAGTGTTCTCATTCTCACGATTATCAGAGTCTGAGTGACGTTGTTGCGAGATTTTTTTTTATTTGAAATGACGATTGGAATTGATTGATTACTGAACAGCAGTGCAAACACCTGTTTTCTAATTGTGCTCTGCTTGAAAACTGGTGTATCTCTTGGCAATGTACTTGGATAATTGCAGGACAAATTGTTGTTGCTCAAGTCATTCTGGATACCTTCAACATCTCCAACACATTAAATATCAAGTTGATGACAAAGGGTGGAGCATCAGTTCCATGATGATTCATAACATCTTCCTAGCACTGATGATAGTCAGACCAGCTTGGATCATCAAGACTCTTGATGAAAGCTTGGAAAAAATGAGATTAAAAGCCAAAATGTATGATGGTATGTAATACTAATGCAGAATGGCAAAAAGTAAACGGTTCAGTGTTGATTTCCCAACAAAACAAATACACTTTTTAGAGGCAACACACTCTAATGACGTCCAACTCTTTGCGGGCAAGACAAGTATGGCGAGAAGAGGAGGCAATTTTCGCTGGCGAATCGATGCGGACGCACGCGGAGGCACGCAATGTCGTGGCACGCATACAAGTTTGAAAAGAAAAGAGATGGGTGGTGGAACATATGAGGACGAGAGAGCTACCGGCCGGACGAGTTTCGTCTCTTTGGGTAGATGGCAACAGACTTGGTTTCAAAGGCAACAGCCAGCTTATACCTACTACGTTATACACTTGAATGCATCACATTGAATTGTTAGAAATTAACGCAACCATCAGTATCTTTCGTTCTTTGACCTCTCTTACACTCCACGTGGGACATCCACGTGCAGATGAAGAGTACACACACTTGATAAAAGTCTATAGAAAGTTTTTTTTTCAATTTATTTATAAATAGTCTACAACCACGTGGATTTTACGTCACTTGAGCACGTGCACCACACACACTAGATGATGATTATCATCACCAAACACTCATTGTAAGCATCTTTTAGCTTTTGATAATGCACGAATGACGGAAGAAACGTTTTCTGATGTCGCTTCTGGCTGACTTGGCTTCCTCCTCCCGCTGGTCTTCGTGCCAGGCTTCCATCGGTCTCACACCATCTCACCCCGCTTACTTTTGCCTCATTCTATCTCACTCTTTATTTCCAGCTCAGCCAACTCGCTCTTACTTTACTTCTCTCTTGATTCTCTTGGCTTTGCCGCCTACTCGTTACCGTCCTCGCATGCGTCCTCTCTCTTTGCTAGCTCCCTCTTTACCCAAGACCCTTCTGATCCCCCTTGCTCCCCTCAACACTGCCGGTCATCGTTGGACGTATACACGTCCGCAACGCCCAACTGCTTTTCGTCATTGCTTCTTATACTTTTGTTGCAAATTTATCTTCACTCCCCTCTCTCTTCAACATCGTTTACCTATTTAATAGTATCATCTCCAAACCTTTTTCTCTATTTACCAGCATTACCAGCCAATCTACTCCAAGCATCTTTACCTAAATTTCATCACATTCTAAATCAGTGCTAATTCGCTGATTGTTTACCCTCATTCCCAGCTAGAAAAATGCTTCAAATCCAACGAATGATTGGTTATGCTCAAAAGTATATTTAAAACTTGGTTGAACCCCAGGATGCTTGAATTGGGCAATGAATAGAATGGCCGTGAAGGATTTTGGTGATTTTTCATAGCCCTTGGACGTTGTCTCAACCCTCCAAAAGTATCTCTGATTGCCCCACCAGCTTTCCTGTGATGTTCCTCTCTCGTTTTCTTGTCTGCTTTAGCTATATACAGTTTGTTCCCAGCAACTGCCGCTCTTCTTGTAAACGTGTGCGTGCTCAATTCTCGTTTCTCTCTTTCTTCGGATGCTATCCTTTTCTCTCTGTGCATTACTACCATCCCCTCATCGCAACGACGCCATCGCGAACCGACAGAGTGAGACACTAACGAGATAAAGACAGACACATCAACGTCACCAAAGAGCCGACGCGAATGCGAGCACCGTGTGATTTAAAGAGGATTCCATGCTGATGAGAAACGAGCCACAGTAACCGGATGCTTTGAGTTTTCCTTCAGTCAATCATAAAACAACGATGCCATTTCCGAAAGATTCTAATTCTATTCCTGAACTTGTTCAATTACTCAGCTGCCAATGTGATAGGTTTCCTTATCGCTAGACCATCTTTAGATTGGTCTCGCTGATCAAATTAAGCCATCCCTAGGTAGAAAAAAAGACTAGCATAATCTCCCAATAACCTTTAAAGCAGGTGAGGTTAAAAAAATTAAAGAAGTTTAAAGAACCATTAAATCTCTCTTTTTATATTCTCTCGATTTGTAACAGTGAACTTTGGATTTCGTTGACTTTCGTTAGAATTAAATACATTGTTTGAGCATGAAAAATATTATTCAGTGAAAAGAAAGTATTTAGTTCAGTTTAAAAATATTTGTACGTACGTAAAAATGTACTTAGGTATGTCAAGTTTTTTTTCCATCTTCGATATTTCAAAAACCATTGGAGATATTGGCTCCAAACTAATTTTATTTGAAAGATACTACAATGAAAAAGATCTGAGAAGAGTTTGAACAAATTCGGTCTGGCTGTTTTTCTTTTTATAACAAAAAGACTGTAAAACAAGTCGAGTAAAAAAGATACTCGAAATATATTCGAGTTATTGAATGATTAATATTTTCAAAAACTGAGCTCAATTTTAAAAACGCATTTTTCATTATTTAATGTCTCACAACACTTTCTAAAAATAAATCAGCAAATATCAGTATATATTTACTGATTATATATAAATGCTATTATTATTACTCCAAAGCAATGAATATTAACTGATTTATTTTTTGAGAGCAGGATTGTTAAAAGAATTAAATCATCTGCTGTTAAAAGAAAAAAAAATATCAGCAGTGAAGTTGTACCGTTGATAACGTGCCACTAAATCCATAAAATAAAATAAAAAGAAATAAAAATGGACTTTAACTGCGTAATTTTGATGATAAAGTGAAATGTGATTTGATGAAATAATACGGCAAATACTACTGTCCTGTTAATGATAAATCTATCGTTTTAATAGCATCTACTGTAATATAGATTCTCCCATCATTTTTTAGTTTATTTTATTTTTCTTCTTTATCTCCACCTCTTTTATTTTCACTGTCCGTAACGTCAAAATGAAAGGAGCGAGAACGAGCCTCAGGAAATTGCCCGACTGGATTCTTTGAGTAGAGCCGGTCACGAAACTTGTATTGCTTTAGCCTCGAAAAGAATCGATTTCTCGTTCTTTTTCTTATTCCTTTTCAATTCAAATTATCTGCATCTTTCATCTCTTATCATCAAAGGTTTTCTATTCTAGTGCATCGAAAGAATTCTCAATTAGTCTTTTTTCCTAATAAATCATCCTAAAAGACAGCCATTACAATTTGAAAAAAATTTTTTTTTCTACTAATACCCATAATAAAAGATTTGCTTAACATATTTCGAACTTATAAATGAGCTTTAGATAATTTTTTATTAAGCTTATAAGGTTTGAAAGTTTGACACAATATTTTTCTTTACCCAACAAGACGCTTTCCTTCTTCTCATTTTTTTACACAGAAACTAAAAATGATGGAATTTTTCTCGGAACGGGGTCACGAAATAGAATAAAAGAGTTTTCAAATGGGCCTTGACGGGCCCAAATTGACCGATTTTTCACCAAGTTACAGCCTTTTAAAGATCAGAGAAACTTTGAGACTTTAGAAATTCACTCAACACGACATAACTTGGAAAAAAAAATATCTCTGTGGGTCGAAGGCACGATTTATTTAACAATTTGTTGATAATCGGTAATAATTTATCGATTTTGTCAAAAAGGATGGATTATCTTGCCATATTAACATCGATTTATTGGAACTAAAGTATTATATTTTTTACTCTCTTACTTCTGCTTCTTGATTTTTATTTATCTTCTTATTTGGAGTTGATATGTTTTTTTTGTCCTTTCTTATATTTCTTCTCACTCGTTCACTCGACTCAAGAATCGACTAACGTGTAGCACAGATGCATTCCGGTCGCGTTGTCGAGGACGCTGTGCACGCACGAGGCGTGAATTTTAAAAGGAGACAAAGAGAACGTATATACCGTTGAAATGATACTTGTGCTTTACTTAATTACCTCGATGCATGAAGAGATAAAGAAAGTAATGAAATAAAATATACAAAATCAACATTATTTCTATACATTAACACAATAAATATATATAATATACTTACATAGTTTCGTTGAATTAATCATGTCGGAGATTGATACACTGATGTCTCTTCATTTTTACACTGTTTTTGTAAATATTACTGAGCTGAAAAGTAAACAGAAAAAAGTCTTTTTAATTACATGTTTTATGAAGAAAATTTAATAGATTGATATTTGACAAATGATGATAATAATTTTAGATTTATATTTTAGCAAATAAATGAATTGAATCCACTGCAAATCACAGTGTTTCAAAACTCAATGCTCAAAGTGTTTACAATGTTAAACGCCATAAACCAACTATAGCATTTTTGTAGACAAATTTTAAACGCTTTTTGCAGTTTATCAATTTGTTTGGTTATTAATAGTTTGTTAATGGTATTTAACATAATAAACACTTGGGTGTTTAATTATTAAACACTTTAAAACTTTAATTCCAAAACTGCAATATTTTTTTCACGACTAATGGTGTCAATTACTTTGAAATATTTTTTTTGACAAAAGGAGTATATTTGTCGCGCGTAATGAGAATAAAATTAGCATTTTAAGTTGTTGAAGATAAAAAAAATTACAAAAAAATATGGCCATTATTGCTTCGTAGACGTAATTCTTTTCATTATACTTAATGCCACTAACATTCTCACACGCTCGATCTGCAGTAATCATAGCGTGACCGTTTCTATAACCGTCATATTGTTCTTGACTTTATTTACGCACTTAATACTGGAAAGACATGAGGCTCTGATATGGAATAAATAACCCTCCAGCTATTAAATAAATAATCACATCCATGATAATAATCAATTGTTTTCAAAGCTGAAGGTCTTCCAATACCCAAGTGTTATTCAATTAATTAACAACTCGAAAAAAAAAAAAAAAAATAATTATACAACAAATTGTTCCAAAAAAAACTGGAGACAGGAGTATTCATAAAAGAGGTTTTGGTAAAGAAAGAAAGTAATAAATAATAATGAACGAAAAAATAAGATTGTATTCCATGAGTAACAGATGTCAGTAAAAATGATGAAATCGTCTGTTTTATACTTGGGTCAATATTGGTATTACTTTTAATATAATACAAAATGACGACGTCCAGTTTTATTTTAAATCAGCCCTAATGTTTGTCCAATTTGTCCAATGAATTAATGTAAAATCAATAAAGAAAACAAATGATGGTTTTTGATGTGTTTCTGCCATTGTGCAAGGATTTTTAAAAGAGAAAATAAAACAAAAAAAAAGAGGGACAAAGTGCAGTTGAACAGTGTATATATATGTGTGTGAACGAGTAAGCGCGTGCTCGTAGCCAACTCTCAAGCCATCTCTTTGGTGGGTGGAAAATTCTCCCTTTTTTTCTCCATCTCTTTTCTACCGACCCTTACGATTTTACTCCCCTCTTTTCTATTTTGCTGTAAAAGGGTAGGGGGAAAAAGAACGACGACGAACGACACGACAGCTCTGCTGCGATTATCTTTTGTCCGATCGTATATACACTGGCACAGCCTCGTTTTCGCAGCCTTCGTGCGTGCAGACGAGTGTGTATACAGGATAGAACGCAACTTTTTCATTGGCGCGTTTTATATCACGTGTGGCAACGTCGCTGTAACTAAGGCTGCTGTCTTTTTCCTTGCAGAATTTCAAGCAAAACCTGAAAACAATGCCTCCTGACCTCATCTACAATCATATTTAAAACATCTTAATATCCTACTTATCTTTAGAAAATCATCAATAAATCAACGTGTGTGTAATGAGAAGTTGATTTAATCGAGTGTTGAAAATGATTTGGATTCAAAAACTATGCTTTCATTTTCACTCCATAATGGTTGGAGAATCTCATTTATTAATCAGCCAATTTCATGAAACCGTTCTTGATTTATCTACGAAAATATGATTATTCTTCTCCACTGTTTATTCCCCCCAACATTTCATTTGAATTACCAAAACATGTTATCGATTCCAAATGTGAAACTCATGCCAAACCAACCCTAACTTGAAGGAAATCCCAAATTTCGAAAGGACCCTATCTCGGGGGAAATCTGTTTTACATAACAACAATGTTCCTTGACGATAATAACCCTAGTAAGGACTACCAAGATTAACAGATGGGCCTGATCTGATATTGAAACAATCCCAAGGGTCCAACTGAGAAGAAAGTCATCTGCAAGTTGGTTGAACCATCAAGACTGGATAATGATGTATGTTGGAATGATTAGCAAAGTTGAGATGGGTTGAACTCTAAACATCTTTAGAAATAAAAGCTCATAGGCAGTAGATGAATGCAAACTAAATGGAATAACGTCTGATAGGTCTCTCTGCATTCACTGACTAACCTAACGGTTATAGAAGCCCCAGCTATATTGGTATCCTAGTGCGCGTTCAAACTGAGATCAATAAAGCACTCCTTTATAGACTTCACTACACACGCGGGTACAAGCTTGGCCAACCCTCTCAACTGACGCTCTCGTCCTCTCTATCAGTCCAACTGTCTCACTCTGTCGGTCTCGCTCACGCGCAACTCACGCTATCTATCTTTTACTCTCTATGACGTTCGCTTGCCTCTGCGGTCGTTCGTCGGCCCTCTCTTTACTTTTTCCATCTCTCTCGCATTCTCTTACTCACTCTTCTGTTCTCTCTTGGACCAACCCCGTCGCTTAAACCCCGTACCGAGTCCATAAATAACCGAATGACCCACCACGAATGCTTGGAAAATATCTTCGTTGCTGAGTATTCAAGACTGTTTGTTTTTAAAATTGATAATTATTTCGAGTTTTATTGTTTTCAACAATTACACTATAATTGGACACTACTCGGTCACTTTATGCTGTATTTTATGAGCCAATCATCCTTAAAGAACTTTGATTATCACCGAATTTATTTTAGTTAAAAGATTGATTCTTTTTTGCTGACATCAAACAGGTATTGATAAGTGTCAGGTCTTGCTCGGGGAAATTTTTCGCGGAATAAAAATGGAGATTATAAGGAGGATAGAAATTACTCACGCGAGAGGTCAACAGGTCAGACTTGACCTCGTTCATACTCATATTCCTGATAATTATCATCAGATATTGTTCGATTCAAGTCATATAATAATTAAACAATGTTGCTACCTGTGTTCCTTATCTGTCTAACATTATTATTTATCCATTTATCCAAAAATGACCATTTTATTAATTTTTTTAAACTTTTAATAATTATTTTATTGTTTGTTTATTATTTATTGTTGGTGGATATTTGATAGGAATCAGCAGGATGTCGTGGTAAATTATTTTTTAAAAGCCAAGTAAAAAAAATTAATTTTCACCTTAAGATGTTGGAGCACATAGTGACGATTTATTTCAGGCCATGAGCCAACACATGAAGAAACAGTAGGTATAGTAATACAGTGTGAAATGAGAGAGGAAGAAACGCTCGATAAACGAAACGCTATTCCAAGTCTACCTTTACTTGTGCACTGGAAGAGATTATATTTATTTTTTTATTTACGTTATATTATTATTTTATTTGAGTAAATCAAATGTTCTCTGGATAAATAATTTATCATGTTTTACAATTTTTATGATTCTGTTTATCAAGTGGATTCATAAATTTTTGAAGACAATAGGCGAGGTAATAAATAGGCTGTGATTGGGTGGAATACATTAGAAGAATTAGAGTTGTGTGTTTGATGGTGAGAGAAAATTCCTTGAATGGTAGACAAACGTACCAAGTCATGGGAAGGGGAAATGTAGTCATGTCACTGTCGTTGAATCATCGTTTGCAATCATGAATCATGTCGCCCTTTTATAATGCCATGGAATCTTCTGTCATTGTATTCATGGATTAAAACTTTTTTTTTTGAAATTCGAAATAGTACTTTGATGTTTGTTTACGAATGACAAATTTTTTTTATACTATATTTTATTTCGGTTATTTATTTTTTCTATCAAATTATTAAATTATTAAACTGTGTGGAGAATTAAAAATCCACGGTATATTTAAAAATTCATACCTCATGAAAAAATCATTCCACAACAAAATTTTTAGATACTTTTTTGAAGCTCAGAATGTCAGCTTTTTAATGCTATCATTAGTTTTAACTAAAAAAAAATTTTTTATGTTGTAATTAATTTATTTGTAAATACTGCTCTTTCGAAAAAATTAAATAAATTCAGTTTTTAGAGCAACACATTTTTTTTGCTATTGTCAAGGAAAAAAAAAATTCTTTAGTTTAAGGTTATTGAACTAGAAATTCTTAGCTTTGAAAAAAGCTTTGGATCATCGAAATCCCATATTTTTTCAGGTAATTACAGTACCAAATAACCATCAATGATTTCAAAGAGAAACAAAAAAACTTTATTTTGTTACAACAATTAATTTTATTTAAATCCCACTGAAATTTACCATAACTCTAATCCCTTTTTGATATTTGAAAACACAAAACACAGTTACCGAAACGATTTTTATCGTGATTTAGTCTCGAAAAAGCAAAAATAAAAATAACGAAAAAATATTTCTGTGTGAATAAATATTTATCATCCTTTATTTGAGTCCGTGACAAATAATAATACGTTTCGATCTATCACAAATAGACGTAAAATATTCATGATTTAATGTCAATACGAATGTAATAAAAAAGTATTAATTGATTCAATAGCTGTCGGCAGTAGGTATTTGCTTTGGAATAATTCTCTGATTTCTGATACTTTCACTGATGACGAGTTAATTCACCATCAATATCACATAACTTGAATCCCACTAAATCATTTAAATTGTTCGTATATCCATTAGATAAATGGAATATTAATCTGATGAATTCATTTCATTTCTAATAATTGTTTTTCCTAAACGATTTATTATTGTGTTAAAACTGACACTAAATACACTAGATGGTGTGTCTTAAAATAATCTCTCGTTGGGATTCGTAGCACTTCTCAAGTCAGTACAACTTTCTAGGCTTAGGAAAGTCGAGTGCGTGGTGTTAATACACTCACATTTGAAATTCAATAACAACAATTATATATATATTTATATATATATATAAACTTACATTGTTATGAGTTTCTTTGAACAAATTTTTAAAATTTATGCTTCAAGACCTACTTTGTTTTTGATTGATATTTATTTTTTTTATTTGAATGATGAGTGATAATTGGAGTAAAATGAAAAATGGTATAATCGTCGATGATCTAATTAAATGATGTAATAATTCCAATGAATACGTCACCAGAGATTGTTCTTATTTAATTACGTAAAGTTTATTAAATGGATGTGTTATGGTAATGATTTATTTTTTATGCAACTATTTCTACTAATTTTTTTTTCTAGAATTTTCGCTCTAGTTTTCAATGATTCTCCACTGTTTTCTTCATCAGACCCATCATTTAATCAATTTTTTGAACCCTATTTAACCATCAATACATCACGGAATTTAATTTAATCATCAAAACACAAACCAATTTGATTTATGGATATTATTATTATTTATTGATATATAAATTAAAATAGAGCAAGAATATAGAAAAATAGTCCGGTCTTGGTGAAATTAAAAATAAGGTTCATGAAAAATTTTTATATTATGTTAACAAGGCATTTTTAATTCAACATTACTTTGTCTGCCTGAAGCCGCACATTTTATTTTATATCTTCTCAAGGACTCAAATTTGAATATAATTCATAGGAATTAATTTGTTTCTTGAAATCTATGAAAAATTTTGGTTACCTCACTTTTTAAAATTTTTATTAATCTCAAACATTATTGTTCATCATTCTAACCTACAAATGGAATACCATGTGGATTTTTCGATATTACAGTTTACCAATCAATCGATTTATATGCGCATAAACGATTAATTTGAATTATGCGCATTCCCGAACAAACGAAATGAAAGTATTACCGAATATACGTTTTTCTAACTGCTTCAACAACCTTTAAAATCCGATTACAACATTTTTCCGGATTTTTCTAGTTCCATTATTCCCCAATAAAATGCATCATTTCATTATACACTATTGTTAAAAGTATCATGTTTTTCGCATCATTCTTCTTCGTAAGAGTATGACTCAATTAATTAACAACAACATAAAGTGAAGGGAAGAAAAATAAATGATAAAAAAATGTACATTATTGTCAACAACACACCATGGTAGATGGAATAATTAAAGCTGTTGGTATGGAGATCCTCAAAGGAGGGAGTTTCACTCATAAAACCAAACTCTACGATGCAACAAAGGAGAGTGGAGAAAAATAAACGATCAAAAAGAGAGACAGAAAAAAGGAAATAAATGAGAGAGTTAAGAAACGATGAAAAAGCTTTCGCGTGTAGTTTCGGATAAAATTTCGGCGCCGTTGTAATCTCTGTCTCTTTTTCTTACGTTGGCAATGGAAGAGATTGAATAAAGAAGAAGATGCACTTGGTTTCTTCATCTCTGTTGATTCGTCTCTTACTTTTTTTCAACTCGTTCCTCAGGTATTTCGGCTCTTTAACGACTCTGTTCCTCTTCGCTCGGATACGAAGAAGAGAATGCAGGCGTTTTGCTTCATTTCAGAGTTGAAGATCAAAATCAATTGGAAATTTACTTGTAGTTGAAAGCATCCAAATTTTCTACGGATTTATTGTTATTATGTTTTAAACTTTCTAAAACTTCTGAAGGATAGGAAAATTTTTCTTAGACTCTATTTGTATTTGAAAGAAGTAATTTGATAAGTTAACGTAGAGAAAAAAATTTAAAGATGATTTATAAATTTAATTTAGTCAAAAAGGTTAATTAAAAAGGTAACTTGGGCATTCTGTTTATGATATAGACTGGATTGAGATGAAATATAAACGACTAAAGATTTTTAAATATATTTTTTTATGTTTCTTAATTAATTTTGAATTTTCCATGAGGAAAAAAATTTTTACTAGAATACACTGGTGCTTTAGACCAAACATAACCGTTTTATAATCATCATAACTTGAGAATAAAAAGATAAAAATTGAATCCAAAGTCATGAGAAATTTCTTGAGCTAGGAATTGATTTTCATTTAATTGAATGTTAATAATTGCATCAAAATAACAATGAGTAAAATGGTAAGATGTCGTTGATCTTCTATGGTACACTCGACGAATGATAACGAGAAATGTAAAATAAGTACTAGAAATGTCCCTTTTCCCCGAACGGTTGACTCATCGCATTGGACCTGAGCAACGTTAGCGTCAGCCTCCTCTTTCTCCTCTCTTGTGTTCTCTCACACGGAGTATTGAACGAGCGAGCTGAAAGAGGCCACGAGCAGAAAGAGAGAAGAGGCTTGAGAGCAATGGAGATAGTAATAGGACTGATGGTGGGTGAGAAAGACGCGACTGAAGTGAGTTGAAATGAGAGAACAAGCAAGAGAGACAAGCAGGGTGGCATACACCACAGCCAGAGAGAAACGTGTCGGTTATATATCCCTCTCACTCTCCCTACCACTCGACCATCCGGCGAGCTTACCTCCCAACGCTAAAGTCCTCTCTCAAATGTGACGGTAAAACACTCGGTTCCATCCCAGGGTTGCCGCACCCCCGAGCGCGAACCGCGTCCTCTTCCTCCTCCTTCTCCTCCTACCTACCTACCTACCTCCTCCCCCTGCCCCTCTTTCACTGCTATACCAAACGTAAAGCTTCACTCTTCTTGCCCATCTATACTCTCTTTTCGACCCGCATTCCCCTCAAGCCCTTGCTCTCTTTCTCTCCAAATATATCTGCAGTTACAACCTCAACTGCCGAAACCGCGAATTCCACTGTTGATCTGCGCCAGAAACATGTCACTGGTCGTTACTAATTGGAAATTGTGCACTAGCATCTAGATTACATGGAGGTAGAGCTATCGTGACAGGTAATTTGTGATTAAAATCAACTTTTAGAGTATTGTTGGAAGAGATAACGGTAATGTCTTGCTTGAGATCAACCAAAGCATCATTATTTTAGAATAGAAATAATGTTTTTATTTAAAAACCTATTTTTTTGTTTTTTTTTTCAGTGAGAAGTTACTATAATGGGTCTGATTTCGTAAATAAAAAATTGTAATTATTTTTTTTTTCAATATTCTAATATTTATAAAATGCAAATTATTATTCGTTTTCTTTTCGATTTTAATAACAAATGAAATTATGTTATCGATCTTTATACCGATGTGCATTCAAAATATTGATAAATAAAATATATGGTATTTTTATTCTCTCCACTAAGAAATTTGTCGTATTCATCTAAACTACTGATTTAATTTTTCAAGCCTCAAATTTAAATAAAATATTTGATTAAATCTTTCAAATAAATTAATTTAATTGTTAAAAAATATTCCATCACTTTAAATACTGTTTAAAATTTTTACCAATCATTGATAAATCATTTCAACCTTTCAATAACCCTTGTGAATATTTATTACAACAATGTTTAATTTTTTTTTTTATTATTAATGAAATAATTCTCCGTGATCATTCAATAAAATACTCTATTATCTGTTCAAAAAAATATTCATCATTTTTATTCCAATAGAATCACTCAATAAATTGATAAATTTAATTACCTTGCCATGAATCAATATTTTTTTTACGATGTCGTGTCATTATTCAATAAGCACGTGGATTTTGGGTAATTAATCAACCATTCCAAGTCGCTAAGAATCAATACAAATTACATTACCCATTGACAATGTCGTTTATTACTACAAGTGTAAATGACTATTTTAATTTAACGTCGGCTACACAATCGTCACAAAGTGAATAGAATTAGAATGAATTACAAGCTGTTACTGATTAGCAAATACAATAATTTATCTATCAATTTATTTCAACCAAAAAAAAAAAAAAATTATTTTGATTTAAAAAGAAAAAAAAAATATGAAAAGACGTCTGACGGAAATGCACTTTTATTTAATTCGTTTGTCCAGAAATAATTTGTACTAGAATATTAGTGGGCAGTTGAATATTCATGATTTGTTATGAATCATGAATAATAAGTTATTCTCATTCACCTTTTTCATAATTACTTACTAGTTTTTTCAAGCAAATCACGAAGAGAATTATATTGTTTGAATATCAAATCCGGCCCGAATATGAGTAGGGAGTAGAAACGGAAGTAGCAACTTGTAAAATGCATATATTTAAATACTAAAACAACTAAAGTTTCAAACATATTTATTTCTGTTGTGTTCAAATTGAGTTTACCATCGTTTCGAGAGCTTATTACATCTGTTAACTCTCTCCGAAAATTTCCATTCAACTAGTTTTGTTAATAAAAAAACGTTTACAAGTAATTTATACAATAAACAATTAACAAACAACAATAATAACAATAATTAATTATTAATATTTAATAATTCAAATAACATAATAATTGTTCAATAATTTAATTGGAAAAATTTGTTCTGTTAAAAAAGATAAATATTTTTAAATAAAAAATGAGATGTTGAAGAAATTTTAAAATTTCTCTTTAATAAAGTAAATAATATCTTTATTTAAGCTGTGTCTCTTTAATAAACACACAATCATCTGTTATATCGGTGATAATAATAAGTTTAACGATAAGGTGATAAGCGAGAGTCATTTTTATCGTTAATATATAATCATCAAGTGATTTAATAACAGATGGTATTAGATTTATATTTATGTTAGTAATATTTTTATGATTAGGTTGATTCAAGCCACAGGTTGCGAATCAATGAAAAGAATAAATTCTCATAAAAATATTTATATATAAGCACTAGTTATATACGAATATAAACATATACTTTTATAAACTCCATTCATCGCTTTCTCGCGGCCATTTGAAATTCTGATGGAATTTCCTTCATAATATCGGAGAGCCGGCGATGCTTTCGAGAATTATTTTTCCATCATCTCAACATCATAATCGACACAATCACACTACATATATTTATTTTCAACAACAAATATTTTTCATTTTTATTCATATTTACCTTCAAGTTATGATAAATGTTGCTGTTAAATCACTAGGACCTTTGTTTTTTCTCACAGCACTTTTAATCAGCTTTTCAATTAAATTAATAATATTTTCAAAAATATTCACAGCACTACAATGAATAAAATAATGAGTTTACACTTGTCAATAATTCACTCATATTAACTCCAATAAATAATCTCTGTTTTAGTCTAAAGAAAATCTCCACTATTTCCTTCACCTGTTCAATAAAATACCTGGCATTAGAATTCTATCTCTCAGTCACTAAGCTGACTAATTAATAGAAAATTATTAGGATATTAATATTATTAATAATAACACAATAAATAGAAAGAATAAACACATCAAGCAGCGCCGCTCCTTTGCTCGTGCCGTGAGAGCGAAATTTATACTCGGCATGGTTACGATGGTTACGATCGATACGCACGACGATTATTTCGGGAGCATGCCGCCTCGTTCCTCGACATTGGAGACCCTTTTCGTCCCCCCTCACCCTCTTTGAGAATGACAGAGATAGCTAGAGAAAGAACCAGGGCGACTGCGACACTCCGACGAGCCATTTCGAGACCCTTCCTCCCTCCCTCTCCTAAGCTCAAAACGCAACTCTCCGTATTTTTCGAACCAACTCACGAAGCTACGGACAATCGATATCTATTGACGTTTAAGTAAACCCTGCTATCCGAGTGTTTTACGCCATGAAACAATTCAAGTGTTAAACACTGATAAATTTTACTGTTTATTTACTACTTTTTTTTTTTTTGGAATTTGCAACATTTTTTTTTCGACACAGTAATTTTTTAATTTTTATAGAAATAGATTGAGCTGTTGGTCGGACTGATGGTTGACATGGATAAGAATTGTTTTTTAAAAAAAATAGAGATATAAATAAATTCTTAGAATGGAATAATTTAATTGATAATAATTGATTTTAAGCTGCATTTTGATTATTTATTTTTAGAAGGGATTATTGGAAAAATTTATAATTGGTTTATAAATAAGAATAAAGGTGGGAAATAATTTTAGATGTCTTGAAAAAATCATTTTCAAATAATCTGACAGCTGAAATTGGTTTCAAGTACAATAAACCCTCCTTTTGGATCTAAAATTTAGATTACCTTTAATTTCTTTGTAACAATTTATCACTGATAAAAAATTATTGACTTTCAGAGAATCAAGAGACTCCTAACATAAAATGATAGATACTTTCCCTGGATCAATAATGCTTTAAATTTCTCAAAACTAATTTATTTCCTGTTACAATAAATGTGGTATCAATGATGTAACTCAATAAAATTACCACAAAAAATTATTTCAAATTCCAAAGTTGATTTAAATCCACGAAAGTCATCTTTTCAATGACCTCATCATCAGTCCCAACCAAAACAATCCATTAAAAAAATTAAATTGTTCTTAGTGATAGATAGATTATTATCTGAATCTGAAGCAAATGAGTGCATATTAATGATATTAATATCAAATCAATGATTTTATTATCATAAAGGAGTAAATAAAACGCAGTCTCTTATTCCCATATCTGTCGCCTGGTGTGATTACTCATAGTAGATATAATCAGTGTGTTGTAGGAAAGATTTCGCAAGACCACTATACGTTTAAGACGGTTGAAAGCAAGAGAGAGATCTCGATCGATCCTTGCCAGCGGCGAAAAAAAAAAACATGCCTAGCTATGGCTTCTCCGACAAAGAAACCGTTGCTTCGTGAACCAGTCACGTACGAGCGCACCCGAGAGCTCTCTTGAGCTCATTCGATTAATCAAGTCATTGATTATTATAAAATCATTTCCAAAATTTTCTAATTACTACATCACACTAGTCTCTGAGCCATTTGGGTCATCAATTGAATATAATAGGGTTGGCCTCCCACTCATCAGCCTCCATTTCTTCACCCCAACATAAATTCAACGATTCTCTAGACAATTGTCACAGAAAAAAAAATGAAACAATCAAATAATTTGGTAGTTAATGAAGCGTAGAGTAATGAATGATGATAAACAAAAAATGATATAAGCATTGTTGATGCTGTTTTTTTTTTGAAGCAGCATTGAAACATGAAAAGACTTTTCGAAGGAAAAGATAGCACGTCCTTTAAGAATAAAAGGCATTCAGGACGATTCAGGTCGTTAACGGTAAACGTCGGACGTTTACGCTCGCAAAACTGTGCACTCTGCGTTCACATTCACCCACACATACATGACAAATCTCACGAAAGTTGATCTTATTCTCTATCTTTACAACTCAGCGGGCTTCGGCTTACCTAACCGATAAACGACACGTCATTGTTTCATTTTCTTGGACACATAACTTTCAAGACAGTATGATTGATCGACACATTAGCCCTTTTTCTTAAAATCTTAATTCCAAACTCCTTCCACCACGCTATCTATGTCTTGCATTTCGAGTGAGAGAGAGAGACGCGCAGGTATGCTTTTTCATCCGAATGGAGTAACCTCAGCGCAGCTTGACGTTATTTTACTGTCTACCATTTATAAGTGATTATTTGGCTGCTATTTAGTTGATTATTCAGCTATATTTATATCACTAAACACAACACTTATTCAATTACACACTAATAGACTCAAAATAATTGTTATAGTTGATTAATTAATTATTTAAACCGGTTTAAACTGACGTACAACATCCGTACACGCCGAGAGCCGATGGCAGAATGACCGTCGCGCGCACCACCGACCACAGCGCCACCTAAAAACTGAATCACCACCAACCATCACTCCTTCCCCGATCGCTTACGATTCTACCATCACCACTACATCGAAACATTCTAAACGATCAGACGAGCGTTATAATGGATATTTACACCGACGTACCACCTGGCCTACCTAACGGGTGTCCGCCGATTTCGCTTTCGCCTCGACCTTGCACTTCTCCGCAAGCATTACCGCTTATTTTAAATTAAATCTTTTATTATATGCCTCATTATCTTTGATATCATATCGACTATCAATTATCTCCCGTTTCCCTAATGTTTTATGCTCATCACGTGATTTTATCCTATTGTAACCTATAAAGTTCCAATAACTTCAAAGTACACTTGTTCTAAGAAGCAGCAATTATTGTCATCCCTCTTTGATCATCAACAATCTCCTAGATGTCGGACGTCATTACCGTGAATGAATGAAGGTAAGGAATGTTTTGAAAAATATTTAAAAAGTCTTTGAACTCTCAGGGATGCTGATGAAATTATTTGAAGCTTTGAGTAGATAATTCATGTGATTTATTTTCAGATAAAATTCTTTATCTAAAGTTGTAGCAATCAAATGGTTTATCAGAGTGGTGTTGTCAGCTGATGATGAGACAATTTACGTAGTCCAGGAGTTGAATAAAATATTTTCAAAGTTGACTAAAGTGGTAAGACATAATTTATACATAAAAACGTGTACATGAAAGAGGGGAAAGAATCCCGGAAAGTCATTGTCATACAGCTGCTGTCACAGGTTTACATTTGAGCTGTATGAGTGACATGAGTGCGTACAATTCATACGATATATCCTCGCGCAATTCCATCTTAAACTCGAAGCGAGACGTTCGTTTTTTTTCCTCTCATTCCCTCCGCTACTTGTGATCGCCTCCGCGTCACAAATAAAACTCTTTTTCTCTTGAGCTCATTCCTGTCTCCCTTCTTATCTTTTTTTATTTTCCTCTTCTGTCCTTGCCGTTTCTGTACTGGTTAGACTACGTTGTCGAATAACTCGTCTCTTTTCTCATCACTAGTCTCTTTCTTACGTTCGCGCATGCCTGAACTTGGCTTTCTTTATTTTTCTTGCTTTACTTCTTACCTACTCATCCTTTTTCTTTCTTCACTTCTTCTCTATCCGTGCAAATGAGAAACCTTTGCCTCTTTCAAACCCAACAGTATGTGTAACAAAATCACTAAACGGTTCTTTCGATTATGCAGTCATATTTTTTACATTCATTTCCATCATTTAATTATCCACTTTTCATTAATATAAATGATAACATTCTTTTGGATCGGCTTGATAAAAAATCAATTTGTTTGAAATTCACCTCAGTTACCTGTAGAATAATTAATTGCAAGAGGAAATAGTTAAGCAGTATATTCAAGTGCATCTGTGTATATAAATCATTCCTCCCTGTTTCCGCGACTTCATATCATTATTATTATTAGTCAAGCATTTCTTATTTTCAGCAAATACATTAAATCATTATTTCGAGGGTGATAAATTTATCATTCAGAAGGGTTTGAAAACTTACTTGAATGAATAAAAAATACACTAACGGTATTATTGTATATTGTACAATGTTTATAATATATTGCTAGCAGTTTGAAATGAAAAGAAAAGGCAAAATGAGAGAGTTAGAACTGGTTTTCGAATTTATTTTCTGTTTTATTTGCGCTTTAATTTTCGCTCAAGGATCCACGTTTTATCGCTTGTGTGTATTAAAATCGATACTAATATTCTCCAATGATCAATTCGAATAACAAATTTTTATCATTTTTTTCAATCCACTTACATGCTTGAATGTTATAACATTTACTTAATTAATCACTAATTACTATCATGATATCAATTAATTAATAGGTACCAATAAAACTATTAACCAATTTTTTTGCAAAATGAATATTATTTTAATTTAATTGAATCAATTAAATAATACCATGATATGTTAATCAGGCAAAAAAATTAAATTAAATTTTTATCGATAATCATATTTTCTTTTTTAACGATTGATGATTTACCGACGTGGGTCGGTAATAGTTATCAACAGACAGAAAAGATTGCCGACGGAGCAGAGTTGATGAAAAGCCCGTGCGGCAGCGCTCCTGAACAATCAGAGAAGAGAAACTCGTAAGAGAGTGTACTTATAAGTGTACTGTGATTATTTTCTTTGAAATCGTTTTTATTTAATTTGTTATTAGTTTATTATTATTTCTTTGAAATTGTTGAAGTTATACAAAAATTTACTTTGTCAAAAGAAATCAAATGTGTTCTCTCTCAGTTAAATTCTAACCTCAATAAACATCAGATTTTTATTTGATTTTTAATCAAATTAAACTTTAAGTTTAATATGAAATACTATCAGTGAAGTTGATGTTATTGCGAATATTATTTTGTTGCTAAAGGTTAGAAAATTCTAAATCGTTTACATTTAAAAAGTGCTGATGTTGCTGATAAAGATGCATGGTTTTGGGTTGAAACAATTTTACCGGAAAGTATTGAAAGAGAACACTTAGAATTTTAATATAGAGTGAATTTAAATATATGAAAACATTGTAAGTAAGTAAATGTATTTTAAATAAACAATGTTTCTATAAACTAGAATAAACGTATATGTATTGATTATGATTAATTCTTTTTCGAAATAATTTCAGGAGGAATTACAGTTATAATCCAAAATGTTTGGTTGGCTTAGGCGAAGAAAAATATTTAAAATCACAGCCAATCAAAGTGGCTTCTCTTGACAGTTCTCTTTCAGAACTTAGAGATCCAATTCAATATGTAGGCCTGAAAAATTTGGGTGCTACTTGATATATTAATAGTTTAATTCAAGTTTGGTTTCATAATGAAGATATGAGGTAATGTTTTACAATTTTATATGTATATTATATTTAAATATTAATAATTATTTTATGAGAACTTTTTATAATTAAATTAACTTAACTAAACTAAATTAACTTTTTATGATTTCTTACAGGCAAATTATATACAAATGAAAAATGATGGAAGATCCAGAAGAAAATGCACGCACAAAGTGCATACCAGCTACAGCTGCTGAATTACTTTTTACAAAATATAACGGTGGTCCAAGACTCGACAATAATTCATTATGCGAAATTTGTGTTAAAAAAACGATGTAAGATATTTAAATTTGAGTCAGAACTAGACAAAAATCGAAAAGAAGTTACAAAAATAATGAGACGGGCGAGAGATTGTACAGTAAATTGTTATATCGTTGGTGCTGCTTTGATAAAATATTGGCCTAGACTTGTTGTAGAAAATATGGAACTTAAAGATTCACATCAAGATTATAATGATTTTGAAGTTCGTAGAACTGGAAATAGAATAAAAGTGCTACATGGAGTATTTTGAAAAAATACTTTCCTTTGGCTATGGAATATTCTATTGGTACTCCATCCTGTGAAATTTGTGAAGAAAATGAAAGGAAAAGAAATGAAAAAAGAGAACTTAAGAAGATTTTTCAAATTTTCATTATATCTGAATTTCTGTGATTACATCAGAAGACAAAAGTCATATGAAGCTTGTACATTTTTAATTTAAATATTGTTATAAAAAAATTATGATAAGAGTTCAACATGCGATATCAATGCATTTTTCTTCAAACTTGACAAATGGTTGTATTTATAAAAATGTCGCATAGTGTCGCATTTATCCAAGATGTAATCTGTTATGTCACGCATTGTCTTCCATAAAATACTACCGATTTACATTAGTATACTTTTTTTATTTAATAATATCCCCTTTCCGTGTGCTGATTCACAAGCATACTAAAGCCCTACATATCGACACATTCCTCTAGAGAATACCTACAATAAATGCGATATTGTTCTGCTAATATCAGTCATCCTCAGCATGTCCTAGAGTTCTATAATTCTGCGCAAGTTTAATTTCGCGCAGACTCCACAGCATCACTAGATCTTTGAGTTTCAGTACCAAAATTCCGTGGAGAGCAAACGGAGCTTCTCTCGATTAAATAATATTTTCATTATTCAAATACACTATTTTACTTGTTTGATAAATATTAAAGTTATAAATGATATTTAATAATAATTGTGAATTTATTTTGAGAAATATTTAAATATTTTTTGAATTTTAATCTTTATTTGTGATGGCTGATCACGACAATATGTATGATGATGAGGTAAATATTTTTATTTATTATAAATAATTTAATTATTTCCCACTTTTATCATCCCAACAATTTATTTAAACATTGAAATTATATTTTCTATTATTTCAGCATTTGATGGGTTTTAATGGATAAAAATAATTATTTATAATGATGGATTATTTTTATTTGTTCAGAATAATTTTGTTAGTGTTCTTTAATGATGTGACATATTTGATAAAATGATAAAAAATATTTTCCACTTTAAGAATGAATAAGCATTGGAGCGCGGGAATGAGTAGAGCAACAAGGTTGGATGTATATTGCACCCCACTGGTTCTTTCTCTATCGATTTCATGTGAGAGTAGCTCCGAGGAATGAATGCCACTACAGTGGCTCAAGCCCTCAAAGAATACAGACCTCAAAAAATATTTTTTCTATTTTTTTTTCTTTAATTATACCAAGGCTTATACGTTTAATTGAACTTTCATTTAAAGTATGCTCTTGATTCTGCTGAAAAGCAAACGAGAAAAAAAATTTAAAGGTTTTATTTTTATTTCAGAATAAATTGAGTAAGAAATAAATAAACTTGCTTCATTTTAATATCATTTATCTTCGGTTATCGTCAATGGATAGCGTTTGTTTGATGCTTGGAGATCAAATGAAGGGTGATGGAAGGTCGTCATTCTATTTCAAACACGTTTATTAATATCTATGATACTGTAATATTTTTTTAACGTCAAATCAATTCTGTTTTCAAATATCGATGATTATTATAAACAGGTGATTGACGAGATTAGAGCATTTATTTCTATTGATTTTGTCATGAAATGAGGATTACAGTAAATAATAGTATTTTATGTCAACATTATGACAAGAAAGGAAAACAAATAAATTTTTGTAGCAAGAAATAGGAGAAATTTTTTTTTTAGAATTAAAAGGTTTTTTAAATGACTGCATTTTGGTGAAAAATAGTCAGGTTTCAATGGACTGAAAAGCATTCAAAACCTTGATACTTCTTGATACTAAACACTCTATCAAAACTTTTTTAATTACTTTTTACAGCTAGAAAATGCGTTGGAAAAAAAATATTTCATTTTTTTTGAACAATTCTTTAAATAGAACTTTTGTAATTATTAAAATGACTGCATTTCTGTCAAAAAAATGCTCCAATTTTTATGAACTAGGGCTTATTAGACAACTTAAGTTCTCTAGTTTGCTAAGCTCTCATTAAAAAAAATTTCGCTCTTCATTGCTTCACAGAAAATAAATAAAAAAAGCTCTGCATCAATCAAATTGATGTTTCTTCTTTTAAAAGAAGATAAAATTCATGTTGTAAAATACTTGGGAATGATTGTTTATTCATGAGATAATGTTGAATAATTATTTTGTAGGAGTTGGTGTCGACAAATCCAAACCAAAGGAACTGGCGAGGAATACTAATTGCCCTCCTCGTTATTATCGCTGTCCTGGCGTTGATAGTGACATCAGTAGCACTTTTAACACCACCTGATGAAGGTCCACGGGTCCGGGGGACGCGACTACGTTTGTCAGAAGTAAGTTGAAATTTTTATCAACGCTTATTAGTAATACAATTAATTACAATGATTTTTGTGGATATTAAACCATTTTCCTGTTTAATTTGAACGTACAAATGCGATTCTAATTAATCATCTTATACTTGTTATCAGATATTAACTGGTGAATTAACACCATCTCCATTCAATGGAACTTGGGTAAGCAACCGACACATATGCTTCCTCGATTCTTGGGGTGGTATTTCACTCCTCGATGCTCTTGATCCGAATGCAACAGCTCAGAGTCTTATGCCAAATGAAACTTTTGTAAGTCACTCCTTAATTATTTCTTAAAACACCTTCAGTTATATTTGCAAAAAGTTTTCATCATAATTATGTATTTTTATAATTAAAAAATAAAAGACATACGAAAAAGATTTAGGCCAAGTCATCAGAATACAAGAGAAATTTTTTTAATGACTTTAAAAACAGAAAAAAAATGTTTAGAATATTTTTGGAATTGAAATCTAGAGTAAGCAATTTGCGAAAAACATGTTCAATTTTTTAATGACCTTTGACTCATTACTATACGATTTTTTTCTCAAGAGTTATTGAGGTTCGAAGTTGAAAACGGCACTTTTTCTTTGAAAAACGATTACTCTGTTAAAAATGGCCGTATAACATTCATTTTAAAAACATCTTGTAGGGTATGAAAGAGTCTTCTAAACGCTTACCTTGGATTTTATCTAAAAAATTTATTTGTGCTAGAGGGTCCTCTTAAACTTATCGCCAACTAAAAGAACAAAAACTCGCCGTTGCTCTTCTTTCTTAATTTTCTTCATAGTTTCTTTTTTTCAGTAATTTATTTTTGCGTATCAACTGAAATCTTAACTGATTGAACCAATATTTTAAAATTTCAAATTTTAGAAATTCCAGTACCATAATTTCCAAATAGGAAGTTAAAAATTGTTCGCTTCATAGATTTAGTCATCAATCAACTCACCCTAATCACTAAAAAAAAAATCGATGGTCAAATAAAAAAAGATTGTCTATCATCGCTCATTTAGCTCATCAAATTATTCTAAGCAAAAAATCCTTCATTGATTGATTAAACTTTCCAGAGGCGTCTGAATCCCGAGACATTTTCTCTCTCACCCGATCATCGATATCTTCTGCTGTCCCAGAATGTCGAGAAGCTATTTAGGTTCACCTCTCTTGCGCAATACATTATTTATGACGTTAACACACGGTGAGTACTGATAAATTATGGTAAATAATTATAACAAAGTATCAGATAAATTTGTTATTCAATTAATTGTTATCTTTTTTAAATTTATTTATTGATTGTTTTTTTTTTAATGTAGAGAAATAATACCTCTGACCCCGAATCCAGAGAAATATGTTCACCCTTATCTGCTATACGCACAATGGACTCCACGAGGTCATGGCCTCGTCATGATTCAGGATTATGATATTTACTACAAAACTAGTCCAACATCCAGCCTCGAATATCGCGTGACTGACACTGCAGTACCGGGCATAGTATCCAATGGTTTTCCCGACTGGCTTTATGAAGGTGATATTTTTTTATACCAGTCGATGTAATTTTAATAGCTTTTTTATTGTTTCCCTGCAAACATGACGTCATTGAGAATTTTATAATATTAAAATTTTATTTTTATAAAATTAATTTTTCAATTTCCAGAGGAAATTCTCCAAAGCCCAAGTGCTCTCTGGATGTCAAAAGATGGCCACATGATGTTATATGCAACATTCAACGATTCCCTAGTAGAAGAAGCCCACATTCCATGGTTTGGAGAAGAGAATCAGAAGCTTTACTCAGAATCCTCATCACTTAGATACCCACGGCCTGGCACACCAAATCCTCAAGTAAAGCTTTTTGTCGCAGATTTAGCTGATCCTAAGGATATTTCTGTTAAAGCAGTTAAACCTCCACTTGTTATAGAACATGTGTAAGTAAATTTTATCAATGTCTACACACATTCAGGAGCTCTATATCTCTAACAGTTAAAACAGTCAATGGTTTTGCGAATAACTGATGGAATAATTGATTATAGGGAACACTATTTCACCACTGTTTCTTGGGTTTCATTAACGGAAGTGACGATAACTTGGCTGACGCGTGCTCAAAATCTATCAGTCATCACAGTGTGCAAAAGTCCATTATGGCATTGCCAGGAAACTCAGAGAATTAGTGAAAGTCGTGGTTGGGTTGATATTGTATCAGATCCCCCTTTCTTTTCATTAAATAGCAGTAGTTATATCACGATAGCCCCTGTAAGGGATGGTCCGGCTGGCTTTTTCAAACATATTGTTTGGGTCAATGTTGCTAAAAAGCAAGTATTACCACTGACTCATGGTCGACGTGAAGTCGTTAAAATTCTTGCATGGGACCAAGTTAGCAATATTATGTAAGTTTTTTTTATTTCTATCTGATATGCCATTTTTTCTTCTATTTTTTGTCTTCTATTTAAATTGTTTTTAAAGATATTTTCTAGGAATTCCTTCATTAAAGCCAGCTCAGCGCCATTTATATAGAGTAAGCTCCGTCCTCCCGGAAATTGGATCATCATTACATCCAGCTTTTTGCATCACTTGCGTTGCTTCAACGCCAGAAAATCATTCATCATTGATTGAGACCGAGAGTGAATTTCAATTGGGATTATCGGGAGTTTCTGGCTGGTTGGACACCGATTGGAGTGAGAAAGTGGATACTGCTGAGGAAGACGAAGATGAAAAATCAACTGAAGAGACTTCTGTCGAAAGTAAAAGTTCCAAAAAGTCCAAGAAAATTAATAAACGTGAGTAAAAAAATTAACTGATTTTTCAATGAGTTATCAATCTTCCTTTAGAATAGAATATAAAATTAAACTCTTAGATTTCTGGCTATTGTTTTGTCTATCACACACTATTGGTAATGATCTCTAGCTCACTTTTGATTGAAAAGCACTTTTTATTGATTAAAAATATCGATATATTCTCTCACACATGCACACACACTAACAATTTTTGGAAAAAATTTTTTAATTAGGATTTTAATCGTAAAAGATTTTCCTTTTGGAATAAAATATTATCTTTAAAAAAACGTTAAAGGATTTAAAAAATTTTTTCCTTTCTGAAAGTAGAATGATCTTGTATTTAAACAGTATTACTTTGAAGAATCAGTTTGATTTACACCAACCATAATGACTTGAAAAAATAATTTTGAGCTGTTAGATAACAAAAAGAAATAAATTTAATGAACTCTTCAAAATGTAAATGAGGAAAGAAAAATTTAGCAATGGGTTACATTTGTTTATTGTAAAGAAAAGATTTCTTGACAGCTGGACATTTGTTGGAACATCATCGAGCTTTACTTGATCTCCGTGGCTTGTGGCATTTCTGAACCCAGAGAACCTCATTATTACAGTAATTGTGATTCATTATCATCTTCTGCACCATCGATCCCGATTATTATTCAGGTAGAGACAGAATAAAATATCTGTTTTGTTAGTTAGTCAGGTGATATAATTAATGGAGAAACAATTTGCTAAAAACACTGTGTATATGTGTGATTGTAATATACATATTATTTTGATGTACATCGGGATTCTAAAGTCTTTGGAATTAATGTTAACAATCATTGTGATTTATTCATAAAATTAAAATGAAAAAATATAGGTGGGGATAAAAAATAATTTAATATTTTTAGGAAACAAACTGCACTGAAACACTCCTTCATTTATGTGCATTTACACTTTATTTGAATGTTAAATATGTTGTGAGCTTTTTTTTATATATAAAAATGTCTCTAATAGAGTTTTCATGTTCAAATATTTGTCTGTGGTCATTGTCATGTTTTGGCCATTTTTCTGATCATAAAATCAGCTGGACTATGACTTCAATGCATGCAGTCAATCAACCAATGATTAAAAACAAGACTATTTCTAAAAAATGAATTCTTTTTCGTAATTATTAACGCACTCTATTGAATAGCATCACTTTTCTAGACTTGTAGAAATTTTTAACTGAAAACTTTCAAATTTCATGATATGATGAATCATCAAAACAATTTAACAATAGATATTTTACAAGCTAAACGTGTTTATTACAGTAATATTGAGTATAAAAAAATATTTCAGCTGTGGTTGAAACGTGTTCATATCACAATGCAATATTTTCTCCGGGATTGGACTACTTCATTCTAGAGTGCTTAGGTCCTGGTGTTCCAACAGTGTCTTTGTATAAAACAGAAACTCCAAAGCCACGATTCATAAGGCTTCTTCAAAACAACACGGCATTAAAGGTAATTATTAATCATTTACATCTTTAATATATAATAATTCTTCATTACTTTTATTTTAAAATTTATTCTACAGGAAAGGCTATCAAAAATAGCATTACCACAAATAAAAACATTCCCAGTACAAATAAGTGGAGGTTATAATGCTCAAGTTCGACTTTATTTACCACCCGGATTGAGAGAAGATGAAATAACGCGTTATTCAATGGTGGTTCAAGTGTAAGATTTTTCTTTGTAAATTATCTATAAAATGATTCAATAGAAATACATAATCAATATTATGAATCTTCTGCAGATATGGAAGTCCAGGAACTCAGTTAGTAACAGACGAATTTAAAATCGACTGGAACACCTACCTAGCAAGCCGAAAGAATGTTATCGTGGCACAAATTGACGGAAGAGGAAGTGGAGGACAAGGATACAAAATGCTATACGAGGTGTACTACAGGCTTGGTACAGTTGAAGTTGCTGATCAGCTGGAGGTGACAGAGTATTTACGTGATTCACTGCACTTCGTTGACAAACGACGCGTGGCTATTTGGGGTTGGAGCTATGGTGGTTTCGTCGCTGCTCTAGCACTAGCAGATCCTGGACAAGACGTCTTTCAGTGTGGTGTTAGCGTGGCTCCGATCGTTTCATGGAAGTTATATGGTGAGTCTTTATCAATATTAATTTAACATTATCCTGCATGCTAATTTGTTTTTATTTTAAAAGTATGCCTATTTATTAAATTCCAAAAATTTCCCTAATAAAATTTTGCGATGAATGGGGAAAAACATGATGCGAATAACCTATTTAATATTGATTAATTAAAATTGATAGAGAAACGATAAAGGTCCTGTAGGATAAATAAACTTAGCATTACCACTTAATATTTCCATTTGTAGGAATTTATAATTTTTCGTCACTTGAAATTTTTTTTTCTGGTTAGCTTAAAGGATTTTTGGTTTTTTAGTTTGCTTTATTGATGTTTATTCGTTGAATTCTCTTAGTTGGTGTCTAGAATTTTATTTTGCTGATTTTCAATCTTTTGATTTGCTTTGTTATTTTTTTGGTTTTTGAAATATAGTCTAAGATAAGAGTTTATTGTGAATCATCTGTTGCTCGTATTTCCAATTTTAGATTCAGTATTCGCTGAAAGATATATGGGATTACCAAACGTAACGTCTAATTACAAAGGATATTTGGAATCTGATGTATCCAACAAAATAGAATTTCTACGAGACAAAATGTATTACTTGATCCATGGAACTGCTGATGATCTTGTGCAATTTAAACAATCAATGACACTAGCGCATCATCTTTCAAAGAAAGGAATAGTATATCGTCAACAGGTTTATCCTGATGTTGGACATAGTTTAAATGGAGTAACTGGCCATTTATATCTGTCGATAGCACAATTCTTTGATGATTGTTTTCTCAAACAAATACCTGTTGATTCTAAGGCTGGGTTAGGAAGTGGTGGTGCTGATATTTAATATCATTTCGTTATCATTTAGAAATGATTTTTAGAATATCAATGGTTATGTAGAATATTCCAACTCCTGATTACAAATAAATTTCATTCCAATCCTAATGATAATTAATTAAATCAATTATATTATGAAAAATTAAATTAATTATGTTAAACAAAAATGGTGAGGATGAAAATGAGATACATTTTAAATGTTTCATTTTTTTATCCTATTTTTTTTTCTATCAATTCTTAGAGAATCATTAGAATATCACCAAATAATACAAACAAAAATATCCAAATTGTGTTCTGTTTATATTCATGATAAATATTTACATTACATTGAAACGGAATTTTATCAGATAAATTTATTCTATACTTAATCGTAAATGAACAAACTTAATAAGTAACATAAAAAATAAAATTAAGTTTTACATTTTTCAAAATTACGATAATAAAATAACAAATGAACGTGTTATTTAATAACAATAATAACAATAAAATATCAAGATGTAACTTTTAAGTAATAATGCAGAAAATGTGATTAAATTTAATGTCTATCACTTTCAAATATTTTTTGATTCAACACTTTGAGTGCAAATTAAATTTAATAATTGAAATATTTTTTTTTCTATAAATTTTAGTATTTTTAATTAGACGTCTTCCATTTAAAATAAAATATAAATTATAACCAGTAAAAAAAAATGTACCCAAAGTGTTAATTGAATGAAAAAATGAACTTTAATGATAAAAATATTATAGATAAAAATTAGAACTGTTTAATATCTGGCACATCAATTTTACTATCATCTATTTCACTTATTTTACTTATTATAAAAAGGTCTAATAATCTATTATAATTCAAAGATATTATTGTGTTTATACATCAGACTTGATGAATTTCTTATTGGAGCATCTACCGAGATGAAGAAGCATGTGATTTTTAAGATTAGTTGGTTTGCTAAAGCCCCGATTACAAACATGACATCTGAAAGGCCATAGCCCGTTGTGAACGTACATGTGGCTTTTCAGATCACCTGGTGTTGGAAATGATTTAGAGCATTGAGAACATTTATGTGGTTTTTCCTAAAAAAAAAAATAAATATGCTTATTAATTAGTTGATAATCGTTAGCTATCAGAATATTTTTAAAATATATCAACAATTCACTCAAAAGTGGAACTATTCGTTTTTGGTCCGACATTTCATATTTGAAAGATAAAATTGAGTTCTTAAATAATTCCATTCACATCATTATTGTAATAAATGTATTTTTAAGTATCAATTATTTTCATTAGAAGAATCAAAGAAGATTTTTTTTCTTCAAAAAAATTCCAGATTTCAGGTAAAATGTTCTTCAACATTAATTTGCTTGAAAGCTTTTTTTAATTTACTGAATAAAAAATAACTTCAAGCCAATTTCACTGTTATCCGGTGTAATCAACGTTCGATAGTTTTTTCTCCCACTTTAAAAACAAAGTTGATAATTAATGAGATGAAATACTTGAGTGCTGGAGCTGGATAAGGTAGTGGGGTTCAAGTCACACGCAGGAAGAAGCTGTAGTGCAGTAAAACTTACTATAGTGTAAGTAAAATGTGAAACAGCCTAAGGGTACATACGCTCTCTGTCTCTCTAATTGGATTGCATTCCAAGCGGTAGCAAGTAATGGGCCAATTACAGTAGCTGATGGCAGTGGAACCTATATGGCTCCTTGAGATATCATTACTTCGGGGGATTAGAGAGAAACTCATGAAGTTTCCGTTCTGATAAAAAAAAATGTCGCGGTATGGATGCATTCATTTACAATCTTGTGGTTATGAGACATATTTAATTGTCTTCTGGATTTACGCATAACGGAAGTCTTCGTGCTTTGCTGAGATAGGATGATAGATCTAGGACTAAGTAACATTACTCACCATCAAAATGTGTAAGTTTATTCCTTTCTGTGAGCAAATGAAAAGGAAATAACGGAGCCGATAAGCTTTTTTGTTGAAAAAAATATAGACAAAAAATAGTGACAGGTCTAGTGGGCATCAGAAACATCATATTTCATTGTTCATTGATAAAAGGAACATTCTCTAATTGGTACATAATTTTTTTCTACTCCTGTTTCCATTTTTTTTCATCCGTTTGAATAATTAAGATGTAAGCAACGAAGATATTTCTTGTTTCTAAAGAATATTCCAGAGAATTTACTCCAAGAATTTGTTTCAAATAATTCTTAAATTGGTCCATGATTAAATTGAAAAAAAGAAGAAAGTGTTGAGTGATATTTTTTTATTCTTACCTTAATATGAGTCATTCGATGATAATAAAGGTTCGATGAAGCTGTGAATTTTTTGCCACACACAAGACACTGATGAGGTTTTTCCCCGCTGTGTATTCGCTTGTGGGTATTGAGAGAACTTGAAGTTGAGAAGCCTTTGTTGCAGACCATGCAAACATGTGGTTTTTCTCCTGGAATTCCAACAGGTTATTTTTCAGTAAAATCATTTAAAAAATTCATTCAATGACTGTCGAAAAAATGTAGATAGATAAATTACCTGTATGAGTTCTCATGTGACGTTTCAGTAGAGACGGTCTATCGAATGATTTGCCACAGACTTTGCAAGGTAAGAGAACACGTTCTCCTCTTTTGATTGTTGTCAGAATACTACAATCCAGGTGATCACTTGTCAAGGACAGATTTGATGATGAAAATTCTTCTGATGTTGATTCGTATTCGTCCAACTCGTAGTATGATGAGGTTATTTGGCTTGATTGTTGAGAAATAAGAGTCTTTGATAGATCCAAGGGTGAGTCTTAACACAGAAAAAAATATCTTTTAGTTAAAAAAAATTGTATAAGTTTTTTTACTTCGTCAACTTACATCTTGGTCAAGAAAAACCATAGAAAAATTTTAAAAAACGTATTTTCAATCCCTGATGGAATTTTTTTAACATAGAGTCAAGAAAGTAAAGAATTATAGCTCCAAAATGACCCCTGGGTAATTAAAATTCATCAATTTTTTTTACAAATACAACCATAGCAAGAAATTTAGCAGAATGTTGAAAAGGAGATTGATATAAAACAGCTATAAACTCTTGAATGAAAGAAAATGTACCTATTCCCAGTGGAGGAGAGCAAAAAAAGGTTCTTATTGTGAGCGAAATTGATTGCTGAAGCGATTTTTCATTTCATTTATTGGCTTGTTCAGGATAATTCAGATAAGAATTGAATTCGATAGGTTTATTTTGAGGGTTACAATCGCTAACTAGACTCCTTTTTTATTTCTCCGTGTCTGAGTAGCATCGCGGCAATAGGGGCGAATAAAGAATGAAAGTAGAAAAAAAATGAAAAAGATAAGACTGTCTACAAATCTGAAATGCAAATACACTTGAGAATTTTTTTGTCGGTCAGATCACAAGAGTTTGCCGCTTGTGATTCAAATGTGTATCCCTGTCGTCAGAATAAACGACAGTACAATGGATGATGGTAAGCTAGAAGGTCTTTAGTTGCACTCTTGCCTTCTTTTTTCAAGCTTTCAAAGTCTCAGTATAAAAAAAAAGACCAGAAATCTCGCAAGCAAGTAAAGCAGGATAGGAAGTCGGCTTAACTATTTATCTTAATTGAAGATAAATTTAACCAATTAATGAAATGGCAATCTTATGGTGCAGAATATTTCTCCATTCATTTGAATGGGAATCAATAGCTACTGCATTTAAATATGCAGATCAAACAAGTAATACTCACCAGCAAGAATCGAGTCGATGGTGCACCTGTAGATTGCAGAACGCGAGCAGACATCACGCGATATGAGGACGAGGTCTTCATGCGAACCTGGCAAGAACCAAGCAACCAGCTCTGAGTCCGGTTCAACGTCTTTAATAACTTCAAATATGGGATCACCTGATAAAACATGCGTTTTATATGAATGAATGTGCATTTTAAAAGATACATTTAAAATAATGATTTCATTTCCAGTGGCACTTTTATATCAATATATTCAACTAAACGATCATCATGTTCTTATTGCTATCATCTAGACCTAGATGTTGAAAACATTCTTACCCAATTTTATGAGTTATAAAATCAATGGACAGCTCAGTGATAATAATATTCAATGTTTCATTGAATGAGAATGTTATTAGTTAATGTAAAATACTTGATATTTAATTGTAATTAATTCATCTTTTTACCTTTAACTTTGGTGCCAATAAGATTGACTTGGTCATTGTAGGTTTGAACAATGCGTAGAAATCGAATCCAATTACATTGACGTTTGTTTAAATTGTAGTTGGAGAAAGATACTTCATCGTAGCACCCATACTCACGTCTTATCTAAACAAAAGTAATCCATTTATCAGTTATCACCAAGAAAATTAGTAATTCTTTTAATGTTACAAATTAGTTCTAATTACTTACATCATTGTCGTCAAGAAGTGAGTAGAGATCGATTTTGTCAAACCTAATGGACCCTTGAAAGGGATAAATAAGAGTTCCGGAAGGAATAAAAACATTGGACCACACAGAAATTCGGACATCAGCGAGGGATCGCGAGTCATTTGGAAATAGACCAGAACAAGTGCCACGATCTGTAGCTAGTGCTAATGAGAATTCTTTTGGTATCAGAACGCAGGTTTCCATAGTTATATTTTCTGGTCCATACACTGCTCTAGACCATCTGAGGTTATTTTATTTTTATATGGTTATTTATCCAAAAGTTTTAAAAATTTAATTTTCTGTTTATTAATTTTTTTAATTACTCTGATAGAGATAAAAATGAAAATTAGAAATTGAAGTTATATCTTTGATAAATGTCAGTTGAATTTTTTAACAAAAAAACATTTAATTAAAAATGAAAAATTCATTGCTAATTTATTTCAAGTTACATAACACTACTGCATTGAAGTATCAAGTATGATGACGAGATTAATTAGAAAAAAGTATTTTTATTCATTTAAAAACTAAACAAGTAAGTTGATTTACCAAAAAGCTTGTTAATAAACAGTTAACAGTTGAATAAATTAAATAAATGATAGGAAGTGAATGTAAAGAATATTGAATTGAACAAAAATCACAAATAAACTTAAAACAATAACTCATTAAAATCAGTAATTTGGCTAGTAACTGCAGAGAACACACGCACAATATCTCGTGGCAGTAAAGTGCAAGGTCTTTAGCTCACTGGATAGGATTAACCGACTGATCTTGACCTTGCGACGGGTTAGCAGCATTTGCTACCGAATGGGTAGTCCAGCCCCTCCTCAAACTCCACCTATTGCATTGGATCTCATGTATTCTCCCACCAAGTGGATATATTACCTTCACTATCTCAGGAATACGTTCGGTCAGGCACAAGGAAGCCGGCCGTCGTCCGCAGGTTGTGGTTGTCCTGTTTGCTCTCAAGAACCCCGTCTCTCCCATCTATATACCGGCCTCTTAAGAAGAACCACGTGGGCGATGCTCGGCACCTGTCTTAGTCCTGGACCTCTCACTTCTTTCCATGCTCACTTCCATCACAGCTTCTTTATCTCCAACGTCCTCTGCATCTTCTCTTTGCTCCCGAAACGATCGACTGGCAGCTTGCTTTAGACAAGCTCGATACGAGCCGAGATTCTTTTCCTTCTTCGCTTCAACACGTTATATCTTGGAGATATATATGTATATGTGCTTTATATTCCTTCAGGGCTCTCATTTCATCTACTCTCTACGTGCTCAATTTACGCATACACACCTTACTTTCCTTCGTCTTACTTCTCACGTTCGCGGTGTCCTCACGCCTATCGTTCGCGTGCATCCGACTACTCGATATTCTCAACCAAGAGATTCTTCACTGCTGAAACCATCTCCATTACATTCTTGAAAAACTGTCGAAAATCAGAAGCTTTGGGTGTTGAGTTAAAAATGTTTAGATATTGAAAGATCATCAAGAACATTACAAGAAGCTATAATTCACTCTGATGAGTTTTACAAATGATTTCATTCCAGATTTCTACTATTAATATTTCAACTATTAATGAAGTACTTGAAAGAAAAATTCACTGAATTAATTATTATTTGATTCATAACATCGACATAAAAATTTAATCATTAGAGTAATACTACTGACAAAACTAGTTTACTCCAACACGAATGTCCTTTTAACTGGATTTTTTAATAGATAGTACATCATTCTTGTAGAAAATTGAACAAATAAATAAAGCAATAACTAGTTTTCTACTTAGATACCACACGATCTCTTCCGGCTTTATATTTACGTATTCTCGTCAGCGTTATCAAATACTAATAGCTCCACTTCTTCTTCTGCTTTAGTTTTTTTCTTTTTTATCTTACCATTTAATTTAAGTGAAGGTGAAAATCGTCTAATCAGTTGGCGTAAATTATTTTGCCACTGTGTTGTTTCTGGTTTTGCAATTTTTTTGTTTAATTTTTTTTGCTTTAAGTAAGCAGACATGCCACCTTTTAAACGATCTTGGAATTTGAGGTAATAATAAAGACTGAGAGAAATGGTAGATATTATGATAATAAACATCAGAACTACTGAAACAGCAACAAAAGTTTCATTTGGCATCCAACCGAAAAATAGCTTTGTAAATTCATCTTCCATAAGATATGTGCGCCAATTAGGTGCACTAATGACGTTCACTAGAATAGCGTTAGTCGTCCAGATGAATCTTAAATCATCCTCTTTCACTTGACACTCCCAGAGTCCATTATGAGATTGATTAATAGCAAGAACAGTATCAACATTTACAGTTATTGGTACTGATATTCCATAATTTTTGTAAGTCTTCTTATTAATTAACCAGGTAATTTTTAAATTTTTATAAACGTATCCTAAAATCACACATCGGCAGATGATGGTCATTGGCATGGTCTCACGAATTGTTAGTTTTGTTTGGCTGGGTTGAACAGCCAGACTGATCACTTTGAGAATTAGATGAGTTCCATCAACTCTACGAACACTGATAGCATAGATTCCTGAGTCCTGGACTCTGGTCTGTTTTATTTCTAGAAGAAAAAATTTCTTATCATCAAGAGTTACAATTAAAAAAAAAAAAAATATTTACCAATTGTATAGTTTTGAATAAAAACTCGATCATCTTTCTCTTTGATAATAATTCCATCGTGTGACCATTGAATATCAGAGTTGGGTGATTCTTCGCCAATTCGCGCTACAACATCAGCATCAGGTACTATAAGTGTAGGTTGATTTTCTCTGACCACTATTGCTGTGAAATTAGTTCTCTTTCTTCGTCTTATCAAAGAAACTGTATCTTCTGTTATATCACCACAAGCTATCGTGTTACATCTTCCTGTCATTATACTTGGACCCAAACACGGTTCACCTTTTATATTTGGCTCAGGATTATTGCAAACACGTTTTCTTGAACCCACTCCTCCATTACAACTTGCACCACAAGTCCATGGACCCCATTCAGACCATTCTCCATCCTCTGGGTCTCCATCAATATCTGCAATTATTTTACCAGAGTAAAAAATGTGTATTACATGGCAGAAAAAATTTAATGTTCATTTTCTTATGAATCTTATATTGATATGATATTATTCGTGAGTTAAGTATTTTTTATTATAATTGTTTATTTATTCAAACTCATATTTCTCAATTGGATATTAATTTAAAATTGATATATTACCGAAGATATCAATAGAGTATAAATGTTGACATTTCTAGAAATAAATACAACTAAGTTATGATAAATTGAAGGTATTAACGTCTAAAACTAACGAAAATTCGTTTTTATTTCGTAACAATTTGAATTATTGATCTATAAACATAGACATACAATCACTTTTATTGTTGTACGCATTACAAATTTTTTGTTTGGATTATTTCTTCGATAAGCATAGCTATATAATAACTCAACAAAATTTATTCAAATACAGTTAGTTTTCGAAAGAGTAGGTGTTACAGTAATTATTTTTAAAGTATTACAATATTATCAACTGACATAAAATATGCGGTTGATAACTTTGTGTGTTGCGATCAGCTTAGTTTCCACCATCGCTGATGCGTCTTCAAGTAAGAAAAATCATTCAGTTTATTGTTGATCCAATAAATCATTATTTATTAATTTTTTTTTAGAAAAAATCATTTGCTATTTCGGTTCCTGGTCAGTTTATCGTCCAGGGAATGGACAATTCGATATTAACGGAATTGATCCAACTCTTTGCACTCATTTAATTTATTCATTCGTTGGCGTTGAAGGCAATGACATCAAAATCCTAGACTCCTGGAGTGATCTCCCAAGGAATCTAGACGGTTTTGGAAAATTTGTTAGCCTTCGAAAAAAAAATCCATCCCTTAAAATTATGATTGCTGTTGGTGGATGGAACGCTGGATCGGTTCCATTCTCTAAAATGGCAAGTAATCAAGCCCAACGAGAAGCTTTTGCTAAGAATGCAGTTAAATTTCTCGAACAATATCAGTTTGATGGATTAGATATCGATTGGGAATATCCCGCTCAACGAGGTGGAGTTAAAGCAGATGTGAAAAATTTTGTGAAGCTAGCTGCTGCTTTAAAAAAAGCATTTGCTCCACATGGTTACATTCTTAGTACTGCTGTAGCAGCACCAGAGTCTTCAGTATCACAGTCTTATGACATAATAGGGATGAGTCAATACTTTGATTTCATTAATCTCATGGAGTATGATTTTCATGGCTACTGGGATGGTCACACTGGAATGAATGCACCTCTTTTCGCTTCATCGAGTGACTCTGGGAATGAGTTAAAATTAAATATTGTAAGTGGAGGTAATTCCAAAACCGTAGCTTATAATGATCTTAATAAATTATTTTTTTCAAAAAATGTAGGAAGCTTCAGTAAATTATTGGGTAAAAAATGGAGCTCCGAGAGAAAAGCTCATTTTGGGTATCCCAACATATGGAAAGAGCTTTACACTTTCAAATCCTCGTAATAAAGGTGTAGGTGCTCCATCGAATGTGAAAGGAACAGCTGGTCCTTATACACGAGAACCTGGAATACTTGGGTATAATGAAATCTGTGAGATATTCAAAGCAGGGGGTTGGAAAATTTATCAGGACAATGAAAGAGGCGTGCCTTATGCGGTCAAAGGCAACCAGTGGGTTTCATTCGATGATATTCCGTAAGTGATCTGTAAGGTTGTTCGTTTTCAGTTTTTTTGTGATATTTTATAAGTATTTATTCACAGTGCCATTAAAGCCAAAGCTGAGTTCATTAAACAAGAACGTTTAGGTGGAGCCATGATCTGGAGTATCGAAACCGATGATTTCAAGGGTATTTGTGGTGAAAAATATCCAATATTAAAAGCTTTAAACTCCGTTTTAGGTAGTGAAATTTCTAAAAATTCTAATCTTCGAGTTTGGAAAAAAAAGCAAAATAAATTCACTACAAGTACACCAACTACGACTAGTTTTGTCGAGGATCTTCCTGAGACTCTAAAAGAGTCAGATCGTTCATCAGGAAATGGAGAATGTACCTTTGTTGGTCAATTTATTATTAATCCAAGTAATTGTGGATTTTTTGTTTGTGATCATGATGGTATTGGAGGCTTTAGAAAAATTCCAGGAGCCTGTCCTGCAGGTCTTTGTTTCAATCCAACTTATCAAAGGTGCGATTGGAAATAGAAGTGGAAAAATTATGAATTATAATTTTTATTGTTAGGAAAAAAAAAAATTGAGTAAAGAAAAAAAATTATGTAACGAAGAATTTAAATATAAAATTATTTTACCAGGTGGTAAGCAATTAGCAGTCCATATAGCCTTAGTTTTATTCCCAACAATCACAGAGAAAAAATAGAATAATAGAGGATGTGTATGCTCGTGATGAAATACCTTTGTGTCATTCCATAAAACTATAATCGTATGATTCATCCATCTAATAGAAATTTACGACAAAAGAAAATAAATTAAACTTTATGATTAATAAAATCATAAATTAAACTCTCTCACATTATTGTTATGTTTGTCCAATTATTTCCATTAAGCAGCTTGTTCACAGGTACTTTCTGTTGATAAAGTGTTGATGGAATTGAATTGACTATTTTTAACAAAGAAATCCTAGTGTTGTCTTCATTGATTCTCAAAGCATAGTGTCTGTAAGAATAAAAATATTCTTTTATGAACAATTAATTAATAATTATTCCATTTAGAATGTTTTCATTGAAAAATTACTCTAATTCTTCTGGGAATAAAAAGAACAAAATTTCTACGACTCCATCTGCTCTTAGCATAAAGCTGAGTACTCGATCGTCTGTGTGGCGAATTTCATTCCCAATTGAGACTGGAAGTATTCTAGAGCGTTGGTTTGTCGTAGTTATTTCTACGTGACACTCTAGACGAGTTATATCATTGATAGCTAATTTTAATTATCAACTAAAAAAATTATTAATTATCTAAATAATGTACTTAGGACACAATCAAAGGTAACTGCCATAATATTTTGCTCAGTACAGAAATAATAATAAATTGGCAGGAAAGATTTAACAGGCTCTGGATGTGTCCAATCAAAGAATGGACTGGTAGCTCCTTCATGATAAACCTGGACTTTTCCACGAGGAATTTTAATCAGGAAGTTACTCCACTTTCCAATGAATAGAATATGAGGCATTGTTTTTCGATTCACCACTTCAAAATCTTTGAAAAAATATTTATCATCAGTCATCTAATTTCTTTAACATTTAGTTTAGCAGAATAATACCTCCAACTTCTGATCTGTAGTAAAGTATAGTCTCATTATTTTTATTAGCTCCAATGACGAGCTTATAAGCAGAGTTCAATCCATCATCAGCAGTCAAAATAATCGCTATGTAATCAGGTTTATTAGGTACCCAAATTTTAACGTTAATAAGTAGACCTGTCATTCGATGCTGTGGTAAAATAAACATTCGTCTTCCATCATCAGATCCATTAATAAAATTAATACACTCCTCTGGAATAATTTTTTTTGGTTAAATATCAAAAATCTTGGTCTAAGGATTGCAATTATTCTAGTTCAATTTTTATAATTAGAATAATCTTCTAAAGTCTTTTAATGTTAAGAAAAAAGTCTTCTGATCTTAAGCTTGTATGTCTAAAAATTTTTTTTTTTCCTGACTTACAACATTTTGCAGCAAGAAATTCAATACCAACTGCAAGCTTTCATAACTAAAAAAAAAAAAAAAGCTGGCAAAAAATAAATTACCTGCCATATCACAATCCTTAACATCACATAAATCCTGTGGTACTAAAGGATCAGTAGTGTAACACCACGTTCCAGCAGCAGACTGCGACGGATCACGGCAATAATTACTAGCATCTTTTGCATTTCGTTCCGGATAAAGAGTGTCATTAAAATATTCAGGATTAACAGGATGAATGGGCTTTATTGTATCCTTTTTTTCCAAATTTCTTCTTATCTCATTAATTTTAATTGCTGATTTTTTATCAGCCTTTGATAATTCTGAATGTAGTTCTCTGCTTTTCTTTTGTTTCTCTAATTGTTCAGAATCATAATCACTTAGCCATGGAGCACACTCACGTCCAGAATGTGTTACGGCTAGTGTTCCAGTGTAATCATTAGCAGTCCCTGCCATTCGGCAATCAGCAGATCGACATTTTCTAATTGTGCAATCTTGTCTATAGAACTTGTCAGTTGCAGCTGGGAAGAATGTTATGTAGCAATAAGGACCATTAGGATTATTGGTAGGATTTCTGCATTTATTAGTCGCATTCAGCACTGATTTTTCAGGAAACAAGATATCTTGTCTTTCATTTTCTGGAATCTGGAGAAAAAAAATATAGCTTTTCTTTTATGTTGGATTTTAAGTCGAACACTTACGTATTTTGAGGTCCACGGAATACAAGGACTTAAAGTTTTGGCAAACCATTGTGATCCTGAATATTCATCAGCTTTAGTAGTCAGACAGTTGGGTGGTGTAGGCTCTTCTACTGCATCTGCTGCTTCAGGAGCACAGTACAAAGTCCAGTGTGCAATGCCTATACTGCTGATGCTAAACCAGCGCCACTTATAAGCAAGGAGATGGTGCTCTAGGTACAATACTTGGCGTATTATAGAATTATGATCTATCAGAATGTGTAGAGTTGATGGTGAAAAGCTAGAACAACATTTCAAAAATAATTTTAATGATTTAATTGAAAATGGCATCACTGAAATTCATATGTACATGAATATAAAGTTTCTCCACTCCCAATAATCAAGCAAGTCTCTATTGAATGTTTCGGATATATAAACTATTGAATGATCAATATCTTCATGAATCACTAATACTCTATTAGTAAATGCAATTTTAATCTATCAAATAAATTATTTTAGTTCATTTAAAATGGTTCAGTGCTGCATTAGAGTGAAATTAATTATTTACTGTGATGCAGGGATATTCAACAGCAGGACTGGTGTACAATTGTATTAAAAACTCAGAAAATACACGTACGAATACTTCAATGGTGTATTCAGAATAGATTTGTCTTATTGGCCATACTCTCTGATATTTTTCTCCGAATGTTGTGTGAACTTCACAAGCTTTAGAAAATTATAAATATTTTTCAAATCTTCATTTAATAAATGATTAATTATTGAACGTGGGAAACAGTTACCTTCTTGACAAGAGTCCATGTTCCAAAGTAATCCACCACCGGTGATGCCGTAATACAAAAACCCATCTGGGTAGAGGTCTGTGGTTGAATTTTTAACAGCATATTCTTGAATAAATAGAGGCTTCGTTGACCCCAATGCGTATACAGATATTAAGCCATAGCTCCAACTCACGATGAATCCAGACCATTTCTTTCCAGACAGTATGTGTGGAGTCACTTCGAAATTTGTCTCTACCTATATTTAAAATATAAACATCAGGAAAAATCATTTTTTTAAGGGAAAAATTGCTTTCTTACATCAAACTCAGGATAAACCATTCCGCTGTAGATATTCGAGATAAAAATTTCAGTTCCTGCTTTCCACTCATCAGCAATATTTTTTCCTAATGAGGGAATTGGAAGGTGGCTGAATAATATCCTTGCTCCAGTCTGTTGAAACAAACTAATTTATTTTCAATAAATTTCTTTGTTGGAGTTCCTTGCCTTTTGTTGATCAGCTGGATTCCAAAATTTCAACCAAACCGTGATATTTCCAACTGTATAATTCATTTTTGTGATAATAGAGTAATCGTCAAATTCTCTAGTGTAAACTAGGCAGTCTCTATCATCGCAGAAAGGAATATCACAATACTCTTTATGAACAGTTTCAATATTTTCACTGTCAACATAGCACCAGGGACCACCTGGATCTCCATCAGGATTGCGACACTGATTCTCAGCCATCATGCGTGAATTTTCAGGAAAGTTTTTATCAGGAAATATTTTATCTTCCTAAAAATACTTTATATCATTCTTTGTCATTTATTTAATAATATTCTAGTCACTTTTTCATGATCCAGATGATGCTTTTGATCCCAATATTTGCATTCTTTTTTAGTTGAACTAATTTTTGTATCACCACTGTATTCTGAACCAGGTCCAGTTATTCGACACTCTAGATAGTTAAATAATTGTTTATTAGAAACATTTAATGAAATAGACCAGTTAGTTATTTACGTATTCAATAAAATAGTCAGAAAATATTACCACCAAAATCACACAAAGGGATACTGCAATCTTCATTGATTATGTTTGGATCAATCGTATAACACCAAGGACCTCTAGGATCATCACTTGGGTTGCGACAATAATTTTTTGCAACAAACTTATTTCCTTCAGGAAAATGTCGATGGCTAATCCATCGATCAACCTGCAAAGAGATGCATGATACCAACAAATATAGCCTGTTTAATAATTTTTTTTTTCCAAGTATTGTTACCTCGTGTACTGGATTTTCTGCAGACCAAGCTTGACATCGAATACCTGATGAGGTTACTGACATTGATCCCTCATAATCACTTCCGATTATTGTTAATTTGCAATTCGATGAGTCCATTTGCTTCGTAACATTGGCTGAAAATTTTAAAATAGTCAAAATCATCTATTTAATTAATTTAATTGTTTTGTTGTCTTACATGTTGATGTTATAAATATCTGAATTAAAGTAATAATGGTACTGAACAGTTCTTGTCGTTTTAACATCATGCTTCTAATTATTTATTATTTAATTGACTAAAAAAAAACTATATGAACTTAATTTTTAACCTGAATCATTATAAATAATTTTCAATTGTTTTCTACATTTTTCAAAAAACTCAACAATTATTATCAGTTGGTAATTTAACCACTAGAATTGATTACCTTCGGTAAGAACCATAAATCGCTGTTATTACCGACTGAGTTCGCGTCACTATAGCATCCACTCCCCAATTTTCATTCTAAAGGCATCACTCCACGTGTGCAGACGAATTGTCGCTCCAAAAATAAGTGATAAATTATTATTTATTGATAAGTAAATAAAAATAATTGTGAAAATGGTGTTAGATTTAGATTTATTCCGTGATGATAAAGGTTTTAATCCAGAAAAAATAATAGAAAATCAACGAAAAAGATTTAAAGATGTTGGGCTTGTAACAGTAGTCATTGAAAAAGATAAATATTGGCGTCAGTTGAGGCATCGTGCGGACAATTTAAATAAATTAAAAAATTTATGTAGTAAAGAGATTGGTGAGAAAATGAAAAAAAAGGAACCAGTTGGTGATAGTGATGTTATACCGGATGATGTAGCAAACAATTTGGATGGCGTCACCTCAGATAGCCTCAAAGCATTGACAGTAACACAAATAAAAAAAATCCGTGCACTTATTGATGATGAAATAGAAAAGAATAATCAAGAATTAATTAAAACCGAAGCTGAAAGAAACTCGGCTTTGAGAGAAGTTGGAAACCATTTGGATCCTTCTGTTCCTGTCAGCAATGATGAAGAAGAAAATAAGGTAATTTATATTTATTGTCTAGTAATTGAGTTATTTAATAATATGAAATTTTTTATTATTTTAAATATATTTTTTAGGTGGAAAGAACATTTGGCGATTGTACACAACGAAAACAATATTCTCATGTAGATTTAATTCATATGATTGACGGAATGGATGGAGAACGAGGAATAGCTGTCGCAGGAGGACGTGGATATTTTTTGAAAGGTGCTGCAGTGTTTTTGGAGCATGCATTGATTCAATTTGCACTTAGGAAATTATTTAAAAAAAACTATCAACCTCTGTACACTCCGTTTTTCATGAAAAAAGATGCTATGCAGGAAGTAGCACAGCTGGCACAATTTGATGAAGAGTTGTATAAAGTAATTGGCAAAGGAGCTGACAAGGATGATAAAGAATCTGATGAAAAATATTTAATTGCAACTTCAGAACAACCGATTGCTGCTTTTCATCGTAATGAATGGATTCCTGAAGCTTCATTGCCAATTAAGTACGCTGGACTTTCAACATGTTTCCGACAAGAAGTAGGTTCACATGGTAGAGATACCCGTGGTATTTTTCGAGTACATCAATTTGAAAAAGTTGAACAATTTTGTTTAACATCGCCACATGATAATAAATCCTGGGAAATGATGGAAGAGATGATCAAGAATGCTGAAGAATTTTACCAAGAGTTGAATATTCCTTATCGAATTGTAAATATTGTATCAGGTGCTTTGAATCATGCTGCTGCTAAAAAATTAGACCTTGAAGCTTGGTTCCCTGGATCAGGAGCTTTTAGAGAACTTGTTTCATGTAGTAACTGCCTGGATTATCAGGCCAGACGTTTATTAGTAAGGTAAATCAAATATTAAAAAAAGAAGATTTATTAAGTAATTCATTAAGAAATAAAAATTTGTTCAATAAATGTAAAATAATTTTATTGTTTCTAGATATGGGCAAACAAAGAAAATGAACGCAGCTGTGGATTATGTGCATATGTTAAATGCAACCATGTGTGCAACAACTCGTGTTATATGTGCAATTTTAGAAGTAAATCAAACAGAAACTGGTATCAATATCCCAGAAGCCATTTCTTCACTTATGCCACCAGAGTTCCAACGTCATATTCCATTTGTTAAACCTCCACCTATTGTTGAGAGTGAAATGAAAAAGCAAAAAAAACAAAAAGCATATGCGCTTGCGAAAAATTCCCAGATTATCGAAACTGAAAATAATTAATTTTTATTATTTAATACAAAGCTATTGTATGCATTTAGCTTACTCATATTTATAAAGCAGCTTTGATAATGCTTTTTATTTACAGATAATAAAAAAATTTAATATAAATTAAACAATTGATGCTGTTATAAATATTATAATGGTGATTTGTTAGTTTTACTGTCAACCTTCTTCTTTCGATTTATCATAAGTAAGCAGAGTTTATTTATTTAATTAAAATTTGAGTAATAGAAATTTTCTTAGTTAATCAATTAATTAAATAAATAAAAATAATAAAATAAAATTTTTAAAAATTAATACTTGAATTATAGATTTAAAAAAAAGTAAAGACCTGTGCGCACGACTTACTGAAGTACAATAAATAAAAAAAAATTTTAAAAGAGCGATTTAGCAGTGAATTGTTGTTATGTATAATATTTGATCAGTTGCATGAATTGCATAATTACTGGGTTATTCTTTATATTATTACAGTTTTTTTTTGATGTTTCAGTAATAAAAAAAAAAATAGCAAGAAAGAGGAGCCTTTCAATTTTACTATACTTTTTCGTATGCTCAGAAGATACTAAACATAATGATAATATATCGGATGATAATACTTCTGTAATACCTATTGGGCAGTTCAGTACTTACTTCCCAGGAAGTCAAACTGTTAGCGACACCGTCTACATCACTATCTTCTCTCACAACGCTGTCTCTCAACACACAAGCTACATTAACTCAGTTCTACGCGACCCGTCGTCCAAGTTCCTTAAACGTCTATCTTGGGATATGGCCATACTCGTAGGCCTTTCCCATTATAAATAAGGTATGCACAAAGATTAGATTTTTTCAAACCGAGTGCTTTACATTTAGTTTTTTCTTACGCTACTTTAAATATTGTGTATATATATACATATATATATACATATATTTATTTATGGATATGTCTATTACTTAATATTTATCGCTTATCTACCAGTGAATGTTTTTTTGTGTTTTTATTGTTATACATTGCATTCATATTTATATCATCTAAGTGATTTGTTCTCTTTAAATATCTTTTACATCTTTGATGGAATTTTTATTAGTCATTTGGTATGTACCAAATCCACAGTATAATTATTATCTCTTTTCTTCGGAAGAGAGGACGCCACTTGTTCAAGTTGTATATTTAAGCACGTGACGACGCTATGTGATTGGTCACATCGTCATAGTTGTACAAACAGGACCTGTAAGCAGTGAAGCACTGGTTTCACAAGAATTGACTGACCGCCATTCTAGAAAAAAGCCACTGGTGTCTGCTTTTTTATCATTGCGGTATGCTAAGGTCGACACACAACCAGAAATGTACTATATATATCTATAGATTTATACACTACAATTTCCAATATCACTGTATAATTTTTTTTACTCACTTATATATACATGTCCCGATATCATTTTATCGTCCTTCCATTCTTTTATTACACAATTTTCTATCTCGAAAATTTCCCTACTAAATTCTACTTATATGATATTTAATTCATCCGTACCAGCTATCCAAAATAACTTTTTTACATATTTATTGTCGCTATTCAAGGTCAAATAATAAGCTGCAGGGTCTGTGACTTCATATACGTTCATTGCACACGAATGGTAGTGAAAGAATTACTACGGGAACGCAACTATTCACGGTCGTTGCTCTAAAATGTAAAACATTTGACCTTCACTAATAGTTATCGTTTTATTTTTATTATAATTATTATGATTAAAATTGAAATTTTATCAATATTCTTTATTGACATTCTCAGTATACTATTTTTTCGATACTTTCACTACGATTTTTTTAAAACGACAGTTGTACTTTTTTCAAATATCCCCATTCTGTTTCTCTCCCTTTTAATTCTTTAACAATAGTTGCGTTGTATTGAACAATCACATAAAATTATAATCACTTTGGTTATTAGCTTAGTAAAATAAAATTTAAAGTTGTGTGGGCGACGGTGAAAGCCATAACAGAGGCGGTAGTATTACTCAATATGTGTACATATCTACATTGTACTGTTATAATAATCATAAACATTTTTAAATAAAACAACATTTTTAGCTCTCCACATTTATAAACACATTTTCAATTCAAATAATCCCAAATAAATAATCATTTTGCTAAAAAAATATACAACTCATATTCAAACATTTATCTTACTACAATTCATGATAACACACTTTATATCAACATACTCTAGAGCGTGTTAAAAGGGTTTCATAGACATTCATCGATTCATCGATAAACTAATTGCCACTTGTATTCGCATTAATCTATCTCACACTTAATTGTTATATTTATTCCATTTTTTAATGTTACTTTATCATCATTAAATTTAAAATGATACTTTTAATTTACGAATGATCTAATGTATTATCGTTATGACAGAAACTTTCTATATTGTCTTACTTATAAGCATAATAAGTCAAATAAGGATAGCAAAAGAGAGAAAGAACAGTTAGCGTGTAAAGGATAGAACATGTCAGAACGTTTGGTATGCAAGTTGCTTCAAATACCATGACTCAAGGGTTCATGACCTGACTATACAAGTGTCCCTTGTTAAAGTGTCATCCTTTACAACGATTTATATATTTTCACTTATCCGTTAAATTATTTCATTAAAAATACGTTACTCAATTTTTTTTTACATATTTAATATACATCAAAATATACTTTCACAGTAGTTCATGCCACACCTAGATCCCCCAGGGTGAGCGCATAAGGAAATGGAATAGTAAAAGCTCCCTATCGAGTTGATTAAAGCTACGACGCACCCTTTGCCACACCTTGACGACCCTCAATATCCACATTTTATCATATATGACAATGTCTAATAATATTTAAAGTTTTTTTAATTAATATCAAATTAACAATTACATAAATATTCTATTCTCTTGATAAGTACATCATAAAATAAAACCTATTTAATTTTTATAATATACGTATCTAAGAAACTCCTTAAAATCGCTGTAGTAATTGCTTGTTAATTGATAGAAATTATATTCTGTGCACTTATATGTTGATTAATTACGGATAAATATCAACGAGATGTTAAGTCACGCAACGAACTTTATTATAAATAAACTTGATGTGATTAAATTATCAAAATACTAATATTACTAAAATATATTTTCAAAATGCTATGATAAAAAGAAACACATACAGTAAATCAAAAATACATAATGAAACAACGCCTAATCCAGATTCAGTTGTATTCAGCCCACTTATGGCAATAGTTTCTGCGATCCCAGTTACAACTCAAGATAAATTCCAAGTTTTCTCATCTCTTACTTTCAGTTTTACATGCATACATTTATTTATACCTAAATAAGAAAAACCTCAAATTGTTTACGTAAATTTTCATATATATGATATATATATATACGATCTTTTTTCCTTAATTACAAGTAAAAATAAAAGATGATAAAACTATTATATATTGTATATACAACACATTTGCAAGAGAATAAGCATCAGGTTCTCGATGAGAATATGACCCCAACGCGGTCAGGGCAAAAGAGTTAACTATATAGAGAAGCGTTGTGAATCCTGTGCAACTAAGAAACGTACATATACATACACGTCGTCGTTTTAGAATAGTGGGAGTACCGCAAGGGTCAATTCAAAGTCCACCATTATACTCTTTTCCTCCACCCTACGACATGAGTCTCTCTCACCGTCGTACTGAAATTCTCATATCAACAGTGTTCCCTACATATAAACATATTACAAATAATTTGTCGTTTAAATTATTTTTATAAACAACCATTTACTTGATTCTCATTATTATTTTCAATTAATTTTTGTGAATAAATAATAAATAAAAAATTCACATGTAATGATGATTAAGTAAAAACATTCGCAGTAGCTTGTTACACGAAGCAAGTGATTCTAGCGTGCGCTACCGAGCGTAAAATAATGTAATAAATATAGTCATCCCTTCAAGCCATGTTCGTTGTTCGTACAAAAGTGAAACTGGTCAGGATAAGAGGGAAAATAAGCATGACAACTAAAGACAATATAGGAGAAAAGAAAAGAAAATAATAAAGCACAACCTCGCGTAAACGATTGTGTTGTTCATTTAAACAGCCAACTATTGACATTTAAATGTTAATACTACTTGCTCCTTGATATTTGCATCAATCTCCCTTTTTTCTTATTTTACATTTTTATTTATATATATATTGCATATAAGAAATTCTTGTCATAAAATTATAAATTGAATCATTATTATCATCTTTACTTAGATACAATTGTCAAGTTATTGTGTTGTAAAAAATATTATTTAATTTGGAGAAATATCTTCTATAATAGTGACCTTAACCGCGAATTGTTAAGCGATACGACCGTGGCTTTAATTGTTCAACTTCCTTTACCGCGTGGCGAAGCGTTTTAAGTTATCGTCTTGATCTTCACGCCGATGGCGCCTACCGTCTGAACATAAAAATAATGCGCTAATTGCCATACGTACCGCCTCTTCCTTTAGCTGATCTTTCACTTCAACTCCTCTTCAACATATGACCTTTATCCATTAAAATGAATAACACAAGTCTATGTTAGTTAAAATTATTATAAAAACAAAATAATTTCAGTAATTTTAGTATCAATTATGATTCATGTTTTATAGAAAATTATAATAAAAGTTTGTGCAAAAAATAATTTAATAATAGAAAATAAACCATATAATATTTATGGGCTACCGTTAGATAAACTGTCGACCACAAGTTATCAAACAATTTCATATTTAAAAAATGTTGCACCATAATTTTAAGTTATTGATTTAATGTTCAAATTAACGTCGATTTTTAACTTTATTTCTCTACTTTTTATCATTTATCTATTTACCTTCAATAATTCTAGACTGTTTCAAACGATTGAAAGGTCAAGAAAGATGTAACCGAATGCACCGTTATAATGATTCAACAATGTTTAACATACTAATTATGTATTTATAGTTATTTCAAAATAATTCTCATAATTTATTTTAAAAACGTTTTTTTTGTTTTAATTATTACAAATGTATGGGCCGAAACTATACATTGATTTACTTGTATAAAGGAAAAAAAAAAAAAGCAAATAATAGGAAAAAGAACCCGGAAAACGGAAAGAAAAATGCAGAAAAATTTTATGAAATAATAGTAATGATGTAAAATACATTGTTTAGAAGAAAAAGAATAGAATACAGAAGAGGAAAAAAATGCGGAAAAAAATAATAAAAATTTAACGCAATTTTCTACCTTCACATGTCACAGGGCATTGACGTTTCAAAAGAATTAAGCAATTTAAAACATTACAAAGTATTATGGAAACTAAATTTGTAGTGTGATGTTTTTCAACATATTTCTTTTTTCGAATATATTTTATGTTTTCAATTGCATGTATATGGAAATTGACTATAGTATTCATTTTAAAGTAAAGGGCAAATTAAAATTAAAGAATAAAAAAAAAAAAAAAAACTAAAGTTGAAACCGGTATTGTGCTTCGTAAGCTATGACGAAAGTAAGATTATCTTTTAGACTAAATTTGAATTATTTTACATATGTATCTACTTGAATGCTTTTCATCAATTATCTACTTTCATTGTCACTTTAAATTATATATACGATGTACAATATATACATACTATTTTCTTTTTTGCTTAGGTCTCAAAGATGTCATCACACGTGTAAGGGTTTGAAAATATTTTGAGCGAGTACACTTGCACGCTCCAAATTACAATAGAATCAAACGTAAGTCACATCTATTTTTTATTAAACAAAAAAATATTGAAAAATAATAACAAACATAATAGACATACCTATTGACAATATTATTCTATATTATCAATTCTGTAATTGTCCATAAACTTATTATAAATCTTACCTATTTAATATATATAATGAAAAAAATATACATATATATAAGAAAAGAAATACAAGAAAAGTCTTGTAGACTCGAGGGCACGTACAGTTTTGCAGTTAACGACCGTTTCTCGTGCGATTTATGCTCCTGATGGCGGGGGCGCAAGAAGGATATAAATAAAGAAAAGTTTGTAATGTATTAAGTATACATATTTGCAAGTTAACTACTGAATTTAAATTTTTTCATTTTTTCCCATATATCTTACTACAATACATTTCTTAGTTTGATATAATTTTTCAACACTTGATCCAGTAAATCTTAAATTTTTCGATAATTAAATAAACAATAAATTGAATATGTTTCTTAAATAATAACATTGACTTGATTTTCTAATCTCTTCAATATCAAATAATAAATATTTCTACAAAAATTGTCAATACCGTCAAAAGAGATATGTATTTATTTATAATAATATTTTGCAAACTGAAATATTATCAGTATAGAAAAAATTAACATTAATAAATACTTTTTAACTAAAGTTCTACGACCGCGTTTCGGGATACAACAGTAGATGTGTGGATGATGATGGTACCGGGTGCGTCCTTGGTCCGTGTCAGTGGCATAGACCATACAGGGTTTGTTCAAGGTCGAAATAAACGAAGCTTACCGAAGGTGACCGAGCATGTGAGAGTTGCTTCATTGGCTGCATCCTCAACATCTCTTCTACTTTTCAAACTCAACTCTTTTATTCACCTTCCTCCACTTTTAACAAATATTTTCAAATAAACTAACTGAAAACTAATTTCAGTTTCTTTTTCAATTTTTTTTTTTAATACCAACAATATATTAACATCACTGGATAGGAAAAAAATTGAAATAAATAACTGTAAAAATATATAAAAAATTCCAAAACGTATAATAAAATAATATAACTAGCATAATAATATTTAATTTCAATAAATTCGTCATTATACAATCTCTAAAATTATTTATTAATTGATAAATTATCTACTCACAATTTGCAAAAGCTTCACATTGGGTGAAAACGAAATTCATATTAATAATGAAAGCATCTAAGAGTGAGATTAATTGGCAAGTCATTCATTCTTGATTCAGCGACATTAAGTAGTTCCGTTACACTTCCTATATCCAATCATTTAAACTTTATATAAATAAAGGTACTGTAAATATTTAACATTATTATTGGTAATGATATAATTTATTATTTATATGCATTTATAAAAAATTTTTTTTCAAACACAGTCGGAACATTACTACAATTTTGTATTCAATTTATTATCATACATCAACTATTCTACGCAATTCTGTATAAAGATAGAATTTTATGTGTAAACTCATTTATTTATATTAATTAGAGTAAGTAGATTAATAACTTGTTTGTGGATGTTTTGTGTGAACATGACCTTAAGAAAATTTAATATATTCTATCATGTTAGTATGCTAATCTATCATAACATTAAATAACTCAAAAACTGTCAAAAAAACACTAACGAACGATAATAATAATAATATTATAAAAATAGAGAAATATGTATATAGCATGTACATATATGAAATGGAAAGAAGATGTGAGATTATTAGCAAAAATTTACGGATTGTTATTACCGTTGCTCCATGACATATAAATGAATAAAAAATAAATAATATATATACAATACTAGACGTTTAATTTTTTATTTAATAATACAAACAATATCGATTATCGATTAAAAAAAATTAAAATAATATAATAATAAATTAAGGTATGTTTTTTAGATTTACGCAATCATAGATTTACAACGCGCGTGTCTCATTATATGATGAGCCGTTATAACTGTGAGGTCTTTATGCGACAATTAATTGTAGAAGACATCAAAGAATGTAAAAGATCATGTTCGCAAAGCTCAACAAGTCACGATACCCATGTTTATTTTTGCTTTTTTTTGAATTCACCACAAATCCATATAAATTAAAATAACGCACATTACAAATTTTTCTATGTCATTATTAAGCGTACAAGTTCATAAATGTGAATTTTGCATTTTTATATCAACACAATAAAAAGAACGTTTATTTCTTTAAGATAAAAATCTTCAAACTGGTATTGTGATAATACACTAAAAGCATATTGTGAGATGAAGAAAAAATTATGTTATATAATTATTGAATTAGTATAATTGCAAAGTCAATTGATTTAAAAATAAAATGACTGTTTTAAACTAAATATCCTTACTATTGCAGTCCAAATTATAAATAATGTCTATAAATATTGAAGGCTAAATTTTTATTGACATTCTTTCCAATAAAGACATAAGTTAACAACAACGTAAATATATATATTATAGTAATTTAAAATTTTTACTTTACTAAAATATCTTTTGAAAAGTTTAATTTAAAAAAATCAAAACACTAAATTTATGAAGTGAAGGGAAATTCTAAGATGTATATTTTACGATCGAATCGATTATCCATGGGTAGTGTGCGCTAACCAACATTGCGAATAATATACGCATGTCAGACCAAGTGCCAAGGTCTTTCTTTCTTTCACTAATGCTCTTCTACTATTCAAACTTATTATAAAACAAAAATTTTCACTTTTTTAAGCAATAAAAACATCTATGATTTTTATACTATCATAATCTTTCAACTATTTCATTCAACCTTCAACTTGGACTTATTTTATTACCTTTCACTCATAGAATATGTTTCCTTAAATGTTGATATCTATCCTTGCTTTTTAAAATTTTCTTTATATTACCAGTATTAACTTAGTAATTATCTATATGATAATTTTATTAAAAAAATTATAATAATATTTTAATGAAACCAATTCAAATATTGGAGTAATGATATTTATGTAAGTGGCATATTGCATAGCCATTCCATAGAGTAAAATTGATGCGTAGAGTATCACTAAAAACATGTATTCAAATGATGTAGAGTCGAGTTTTGAACATGTTAACGAGTTCCCAATTTGACGTATGTAATTAATAATTGCACCACAGCCATATATATATATATATACTAAACTACGACTTTGTTATGCAAACTCTTTATAGTGTATACATGATAAAACTAATCGAATGAATGTGGTAATAACAAAAAATGATTATATTATGAGTAAATAACTAATTGTAGTAAACACATTTAATTTTAAATAAAAATTATATTATTTATGTGGAAAAATATAAATTTAAAAAAATATGACAGGAGATTCGTTTACAAGTTAAAAGGAAAGCTCCCTTGGGCAAATACTATCATTATAATTCAATTTAATATTAATATTGCTAGTCCCTTGAAGTATCAGTCGCTTAATCGCATCAAGCTGTACATAGGGTTATTTTAAATTAAAATCAAAAGAATTTGTAGAGAAAAAATAAACAATCAAAGTAAAGTTATTATCAGTACTGTCTATTATCTCTAATCGTTTATAGCCACTGGTCGTTGTTTTATCCAACAAACTAGACTTATCGACACTCGTAAATCTCATGATCAATGACGATATTATCATCATGACTGCCTACACATGACAGGATCTCTTGAAATGGCGCAAGATATGAGATTTATTCATCTCTTTAAATTCTACAAAACTTTCACTCACCAATTTACAATTGTTAACTTTATGAAAGAATTATTTTTACAAATATCATTATAAATGTATTAATTTTTTTCTGATTCGTAAAATAGATTCAGTCGACAAGATTGACCTAGAGCAATTAATGTGTTAACTTCCAGCTTGGTGGAGTTTACACAGCTTTAAGTGAGCATGAAAAAGAAAAAAAAAGAGAAAGAGTTAGCGAGTAAACATTATGCATAAGTGCGAAGGAAACTAGTCTTTATGTTGAAAAATCCTAGAAACCGGTCCTTAATTGGTACCCAAACTCAACACATACTGCTAAGCAAAGTGTCGATCCCCGTGCTTTCGTACGTTAAAGAATTATCCAACTATGTATATATATATATTAAAATAAAATAAAAATAATAATAATAACTATTATTATTATTGATTAAAAAATTAATTAAATTTTCAGATGGGGTCTAGAGGACGTAAATTGCCATATCGTTGGAGTATGAAGAAGAATCAGAATAACTGAAAAAGAATGGCCGCAACAGATGGACAAATAGTCGTCGCTGCAGCTCGGTGGGCGGATGAAGCAACTTATCTACGAGAATTCGTTAACAAACATCGACTGCCTGTGGTAATAAAAATTACTAAAGGCCAATATGGTGGATTAGGAGTTCCAACATTACCAGCGCCGAGTTTGCAAAGTATAGCATTATTAGTTTCAGCAGGAAAAAGACGAAAAATTATTGCTCAAGCAGTTAAGATCAAAGAAGGCAGAAGACTTGTTGGAGTTGGTCCACGTATTGCAATTCCAGATTCTTATGCTGGATATTTTGAGATACTAAGTGAAGAAGGTAGAGCAGTTAGAGGAATTGAATCAGTCAATGAGTTATCTAGAAAATGTCCGGAAGAAGGTGCATTGGTACGTGAAACAATTCGAGGTATTGCCTGTAAAATGGAAGAATCGGGAAACATCATACCAGAGGGAAGTCGAACTTTGACAGCAGGTGAAACAATTGTAACAGCTGGAGAAGTGACTATCCCAGGTCGTGGTAGACTCTTACGATGTGTAGATAATCAAGGTGAAAGTATATTACTAAGTATGGAACAAAGAGGACGTTTTAGTGCTTTAGCCAGAGAAGACAATATAAGTGGAGTACATACGGCAAAAGCATTATTAAGTAAAAGATTGCCATTAACAGTTCGTTTGGTTCATGGACAACCACCAAGAGGCCTCAAATCTCCATCACAATTTTTACCAGAATTACGATTATTGTCAACATTTGAAGAAGAACACGTTTTTGCTCTCCCATTACAACGAGAAGCAGCTGCAGTGTCACTTCCCTTAGCTGCTCCATTGAAACTTGTTAAAGCAAGAAACGAAGATGTATTAAAATTAATGCCAGAATTAACAAGATTAGTAGATCGAGCATCAAAAGTTGTAGCTGAAGTTGCTGATAGAGCTCATGTTCTTGATAATCGTTTAGGAGAAAATAAACAAAACCGACAAAATCGAAATGCTGGATTTTTACGAAGATCAATAAGTTCAGACAGTGCTAATTATTATCGTCATCATCATCATCAACAACAACAACAACAACAACAACAGCAACAACAGCACTATCATCATAATTATCATCATCAAAATAATCATAATGGATGTAAAGATGAAAATCGTGTGCCACCGTCATATACAGAAGATTATGATGAAATAGATCAAATTTATGATTATGTTAGAGGCTTCGCACCATTACCCAAGAGCATAAGATCACCGTATGAAAGCCCAATTATAACTACAACAACAACAACTGCAACTAATATTAACAATAATAATAACAATGATAATATAAATAATCAAAATTCGAGTCCTCCACAAACTCCAGTGACAATAGCAATAGTTCCACTTTTAGATAATAAACCAGAACCACCGCCTATTGAAACAATTCCAACTAAAAAAATTCAAGCAGAAAAACGTACTCGACGTGCAGTTAAAGAAGCACCTCTCAAAATTGAAAAATCACCATTAGCTAAATTATACGTAAAAAATAGTGGCACACAACGTGGTCGTCCGCTAATGAGACAAAAGAGTGCATCTCCATTGAAAGAGACCTGTCCAGGCTTTAAAGGTGGATCGCCACTTTTTAATATACGTTACAAAAGTCTCACCAATCTTCAACAGGCAATGGAACTTGATGGAACACTTGATTCCAGTCATTCTGGTGGTAGAACCTCTGGCGATTCTGGTACAGGCGTAAAACTCCCAGAAAAAAGGTTATTATACTGTTAATATTAATTATAGGATCTTTATGAACTTTGTGTTGCCATTTGTATTTTAACTTATTTTATTATTAGATCGCGACGCTTAAGCAGGCCACGATCTCTAACAAATCTGGTATGGGAGTTACACAGCAATAATGTTACTATGCGTCCAGAAACTCCTCCTCCTGTAGTAGTAACTCCACTTACATCTACCAAATGTGGACCCAGATTAGCAGTTACTGTAGTAGCACCCCGACGCGTCGGCACGCTCTACCTCTAACTCGTAAGTACAATTGTTTTTATCTTGCTTAAATTAGAATTGAATATTATCATTGCTATTGTACTTCATTATTCCATAATTTATATTAACAATAAAAAAAAAGTTTCTTAAACAATAGTTTTTAATATACTATTAAGTCTAAAAAGTAGAAGATGGTAAAATATTAATGTAGATGATGCAAAATAGTTTAAGGAAACTGCATCAGTGACATCAACGACGTGACTACAAGCCACAAGGTTTTGTCGGTAGAATAGTTACGCACGTATATTGAAGACTGGTTGGTCGAGAGAGTGTTGAGTATTAAAGTATAAGAAAAAGAGACAGCACAAGGGAAGGCTAGAAAGACCCCGTATAAAAAGATACTCTTGGGCAACTAACGAGTAGTTGTCGGCTACCAGGTCTGCGACAATAAGCTATGCATCTTATATACCTCGTGTTACAATGATGATTGGAGAAGTGCGTAACAATTTCTTATGGGAAATAAAACATGCAATTACCATGCCGTCGTTTATAAAAGAATAGCTAAAACATCTGTATTCTTTACAAGTTTTGATTCTTAAAGTTATTCTTTTCTTTTCATTTCATTTAGATTACGATTAAATGAATGATAATTTTGAAATTTCATATCATAATAAATATATTTATAACGTTAAAATACAAAAAAAGCAATCAAATGTGAAAGTTGTATACGCCCAATGAAAGCGAGAAATGTTAAAAAGTTAAGAAAGCAGAGACCTTTTACCATGCACTTCAATCGATTTATTGTTGTCTGATATTACAACCTCACCCGGAAGGTATATTCATGTATTTTTATATACATACAATATACATTTATATTATTAAAGTAAAGAGACTTTGATATTTAATTATATTATAGACCATTTTAAATTGATGAATAATCATTTCAAAATCATATTTATACAATAAGTTTTCTACTAAATCGAAATTTGAACTTTTCAAGAGAAAAAGAACAATTAAAAAAAAAGTTTCGGCATGTAGGTGATAATAATAATTTTTTCCAAGCTAATATGTTATAGAGAGGTATTATTGTATCATTAATTTATGAATGCATGAAATTTAAAAGACGACATACGAAAGAAATACAAAGCACATTGTAGCAATTCTTCAAGCAAGATTACAATAAATAATTTAGTCTATTTTCCACTTGATATTCTCATATTTTTCTATTCAATTTTTTACACTCTACTTCTGATTTGTTTCTTTTTCTTTTTATTATTCTTTTCACTCTGTTTTTAAGTTTCTACATATAACGTGAGTGTACATTCTAATGTTCTCAGTCGAGGTGTTCTCTATGTATATAATACTTGTATATAAACGTCTCTCGGACCAGGAGAAGACCAAGAACGTGCACCGATACTTGGTTTTCCTGTACTCATTAGCCGACGTTTATCCAGCGGGAGGAACGCCAGCGGGGAAATCGCATACGTGTAACGCTTTGGCGGAAGGATCGATCGACGCGTGCAACGACCCTAAAGCATCGACTTATTGCAACTCTCTATCCTCTTTTTCCTCTTCGTATTTTATTCCTCTGTTCATTCAATTTATCCTAAATTCTCATTAAAGAAAAAACCGAAATTACTTTTTTTTTTAAAAAGAATGAAAGGAAAGTTAAGATACATTTGATGAGACAAATAATAAATAAATTATCAACAAATCAAATAATATATATTTATTTTTTTTTGTATAAAAGTAATATTATTGTGTTCGTTTTAATATTATTATAGCATATAAATTTAAAGAAATCATGATATGATATGTTTACTAAGCTAGACATGATTATTCTCGAGACATAACGGAATAAAACACCCACGTGAGAGGATGTCACGTGTTTCATTTGATCGAAACGTGTGACACTTAATGAAGAGAACAAAAAGAAAAGTTAACATGTTGGTGAATGCTATCGTAAAAGAAGATGAATGATTATCTTATGTGTTTGAAAAAATTTATGTATTTAAAATTAAATTTTTTTTCTTCTATTTATATGTATAAATTTAATTCAACAATAGGTTCATTACTAAAACGAAAACTGCAGAACTTTTAGCATCACGAAAGATAGAGAAAAAGAGAAAATAAACGATAAAAAAACGAAGCACTTTCGGGTCTTTTTAGTACTAAGGTCAGTGGCCCTTTTTCTTTTCTTCTCTTATTCGCCAAGACGATAAACCTTCAGGCTTTATATTCTGCTATACATCCGCTTCAGCCAAGCCCTTCAAAAAGAATTTTGTACATTTCACGCTGTTTAAGCGTGGAAACACTTGGTATAAAAAATTCTATAGTTAATGGCAATGAAGGAGTATAAAATAATTTTTTACATTTGTTATTTTTGATATTTTAATAAAAAAAAAATTTAGTATTTTCAAGTATTATTTTTAAAATTTGTAATGCTCATTTTTTTAACCCCCAACATCTGTTAAACAAAATCAATTAGTGGGTGTGTGATGAGATATACAACTTGGTGTCGCTTTAAAGAAGGATGAATTAAAGACAACTATTGTCCCAAGTCTAGAGTTGCCCTTAACACATATGGGTATGAAGATGATGGTAAAAACATACGTGTGGGTTGCTTTGTTCCTCAACTTGTGGTTTGGTTGAACTTTCAGATACCAATAACGTTTCTAACATCTTCAAACTACTCGATTTCTACCCACATTTAAATCTTCGTCGCTTCCTATTTGTTGTCAACAATTTTCAATCACATTATACTTCCTAATTACGTTATTTTCATCTTGACACATCTTTAAATTAATATCCTTACCTTTCAAAGAATAAAAGTTTCTTTCAATTTGATCTTAAACTAATAATAATTATTTATATAAAATTTATGTTTAACAAATTTAACATATGAATCATTTTAATTTCATTGAAAAATAAGTATTATTTTAAGATAAAATAATATAAAAAATATTTGTATTTTAAAATATTTTTTTATTACAGATTCGGCCGACGAAGGGATAATGACGACAAAGAGCAGTCTAAATAAAATATCATTGGATCTCTGTCATCTACAATTAATCAAAATTCACCGTAAAGCTTAGCAAGATAGATAAGCTAAAACAAAACCTCACTATTCATTTAAACATTCATTTATGATGGTAATAATAATGATGGTTATTATTATTTTTTTTTTTTTCATTTTCATTACTTATGTCGTTATTATTTATTATACCTACTTGTCCATAAAAGCCATTTAAACTTTTAACGGATCAATCATATCAATTTAATTATTATTTAATTGAATGCTCTTTAACATCAGATATATTTAAGCAAGGTAAAAAAACTATGCTAGAATCAATTTTTTTTTAACAATGATTGAATTTTTTTTAGCTGGTAGCTAAAATTACTTGAGCAACCAGAATGCCATAATAATGACCAATTTTATTAATTTTCTTTCGGTTGTATTTAAGTCATACTCTTTATATTATAAGACTTGTAGTATGTTAGATTTATGTTATTCGATGTAATCAAGTATCTCAGAGTATATTACAGTTGATTCAATGAATGTCACAATAACTTTTTTTATATATATTTTTTTTAAACTAACGGTAAATACGAAATTATATTTAATTCAATTTTTTTTACGTAAATTCCATTCTTCCTTTTACATTATCTTGCGGCAAATATAGATAAAAAAAATAATCAAATTTACTCGATAAGTAAATAAATAAGAGATGACATATTATTAGGCCAATAAATTAATGTTATTATTATTATTATTATTATTATTATTATTATTATGAAATTAATTGTGATTATCAATAAAAACAAATACAGTGGGCCAAGAATTATATTACATCCAAATGAATAAATAGAACTATAATGTATTGTTATTAAAAGAAAAAAAAATGTTATCAGCTTTCTTTTCGCTCAGATTTACCGATAGAGGAGAGAAAGAAGGCTGATTATCAGGTTGCCTTAAATATTTATTGTATATTACTTTTTTTTTTAATTGTTGAAACAAAACAAAAACTTATTGATTTCAATGTATTCTTCACGAATGGCCATTCCGGTTTCTAGGCCGTAGTCTTTTTTTGTGATTATTGAGTAAAAGAACATGATTAAGTTATGGATTCATATAATAAATAGTAGACTATTTCTTCATGTTTTTTCAATTAATTTCTTTGTTATTACTAAGTTGATCATTTTTAAAAATTATGACTTATTATGTTTTTATGGTCAGTTAAGTGATAAATCAATTAGAAATTATTAAAACATGACATTATATCGATAATTAAATTAAACCTAATCAAGTGCTCTTAATAGAAAAAAAGGAAATATTATAGCAATAATAATAATAATATGAATGAAATATTGATTTTTATGTCTTACTATGAATGTCATAACATATTTTACCTTTGATATTAGGTTAATACAATTAATATTGATAAGTTATGTTATATTTTATAAAATACAATGAAAACATCTTATAATACTTAATTAATGTTTCAATGTAAGGAAGACACTCGGTCCCCTTTACGATGGAACCTTGTACGATATAATCGAATTGGCGTTTGAGTAATGTAAGTTTGATATTTCGTACATTGTTGTTCTTAACAAAAAAAACATATTATTTGCTACGAGAATATTACTGAACTATCGTTTTCCTTTTTTTTTCTTTTTTTATTTAAAATACTTATTTTCAATATTTCACTTTTCATTGATTATCACGAAATTTAATATTTTATTTATTATTTGTTATTATTATTTTCGTAGCAAAATGTTTAAACGTAAGGGTTGAGGATCGTTGTGCCTTCAAAACTGAATGATTGTCAATATTTTTAACGATTTATGGAGTAAAAGTAAATATTATTATTACTGAAATGAACAAGAATTTTGTGATTTTAATAAACAATTATCTACTTTATAATTTTACTGAAATTATATTTGTATTGCTTACATAGATTAGCACAATGTGTATGCTGAAAAGTGTTACAATAAATGATTTTGAAATAAAACAACATTTTACGTAAAATTTCTTAATTCTCGAGAAATCAAATCAATGAATTTTAACTATGTTTTTATCCTAGATATATATACCAACCTAAAAATACATTGAACTTTATAAAATTACAATTTATTTGATTTCTTGTCATCATTTAAATGACTGTTTTATATAATATATAAACTTATTATCATACGACCGATAAAATATTCGAACTTTAAAAATATTTATATTCTTTATCCATTTAATATTTATCAAATTTTTTTTAGTGGGAATGATAAATTTTTTTCATTCTTTTAATTGTTTATTGAATAAGTAAAAAAAAAAGATATATACATTTTTACGAAATTACTAATAAAGGGACAAATTAAATTGAAGAATTATTAAAGTATATTATTATGTAGAAATATATATGTGGTGGAATTGATGAATAAAAAAAATCTATCAGATAATTATATTACAAAATTTTGAATTGAATTACACTATCCTAATGTCAGTTTAATCCTGAGCCTGTTTTTATAAAAGCATAAAGTCCGATTGCTAGAATCGTTACAACTGTAATTGTTCGATAACTTTTTAAATGATACGCTAATCTATGACGTGGTACAGCTACTTTAAGTTGACATTGTTTTTCTCTTTCTTTTCTGCTTGCAATAGCTTTTAATTTCCATTCTTGTTCTTTTTTATGCCTCTTGCGATCATATTCATAAACATCTTTGCCAATTGATTCTGGAGGATAATTGTTATACAACTTAGTTGCATTTGATAGCAAATCTTCAATCGGTAAATCAAGAGGTAACTAAAATGAATTATTATATAATAATTATTTCTTTAATTTAATAAATTAAAAGAATTCAATACATACTGTACACAACACTTTATGTGTATGACCCATATCAGGTGTTGTATTAAATATTTCTGTCGCTCTGTGAGCTACAATTACAGTACTGACATATAAAGGCATTAAAGGTGGTGAACCAAGAAAAAAATCGAACAATCGATGCAATAGCTTACGATTTTCCGAATATTTATGTGCATACCATGTGGTATACTCTGCTAATGCAAAATGTGGAAATAACTCTACACTATAAATAAGATTATTGTTATTTTTTTTTAAAAAAAAAGAAGATATTATTTCAATAGTAACTATTTGTAATTTTTACTTTTCTAAATGTTCTAATAAAGTTGGATGTACTCGTTCCAGTAGAGCGAAGATATAAAATAATTCTTGATTGACTTTTTCCATAGTTTTTTCCATGAATCTCTCTAAAAATTCTAGAGATATTTTTTCTAGAATGTACAAACCAGATTTTAAACCCATGACTATCAATACAGTTGCAGCAACATCATTGTACCCTTGATAATAACTGAAAAAAAACATTTTTTATCGTTTATTATAATAAACATTCAGTATCTAAATGCTAACAAAATTTACTTTAAATTTGGATGTCTCACAAGAACCCAACAAATCATTTTCGTCAGTTCATCATGAAATTTTATTATTTCTGCTTCACTTGCATTAGGCATTAAATGACTTCCACTACGGCTAACATCATTCAATATTTGCTGATAAATGTTATGTGGTATTTTTGAATTAATCATTTTCAATTCTTCATTTCTCTCAATTAGTTCAATATCTCTTATTTTTAATATTTTTGGCCACAATAATCTCCTTATATCATCTATAATTTATGATTATTAATCTCATAATTTCGGTTGAACATGACAAATACGGATAATATGTTTTATTTCAAAATTTCATTTTTACCAGTTACAAATCCTAAATTACTAATACCAAGGCGTTTTAATTCACCATATGTGAGCTTATTATGAAAACTTTCACTGATAATTTTTATTTTAACCTTATCTGAATCTGTTAAAGTGTTTATATTATTTAAATCATCAACAAAAAAAGGATTCTCTTGATATTTATTATCATTGAATCCATCAAATAAATATATATCGGTATTATTTGTTATATTGGGTTCTTTATCATCATTCCATGCAGAACATGAATCAGGCAGAGGAACAGGTGGACAATTATTTGTTTTCGACTTTGAAACGTCCATTGCTATATCAATTTATAATGTTGAAGATTTTTCAATACAGATAAAAAAATATAATTGTTCTTGATTTTTTTTCTATTTTCAACATTTTGTCTTAAAACTTAATGTAACTATTTCTGAAATAACATCACAAATTGGAAATCACTCAATTTTTTATATAAACATTACACTATTTGATTCATGAATTCTAATTGCAAAGTGACATCAATTTAGAGTAAACACATTTTATCGTTTTATTATGTCATTGTTCAATTGATTTGAAAATTATTTTCATACTCCTTCTGAAATAGTGATAATACAATTAAAATATTGAAAAAAATTAAATTATATAAAAAATAAATGTATTTACCTTCAGCACTTAATATATGATGCATGAATGGCAAGTATGTACAAAGGTGAAAATCAGAACGTATTGTTACATTTGATAATTAATAAATCATTTTTCAATTACTAAAAACATCTGATTATGACATTTACATCAATTGTATGTTAGCATACATACACATATATATATACATGTTTACTAATGTATAGTATATCTACATACATACTATACATTTAATCAGAGAAAGAGAGTAGTACAGAAACTCAACTCTAGTGAGATCACAGTAACTGAGTGAATAGTTACTAAAATCGTCGGAAGGTGGCAGTAACATACTTAATTCAGTCAAGTAAACATTTCAATTTAATTTTGATCACAACTATGAAGAAGATTTTTTGTCTTGTTTTTTAAATTAATAGTTTCAAAATAAGAAACTTACGTTTAAATTAAACCAGTATAAACTTTTCATATTTTTACACAAATTTCTAGTTTAAGTAAAAAAGAGACTTTCGTTTGTGTTATGGTCTTTTCTTCAATACTAAACTGCGCTTGCAATTTTTTTTTTTTTCAATTTAAAAGAAAAAGTTACTCAACTCTTTACAATAACTCATTTATTTGTTATGCAATAATATCTACAATAAAAATACCACATCGTTTGAAAAACAATTTTCGTTACAATTATACAGTGATTTTTATGTATAATATATTTTATTTAAATATTTATCCATACGAATATTGATACTTACACATTCACGCTCATTTATTTACGCACGTATGAATATAAATACACGTATAGATACATAAATATTTTTTTTACATACATTAGTATTCGTTTTCTTATAATTTATTGATTTATCTATTTTATTATTTTCTGTTGCAATTGATAGCATGATGAAGCGTTAAACAGTCACATTTTATTCGTGTGTATGTGTGTATGTATGTATACCTATATATGTGTGAGTAAAGTAAGAGAGTGAGAAAATACTTTTCATCATTGTATTCTTTTTATTTTTGTAATAACTCACGAATGGTTTTATCGTTAACAGTTTTAAGTTGTTTAAATATTAAAACAAGTTAATTATAATTGTTCAAATGATGATAATTTTGAATTTGATATCGTTCATGAACAGATTTTTGTTACCTTAAGAAATGATTGAATAATTTTCCTTGTTTATTACAATTCATGAAAGCAAGTATTTAAAACAAAAAAAAATATAACATTGTCTTTATATTAAAATGATTTTTCACCATCGTTTTTATAAGTTTCTTGCCTACCTACTCTACAAAATAGTATACTACACTTACAATTATTAATAGTAGCTTAACATCATCATGTAATTAATTTTTATATTTATATATAATTGATTAGTTTATCGTAATATTATATAGAAAATACATATAACAATTATTTAAATGACTCACAATCAATCACTTGTTGGTTACATATATATACATAATATATATATATGTATATACTAGTTATCTTTATTCATTATATTAATTATTAATCGCTGTTAATTACATGATATTTTTTTTTTTGACTTAAAGATATTTTTACATTTGCCTTTTTTCTCTCTCTCTTTTTTATAGGAATATTCAAGTATAGGATTTAGATGATGGCTAGGGTTAATTAGGGCAGCGCACAAGAATGCTAATTAATTATCATTTTATTCATCTTACACAATAACATTGTTTCTTTTGTTTTGGTTTACTTGCATAATCTTATGATTCATATAATTCCTATATATTTGTTATTTATTAAAATTTATAATAAATATTGTATCATACAAATGGATTTATCCCATTTCCTTCATCTTGTACTATTGTACATAATTGTCATCAATCATTAATGAATTATAAATCATAGTTTTTTTTTACTCTTTACTAAATATGTCACGGATGATGCATTGACTAAGCTCCAAAGTACAAAGATTCTCACTAATATTAAGAAATACATTTTTTCGATTTTTAAAAGAGTCATTAATCAATTTTTCCACAAATGATTAATTCAATTATTGGCTCGATTTTTATTTTTTTGCCCCTTCTGACCACAATGTCTCTTTCTTTTTTATTTTACTCTTAGGATCGGTTTTGTTATTATTTATTTAAATAATTTTTCATTATCATTATTGTTAATATATCTTTGCTAGATTATTAAAATTTTTTGTAACATTCATTATTATATCATCTTCCTTTTTTTGATATTACTTTTGATGTCTAATGGACTTATCGATTTTGTGTTTTTTATATAATTATTTATTTTCCATTCAACAATTTTAATTGTTGTTATTTTTTTTAACTACACTTTTTTGCATTCTAGTAGATGGTAAATAGTCTATTTAATATACATTTATACTTATTATAAAAAGCGCTTGGACAGTGACAACGATTGTGTATGCCAATATTTTACTTATCGAAGGCTCATAAAAATAATCCTTCTAGAAATAGAAGATATTCTGTTGAATATATATTGACATTTTCAATTATTTTTCCTATTATTATCACTACTATTGTTATTATTATTATTATCCTTATTTTTTGTCTGATAAAATGAATTAAGAAATTATTTAAACGATTCTTTATATCGATAATTATTGATTTGTAAATTGAGGGAAAAAAATAAAATTGATGATTATGATATGTTTGAGCCTGTTAAGCTTCTCTATGAATCTATCAAGGAAACTAATGACTAAAGAATTTAAGAAAGTTTCATAATAAATTGAGTAGTAATTCAGTGAGAAAGAGAGACAAAAAAATCACTTTTTTGAATTAAGTTTATGAATATATTAATATTAATATTTGTATATATTTTGCTATAATTTTTATAAATATTTTTGTAAAATTTTTTTGTTGTTAATTTAAATATTAATTTACAAATAAGGGCTCGACATTGATTCGATTTTAATAAATACTTTAAAATAATTTTCATTTGCTGATTAAAGTGCGAAGATTTGACAGCGCAGTGTATATATTTGTATTTTTTTAGCATAACACTGAACAATTAACATCGAATTACTAGCATTGATATATACAGAATGGTTTATTTTTTTTTTTATTTTGTTAATACATATTTTTAAATATTTTCATTTTCCAAGTAATAAACTGCTTTTTTCATTAGTAAGAATTTCTTTATATACAATAATGAGCTTTCATTATACTACGAAATCATTAACGAATAATTTATATTATTCACATGAAATGTTTATACCTTTAACAGGAATAATATTGAAAATGAAAGTTGAATAAGCAGCATAAGAAATATTAAGAAAATATTTTTCCAGTCCCATTGAGATCGTTTATTTATTTATTGCAATATAATTATTTTATTCGATTTAATAATTATCATTATTATTAATATGGAGATAATTATCATTATATATTCTATATTATCAATATTATTAGGATAATAATAATTATATTGGTTATTTATTTCCTATTAAAAGAAGATTACAAATAATCGTTGTGGATTAAAACCACTTAAATTACGTTAATTATATACAGCATCAAAGTGCTCTCGTATATATTCTCTCCTATAGCGTCATTTTGATTCAGAGCTGCAGCCACATTTTATTGATTTACGTTTTTTTTTTTTTAATATAATAATAATAATGAATGTGTTACGTCATAAATAAGAAATTTATATTTGATTTCGTATTTAATATAATAATAAATTTACTCAATTTCAAATTTATTTAATAATCTTTTTCCAGAGTTTATGAAATATTTATCTTGAATTTATCAACATTGTCATGTGCACATTAATTTTGATTTTCAACACTTTTTATTCCATTCTCAATGAACTAGTTTGATCTCATTAATAGACTAAATTTATTCAAACTCAATTATTTCGGAAAACATAATTTGACATTTAATTTTAATTCATTTTAGATTTATCGAAAATATCTAATGAGAATTGATGAAAGATAATCATAGTAAATTTACAAAGTGGTTTTTATTATAAAAAATTATTTTCAAATCTATGATTATTTAAATTGATTGATTATATCATAATGTCAATTAGATGACATATAACTAATCTAAATTGTCTGTTTAATTATTGTAACCATGAGTAATTAATTAATAAGTATACAGCTTACGCAATCTACGCACTTTATATATTTATTATTATTGCATACTACACGTTTGCGATTAATGGCTATAAAGTCACCAAGGTTTTTTTTGATACTGAATGAAGCTAAAATTTCATAATTATCATATTTTCTCTCTCTTTTTCTCTTATTAAAATATAAAAATGAGCACATATTATTACTTTTTTTTTAATTATAAATTTTAATTGTGCGTAAAGTATTTGTCACTAAATGAATGTCAAAAAATAATTATATATATCTATTGAAAGTATTTCTTTCAATAAGTATAAAATTTGTGAAGTTTAATTTTAAATCTTAGTCAAAGTGAAATAACATAATAATAATAATAACAACAGTAACATCTAATAATAATTTTTCTATGCTGTTAGTAATATTATATTCTTTGTATGACGATTAATAAATAGTAGTAGTAATGATAATTCAAGGAATAATAATTAAATCCACAACGACAAAGATTCAAGTGAATAAATGGACTTATTTAAATGAAATGAAATTGATTTTTTCACTATTTCAATATTTTCCCTACATATTTACATCAATTCCTTGCAGAGATAGATAATGATTACATTTGAAACATATTTTGTTTTAAAATACTATGAAAAAACTATTAAACTGACACAACTTTGGTAAACAATTGTAACATTTGAATAATAATGATAATTAATTTTTTAAGAATACATTGGTCACAATTTTTTGGATTTTTCTAAATGAAAAGTATTGTGTAATTATTGAATAGATCATAAAGGTATAGAATATATTTGGAAAAAACGCATAATTGTAATAATAACAAGTGTAGGCATATGAAGAAATAACAAATCAATTCTTTGGCACAGGGAGATAAAAAATTTAACAAAAATACAACGAGCAGATTTTGTCTCTTTTTTTTTTGTTTACTTATTATCTCTGTCATCTAAACTCTAAATCAATAAATAAAGAATTTACCAGGTAACAAGGCACTTAGCTTTATATACAATATTCATTTGTTCATTTTTTTTTCATTTTGATACACATTTGTAATAAAGATCAAAGAACACGCCATGATCTTTTTTTTTAAATTA